CCCTAGACAAGAAATGTAGGGGATTATTAAAAAGAAGCATTAATGTGTACACGTGTACCCTTCACATTGGTGTACTAAATTTAAAAAACAATAGTTTGGGTAGTTCGCTTAAAATATTATTGTTTGTAAATTTGTAATTTGTTTGAAATTTGGCTAATCAACCCACGTATACATACATGTGCACACAAATGCTGTGGCAACAAACTGCTACTTACACGTACAGGCATGCAACTGGGAGTTTAGAAAAAACGGGGAAATTCTAAACCACACAAGACTTTGTGCAGTGTTTTTCAATTTGTAATGGCATTTATGAGAAGCAAAATACGAGGAAATCAGCGGATCCGAGGAAAAGTTGCATGCCTGTACTTACAACCCACTCTTTAGTAACTTCACAGACAACTGTTTCACCATAAATTCTGCAAAATCTGTGCAAAGCCTTGGTTCATAATTCCGTGCAGTGAACCATATGAAATGAAGTCTAGACAGTGGAACAGCATTGCTTGTCCCTAGGCGGGCCATTGTGCAACTGATTGCTTCCACCAGCCTCCCACCAGAAAGTAATGGGTACCCAGGGGGCCAAAATGCCGATTTGTTTGAATTAGCCGTTTGCATCAAGCTGTCTTCCCTCTAGCTAGCCACTGCTAGCCAGTCAAGACAAGAGAGCTCAGATGTAACTTATGGTACTGGTGTATGATAAGGCCAAACAAAAAAATTGTGTGTTTACGGTTACGGCCTGAAAAAAATCCAGGTAGGTAGGTAGGGAAATAACTTTATTTTGTAATTTTTTTTTTTCATTTCAGTTCTGCATGCCCATGTGTGTTCTTTCGCAAAAAAAATTGTATAAATACATTATTCAAGCACTCAAGATACTCAATCGATACATTTCATTCCAAATTAATTCGTTCTGGCGTCCGTCGGCCAGGCGCACCAGTTCAACCCAATGCATTTGTGCAAAAATAGTCGTACTTCATAGTTTGAAAATTCAAGTTATTAGATCGTCGCAATTTTCGCACGTGTCAAATCATGGTGAGTTTCAAGTGTGGAAATGGTTTATGTTCGTGGCAAATAATTAAAAGTACTTGAAATGTTTGAAATTTGTTCATTTAAAATGATCAATATCAACCTTTAAGACGGCAACAAAAAGTTTGAGGTCGGTAATTTGGCTGAAAAAATTCCAGGTCGGTCGGGTTACCATAAACACACCATTTTTTTTTTTTGGCCTAAGATCTTTTCACACTGTTGTCTTGCCTTTCAGTATTGTACTTCAATCACAAGTTGAAAGCAATACGCGGGACTCGGTCACAAGACATAATACTACAAGGCATACTGCTCACAGTTACACCAATGTGTACGGTATACTGGTCAGCCGTAGATTAAATAAATTTTGGATTTTGTAGGCCCTATCTTTTGTTGGAAACGGTCCTCTGTATTAAGTTTGTGAGCTTAGTGTATGGGAGAGTGTTATATTACAGGGACAAAGAGAAACACAAAGCATTGTCCTCGAGAGTATAGTAAAACAAGAGTAGGTGCTAGTGAGAAAGGGTTTCAAACAATCTCCATGTTGGACCCTAACACAGAGGTTTGATGATGTGAAATACGGTACTAATAATTATACAGAAATTCTTCTGCATGTTGGCAGATAGACATGTACAGTACATGTATATTTTTACCTTTTTGTTCACACAACACCACTTTAACTTTAAGGCTAATTTTACATCATAAAATACCAGCACATTGTACAACATAGGATGCAAATGTATTACACCAGTGGAATTCTATCCTTGTTACTTACATGTAAAACACGTACATACATGTTTCTACACCATGTGTGCATACTGCATGGATGATGAGAGATGACTGCTCAGTAGCCCATTTACAATCAAAGCGCAACATCATCTACCCGAGTACACAGTCATCGTAGCATCATCAATGCAGTGAATGTAACCTCTTCCAAGATCTTTATTAAATTAACCTCCAAAACTTTTAAGAGGGCTATCCATTATCCCACATTTTGCAATTGCTCAGAAAAAACTTGGTGATTTCATTACATTTACACTCAGCAGGACACACGTGGTATGAGTCAGAATATGTGCACAATGTGTGTATTATTAATATTTAAAGGATTGCTGAATTTGTAAATTGTGTGCATCATGCATGAAGATGTCTTCCGGCCTGTCCTTGAAGAATTGAAGAAAAAATGTCTTTCAGAAATGAGCAGGGGATGTTCCCATGAAATAATTAAAAGACTCTGTTCATATGCTCTGAATAGAAATTACAAATGTACATATTTCTAGAAATCTTCAACATTTGAAATTTTGTCCACTGAAAATTGAAATTTCTAATTTCTAAGTATGTGATAGTGATACTGCCTACAATTAAACAAAGTGTGGCTATCATGTTTTCACGTTACGGTACTAGATTTTAAAATGAGAAAAGAATCAAATCATGCGCATGATTGCAAGTATTGAAGATCAGGTTCTCATTTACACAGTTCATGTCTCTGTCATGCATGTATGCACCACTCAAGATGATGAAGAGGATGCTGGGCACGGCCCCACCGTCTTCAAATGTCATTTCATGATAATCATTACATGGGTCCAGTCAAACAGTGCCTCAGTATGTGGTGTTCATGTACCTTGTATGTACTGGATTTTGTATGGTACCGTACATGTATACAGAGTGATATACATTGATACATTGTATACTGTGCAATAATTTTGTATTCATTTCTGGAAATCATCTATTATAGGCAAACTTTGTACAGACTAATGAACTACCTTTCGTACATTTTTTACATTTGCGGGTATGGTTTCTTTTATCCGCTCTGTTCACAAGTACCCCCTCACCGGCAAAGAAAGCACAGTTGGGGGTGACCGACCGATGCCATCTTGCCTGACTGCAATTTTGCCGCGACGCGCGGCCGTACCATGTACCACTGCGTGTACATAGTACAAATCCCCTGGTGTACTGTACGTCACACACAAGGAACGGTACGCGTCAACCAGCTAAATGTCCCACCCATTGGACGTCGTTGCTAGGTAAAAGGGCGCCCTCTTTCATTTGTGCACGGAGCCCATACACTGTAGATTAACAGTTGTCAATGTGATGCTCATGGACCAGGGGTGGGGGGAGGGGGGGGGGGTTTCCAAACCTCTGAGTCCTCTTTAGGCTTCAAACCCTAACCCTCCTCACTCCTCCAAAATCCTCCTGGCGGTTTTGGAGGATTCTAAAGGATTGAGGATGAATGGTGATTGAAGCATAGTAGGATTTTGGAGGATTGAGGATGAATAGTGATTGAAGCATAGTAGGATTTTGGAGGATTGAGGATGAATGGTGTTTGAAGATGAGGATGATTTTGGAGGATTGAGGATAAATGCATTTTGAGGCAGGATTGTCTAATGAGTTTGAAGCGGCTTTGGTTATCCTTCATTTAAACACGAGTGCAAAGTTTTGGGATGAGGAGGATTTTGGAGGATTGACGATGAATGCATTTTGAGGCAGGACTGTCTGACAATTTTGAAGAATTTATGTGCTGTTGCAAAATTTTGGAGGATTTTGGAGGATTGAGGATGGTTCTTAGCAAAAAGGGCCTAGGGGGTTAGTTTAATTTTTAAGCCCAATCATTTAGACAATACACGGATGTTGTACTCCATAATTTGGCCCTTGTACAGGTACATGTAACAAATGTTGATGAGTTTTGTGGCTTCTTAAAAAGAACCGTCCAGCTCCACTGCCGTGGCTGTGTTCAGGATAATACTTGTGAAATATTGAGGCCGAACATTTCGCGACGGGAGAGTGTGGAGGTCGGAAAAAAATTAGAATTTTCTGCTACGGCAACTTCAATTGGTCTTTCTGTAAGGTTTGTAAAAACCTTACAGTTCTGGAAACAGGTACTAAAAGATACTGAACAGTACGTATTTCTAATGTGAAACCAGACGAGTAGGGAAGCAAGCTGCATCAACTTATCACCAATGGTCTACCAAACCTGCTTGGACACTATTGGCCAACTTGCTTTCAGTAGTTTCATTTTTATCGATGTCACTTTTACCCCATAATTTCCCTACAATATCAAACCCTGCCCTCTTTCCACAATATTAATCCTACAATTAGGCGATATTAAAAACACATCTAGTGTCCCCGCCTGCTTCCTTTTTGGAGGCCGCCTCCTTTATTTGTTTGGGTTTTTTTTAACGAACAAATTATAAATTTTCAATAGTGACATCATTTGGGCCTGTTGAACGAGCCATATAAAGCTCTGTTATGAGTCCAATGGCGGCCATCTAAAAAAAAAATTGCAGCCATCTTGAAAAATAGCCCGGTCGGGCTGCCATTTTGGAGGGAAAAAATAAATGGGCCTCCCGCTTCTTTTTTTCCAAAAATGCAGGACGCTAAATAGTCCAAGTAACTAGGAGTAGGACTCTACGAATCGCTTTTTAACATTTGGACATGGTTGGGCGATTATAAACGCAATACGGCTATCGATCGCGGACCCTACTATCGCCCGACCATGTCCAAATGTTAAAAAAGCGATTCGTAGCATCCTAGTTACTCGGACTAGACGCTTCACATGTTTTATTTCGCGTAGTAATAGTAATAAAATGGTGTTGTTGTCCTCTACTAAATTGAATCCAAAACTTGGCTTCTAAAATGGAATTTTTCATCAATTAATCAGCAACGTTCTACTAAACCAGCTTGTTTTTTTTCAGAAATATGTACAATTCGTAAACACACGAGGGTGCACTTTTAAAATTAGTCGCCATGTTCGTGAGTTTTGTCTCTCGCTCTGTCGTTGTTTTACCCTTCCCTCAAAATGAAAACCCGACCCTCTTTCCACAAAATTAATCCTGCAGATATACAACATAGTGTCATCGTCATCTACTTAACCTTTACCTTAGGTGAGTCCCGAAATTTAGAACAGAAGTAGATTTTGGTTCCCTTAGCAGCTAAACGGGGTCCGCAACTACATAAACGCCGGTATTTCGTCTGATCTCACTGCCTACCTTTTGAAGTTGAACCTTCGTTAGTTTGTCCACTCCAGCATTGTCCAGCAAATGTCAAATTAGGGCACAGCAATCAGCACAGTTGACATACACCAGTTTTGAAAACCTCACAATTTAATTAATCGTTAAAAACAGTACATGAAAACATGATCGCACACGTCCATGGGTTAAAAAAAACAATCCGAAGTAAACAAGCCCTGTCATCGCGTCAGCATGTCATCATCTCTTCTTTCATGTCTTTCATAAATTTCATTCATGCAAAGTGCAGCATGCAAGTAGTGCGCCCTCATGCCTTGGGCGCGACTTAGGCGCGCGAGGGCGCACTATACTGTGGTTTAGCACAATGTTATGTACATGTCATGCATGTGTACGTGTACGGGAGCATTGTGATTGTTAATCCATGATTCATTGTTCAACCAACTGGGTGGAGTAACTGAGTTTGGTTATTAATTAATGTTATATTGAATGTTGATAGATTGAGATGCGAAGAATAATTCCTTTGTAAGGTATGTATGACTTTATTCAGTGAGAAAAAGAAAGGAAAACATTTTGTAACCTAACGCCACTGTTTTCTTCACATCATGATCATCTCAATCAACTTATCAAGTGATCAATATTATTACTTAGCCCCATAAATCATGTGGCCGATAATTTACTGGACTACCTCCGTAAATATAGGCCACACTTCCACCATGTACACAAACATGTAGAACTTTGTCAAATTTTGATTTTCACATTTAGGCTTAGTTAGAATAAATGTTACTATTTAGAACTTTAGAAGTATCACTATCAAGCAAGTGGAATTTTACTGAACATTTTCATGAATCACATTCACAATATTTTTTTCTCTTTCAGATCTTGGCTGTAAAACTGCAGTAGAACTCAATCCTGCATCTTGCGCTTTGTGTGTGTCTAAAGATGTGACCATATTTGTTTCAAGCATTTACATGTACAGGAGATCAGGACAAAAATGCCCTTCAATTCCTGAAAGTGATCATTGTCTTAAGTTGACCAACACTGACCATATCAACAAAAATGTGCCAGTTCCAGAGTAAACAATTGTTCTGCAATATTTGAGTCGTTTTTCTTAAAAATAAAAATTTGACAAGTCACAAGCCATCCAGCATTATGCATCATTCCTCGGGCTCCCGATACAGACAGCGCTCGGCCGAGGAACGCATCCGTCGCAACGTCACCAACCCGGCCTACGTGACAGAAATAAGCCAATCGGATTACAGGGTTTCACCGGCCGAGGCTCTGACCAAGATGAAGATGTTGGAGCATTGCAATGCGGCCGTCCTCAACCCGGTGTTCCTGCCACAGACTGATCTTCCTGTTGATGATCCAGTAAGCTTACCTCACAATTACGTGTGATTTGATACATGTTCATTAGTTCCATTATTAACCCTAACTCCTTAGGCATTTTTGCTAGGATGCAGCCTCAATCCTGCACAATCCTCCATTTTTTTCTTGAATGTGGCCCTCGGAAGGGTGACCACTGCCTCAATCCTGCAAAATCCTCCAGCAATCACTGTCAATATGTTGAGGCAGAGACAGTGACAGCTTGGAGCAGTGCGGAGGATTTAAAGTATAATTTAACCCTAACCCCCTAGGCCCTTGTTGCTTACAACCATCCTCAATCCTCCAAAATCCTCCAAAATTTTTCAACTCCGCCTAAATTTTTCAAAATTGTCAGACAGTCCTGCCTCAAAATGCATTCATCCTCAATCCTCCAAAATCCTCCTCATCCCAAAACTTTGCACTCGTGTTTAAATGAAGGATAACCAACGCCAAATCCTTCAAAATCATCAGACAGTCCTGCCTCAAAATGCATTCATCCTCAATCCTCCAAAATCCTCTTGTGCTTCATTCACCATTCATCCTCAATCCTCCAAAATCCTCATGTGCTTCAATCACCATTCATCCTCAATCCTCCAGAATCCTCATTTGATTCAATCACCATTCATCCTCAATCCTCTAGAATCCTCCAAAACCGCCAGGAGGATTTTGGAGGAGTGAGGTGGGTTAGGGCTAATGTAGGCCTAACTTTATGCACGGCTGAGCATAAACAACACAAGGTCCGGCTCAAGACCTTGACACATGGCATCCTCCGAAATCAGCCACACATTTTTGCATTATACATATTTGTAGCCTCAATCCTGCAAAATCCTCCATTTTGCAAAGAGTATTTTGGAGGATTTGGGAAGTTCAGGGTTGACGAATCCCAGATTATTGACTGCCCCTTCCTGGGCCCATCTGAAAAACAAGACTGTGCAAGTCTAAAGCTATTCCTTTAAAGTCTTTTCATGCAATGGACCGGAATTAGCCCATTCATTAGCGTAACAGGGTAATCCTATATGATAGCACTGCCCACAAATGCAACATTGGTATAGATAATAAAGAATTTGTGCATTGAGGTTTTGAAGTAAAAACTCTTCTGTAATTTAAATTGTATCTTTCCACATGTTTTAGGACCACTTGATTCATCAAAAGAAAACTCAAGGAATTAGAAATAGTGGGAGTAACACAAATTTTCAACCAATGAGGATAAAATACGAGCAAATTTCCAGTTTTATGCATTCCTGCCATTTTGTCAATTTTTTTTGTAATTTGCAGAAACTCAATGACTTTATAAGTGCTGACAAAGTTGTGATCAATCCGTTCTTTGGAATGGGAGTGCCCGACTACAGCAAGTTGAGAGCGACGTACAGTGAGGCCCAGCGAACTACAATTCATGCCCCTCCAGAGAAGTACGTCGGCAATATTCTTCGTAAAAAAAGCTGTGATGATTGTCTCTTAATTTGTTGGCGTAGGGAATTGGTGAAATGAAATCCCAAGGTCTAAATGTTTGTTGTTGTGTGTGGCTGGGACAGCAGTTGATAGGTGTTTTATCAACAAATTTTAGACTAAAAGACATAGATGATGTATAATTCAGACTTTTTCAACTTTCCTGCCTAAAGCAACATTTGTCTTTTTTCTCAAAATCTGATTTTTTTATTAAGTATCAATGAATTTGATGAAATGGCACATCTGTATTGCAAGCGCAATTTTGAACTCCTCTACCAATCGTCAGTATAAAAACAGTTTCTATGGTAGAAACATCTAAGTATTTTATGACTGGAATGTCAAAGCCTTAACCTACAAATGTATGACACGTGCTATAATGTGAAACTATGTTGCAAAGCTACCAGGTTGTTGCATGTGGTGATTATTTGCAGTAAACTCCACGTTGTTTTCAGAGGTTTCAGATTTAGTTGTAGAAAATGCAACACTCCAGACCTTCATGCCTACTTTCAATTTTTTTCCCCCCAAAAGCCATCTCTGAAAAGACCTACTTTCATTCAGCACTAACAAGAAAATTCTTCTGATTTCGTTGATATAGTTGGGTAGATCAGTTTCCACTGCACAGCGCAGCATACGAAGGTGATGCCGAAACAATCAAACAACTCGTCACTGTGGGTTACCATGCCGACCAGCCGGACATGCACTCATGGGTACCACTTCATTATGCATGTTGGTAAGTAAACAAAATTTGGCAAAAATGAAATAAAGAAATGTTGGACATATTTCTTTTCACATGCGGCTTCTCATAAAAGCAATGTCTTTCATGTATGTGTGCTATAAGGTTTTTTGTGTGTGTAAAGAGCTAGTGCATTTTTGAGGTTTCCAATGATTTTTCTTACAGTTTTATCAACATTATTATATACGCATGTAGCTCTAAACTTAAATGAATATTTGTATACAGGAATGGTCATGCGGATGCTGTGAGGGCGCTATTACAGAATGGACGCTGTTCACCTAACGCAGAGTAAGTTATTGTCATTATAAATGTAGGCTTAGCTTAGGAAAATGCAAAGTTAAAAGGTGGAAAGTTACTGGAGGTTTTCCTCAAGGTTTTACCAGGTACCTCCAGATTCAACCTCGACTTACCGCTGGTTAAAATTTGCATTGTTCCCTTAACCCTAAAAGGGCCGTGGGAGGGGGAGGCGGAATCCCCCCCTCAACTTTTTCTGTGATAGCCTTGAATTTTTTTTTTCTCGTGACCCGAGCTGTTATGACGTTTTAGCCTCGAGCCTAGCACATCTTTTAATATCAAAAACATAAAAATCGGACCACGGGTTGCTGCGCAACGAAAAATTTTCCGGCGCTATGCCGGAAATTTTTTAACAACGATGTTCGGTACGTTTTTTACATTAAAACCAGGAGCCAAGGCTGATGTTCGGTGTAGCCGAATGTTCGGTATAGCGGTGTTCGGTATAGCGGTGTTCCACTGTAGTTGCACTTCTGATTGTCTTGTTTTCAGGAATGAGAACGGATCAACTCCTCTCCATTTTGCATCTTTCCGCGGCCATGCAGCAGTTGTACAGCTACTGGTCACACATCCCGACATAGACAAGGTAGGTTCAGCATGTGTAATACATTGTAGACGCACGTGGGTGTCAACATGTGTGCCTGTCTAATGCCACACTGCATGTTCTGTATGCGTAAAATGCTACACCTAGCAGTGCAGAAACATTCATGGAAAAATAATCAAAACGGAATTAAGAAGCAACAATTGCTGTGTTAATGATGCAATTTATGATGCAAATGAGGCCAGTGATCAATCTGTAAGAACACAAGTTTGCTAGTTATAAAGGTTTCTGAAGTATTCGGAAAATTTGGAATCGGAATGAGTTCCTCTGGTCACATTGTACATGTGCGCATATATGATATATCTGCTGAAAGCCAGGCTATTTCCAATCAGTTACAAAAGTTATGTTTGAATTATTTTTACTTTGCGTTGTAGACAGTCGTTGACAAGGAAGATCGGACTCCACTGAATCTGTGCGAGGAATCTCGGCAGAATGAGTGGGAGATGGTAGCTGCTCTCCTCAAAGAAGCCACGCAGAAACCTGTAAGAAACTTCTCTGATTCAATTACAACAACAAAAATAGACCTGAAAACGAGGATGGACTTTTTAAGGCCGTGTCTTAATTAATGGCTACTGCTGGAAATGACACACGGGCCTATACAAACGGCTGCAGCCACTTCCCATAGGCCCATGTGTTATATCCAGCCGTAGCCAAATAATTTGGACGCGGCTATGTTTTTTTGACAGAGTAACTCTTGCTGTCTAAGGGAATTACCACTACACTTTAAAGGGGTTTGTGGAATGCTTGAAGACATTTCCGTCATTTTTCGGGTATATGTAGCCTAAGGTGTGATGAAATAAAAACGACTATTGTGTCTGTCATGAAATGAGTACAAAAGGTACTTTTGAGAGCTGATTTTCAGGTCCTGTTTTGACCGGAATGTGCAATTTGTGTAAAAGTCGTTGTTGGGGGCAGCAGACAAAACATAGTAAATCGTGACGTAATAAACAGGACTCCCGATGCAGCGTAGTATAAACGAGTTGATTGACTTGATTTGAATTGATTTGATTGACAGCCAGTAAGAATTGACGTTCATCTGATGGACCTTGACGGTTCCCACGTAATGTTAGAACTCCCTGCCGGCAGCAATACTACCGTGTCACAACTTCTCAAGGTATTTCAGATTCAAATTCCTAATTCCTATTCCCCAGTATTGATAAGAAGTTAACGTTTTCTTGTAAAATGAACAGTGTAGTAGCTTGAAGTTACAATAGCAAAATACGATACCAAAAGTCCTGATTTTACAGATGTGAACTCCTGAGAAGTGAAACATTCTAAGTTTTTAAGTATTGTTTCTAAACTCGCAAAGATTTTTTTTAATAATTACTATAATTGCAGTACATATTTATTAATCATTGCAATTAATGTGCATGCATTGAATGTTTGCAGCAACTGGAGTTACCACGAGGTTGTCAGCACGCCTTTGCAATATGGATAGCGTCACAAAGCTTACGTAAGTCCCTGTTTTACTCAAGAAGTAGTCAAAAGCCTAGGGCTGTAAATCCTTCTGCAATTGCAGCATTTCTGGCATTTTTTAAATTTCTGAAAACATTTGCACTAGTGTACCCTTTTCTTGTATAGACCATGTTTTTTATGATGTGATACCAACAGGCAACCAACGGGCAAGCGATGGACAACCTAAACACATAAGGGCAATTCCACGGTTACTCACGTTACATTTTCGTAGCGTGAGTAACCGATTTTGTGCGTCTTGTTTATCATACATAACACTTTTTTCTGGATGTCATCTTTGGTGCTTAGGTAGGTCTGGGTCTACTCTATCTACCATGGGGATAACAGTTATTAAACCTTTTCAGTAAGGTAATTACAGCCCAAGGAAACTCACACGTGCATCAAAAATGTTACGTGAGTAACCGTGGAATTGCCCCAAAGCATCTTTTGCATGTTATTTTGCCCACAATCAGGTATTAATGGCTATTGTAGGGTTTCGACATGAACTATACCTCAAATTTCCTGTCCAAATGTTACACCCGACTTAACGTCCTGACAGCTCTATTGCAAGTGTAGCAGGAATCTTTCCGATTTTCTTGCATAGATTTGCAGATGAGGCCAGAACACAAGCCAGTATTACACGTCAAACAGTGGAGTATGATCATCCGACAGCTGACCAATTACAACCCAGAAACAGAGCAGCCGTTGCTGTATCTGAGACGAGACGCATTGCTCACAGTGGATGACGAAAGGACGGTAAGAACACAAACAAACTCACCTCCTTAGTTTGGAAACTCTTACTTCAAATATGTGCATTTTGTGCTCCAATATTAGTTATCCCACGAGTGTGAGTAATGGGTATTAATGTTTCTTATATAAAACACAGACGCACTGCATTTTCCATGTTCATTTTTCACAAGCGTGGGTGGAATCACAAATTTATCTTCAAGCAAACTTGACGCACAGTAGAGATGGAGCGTGCACGCTGCAGCCATATTTCAGCGGTTTTGGGGGGATTTTCTACCCAGGTAGAGCCTCTTAAAGGGAATATACATCATTGGCTTTTGCTGTAGTTTTCAGAAATGAACTATTTGAGGGGTTAGTATAATAGATCAAATATTGTTACACTCACATGTTTGAAGTTTTGTGTTTGAAAATGCTGGAAAAACCAAGAAAAACACTAAAACACTCCACTAAATATAAAATGGATCAATTTACAGATGGCGGAAAATTGTAAGGTAAGGGTACCAGTCTAGCTGGCCTGCACCCGTTCATGAACATGTAACCAATAGCAAACAAAATTTGGACTGAATTAATGGTAAATTTGGAACAGTAGTTGAAAAATAGTTTTTCCAACGGTGGTCGGCCGACCACCGCTGGAAATTTTTACAAAAATACCATTTTCTTGAAAATGACTTCACACCAGGTGCCATAATTTTACAGGATGCTTTAGACTGTCATTTACCAACATCCTATTAAGGTATTTCACAAAAACTTGGTAGTTTTATTTTTCAATGTTTGCAAATGTTGTATATTCCCTTTAACCCTGGTCCGAATCATGGTGGGATTGCACCTGTGCAGAGCACCATACCTGTGCAGAGCACCATACCTGTGTAGAAGCCATGTTGGGTTCCTGCTAGTCTGAAATGGGTTCCCTGAATCTCCGGGGCCAACACAGAGATTTTGGACAATGCGAAAAGCCCCCTATCTCATGAAGACTCATGTCATTCTCTGTACGGATCTTAAAATAATTACTATTTTCATTTCTCACCAGATCAAGGACGCTCATGCAGTCAAGACGCTTTTTGACGAGTGCCTAGTCAACGTTCTGAAGGGGATGTACCCCTGCAGTGATGCTGATGCTGTTACGTTAGCGGGGCTGTACATGCAGGTAAGCATGAAGAGGACAAAAAGAGACAGTTAATTGAAATTCATTTCATTTGTTCAAGATTTTTCAAATGCCTATTTTTGGTTTACATTTTTCTATTTGTAACGGAAAATTGAAAACTTTAAAAGGATAGTGTGATTAAACACTCGGCTAATAATGACAATAGTAAATAATTTTCAAACGTTTTTGTAAACCAGTGGCTTAAATGTGTACAACAGAACGTTTGCAAATACCGTAAATTTAAAATTTTCCTTCAAAATTTTTGAAGAGTCTAAAAAAACTTGTCACTATCAATGTTACTCTCATGTGGTTTGTAATGTTAAGCTTTTCAGCTTTTTCATCTTTCAACAGTAACATACCACAAATGCCATTTCTTTTATGCATTATCTCTTTTGTTTTTAGATTGTCTACGGGGATCATGACCCCAGAAAGCACAAGCCAAGTTTCCTGACGTAAGTTCTGTTCAGACACGAATATTCATTGTGGTTAAAAGAATAAAATCCCTTAAAAATGCAAGTTGTTCAAGTAGAGTGCTTGATTACTTTAGGGTTTGTCAGTTCTCCATTGAATGAAATGTTTTTTTGGTAATAATTGAAATAAATAACTTCGTAGGGAAGTAGCTTAGCAGATACGCCATGGACAAATCTCTTTTGTGACTTAAATATCTTTGGTTTAAACTAAAAAAATGATTCATCTTGAAACTTAAAATAACTTGTTCTCTTTGTTCTTGAAACAGCAACATCAACCTGCGTCATTTCATCCCAGCCATCAAACTGGACACAAAGAGTCAAGGAGGGCGCTCTGTCAACTGGGCGCAGAAGATAATCACAGAGCATCGCAACGTCACGCAGAAAGGCGTCAAAGATGTCACGGTAAGTAGAAATTAATGTCATCAGATTTCCTTTGATTATAGATTTAAGCAAGATACCCTTAATTTCGTACTACACAAGTTAATACTGGATTGTATTGGATTTGACAATTGCAGAAACTACAGTTGTTGTACCTTGAGCACTGTCGCGGCTTCAGCGTGTACGGGTCAGCCTATTTCTTTGGTTCAGCTCAGCTGGGTCCGTCACCAGGCAGACAGTCTGGTTCCAACCAGGCGCCACCGGTCTTTGTGGGCGTCAACTGCAGGGGTATTCATCTCATCCATGCAATCAGTAAGGTACGTGATGACAGTTTACTCAGATTGCAATGTGGGTTCAGATCCAGACAAGAGCCATTTGCTGATTTGTGTTCCTAAGCAGCAGGCCTTGCAGCAATCGCTTCATTGCCACACAAGTGGATGCAAGTACATGGCAGCCTCAGTGAGAAATGGATTTCTGGTCACTGGGCAAGCCCGTGATTTGGAGATACGTGTTACTGACACCACTGGAATCTATGAATGCCATGAGAAAAACAAGTCTTTTTACACTGTGCATTTAATTTCCTTTCCAGTCCTTGTTACATCCTTTCTCATGTTCTTTTCTTCAGTCGATCCCACAAATCGACGGTGTTTTCACGAAGTGACAAAAACTTGCAAAATCGATAATTTTTTTCGATTTTCAGTTTTGCTGGCCAACTTATTGCACTTGACAAAAAGAAGAATTTGGCGAGTTTCAAAGCGAAATATTGTTTACGTTTGTAATTATCGTAAACAAACATTTGAAAAAAAGCCTGAAATCTGTGTTTTTGTTTTCATGAAGTGACAAAAACTTACCTCGTAAGCAGGGCCAAAGGAATAATGCATTTCTTTACACACGCGTTAGGATGGGAGTGGACGCGCCGCAAAAGATGTCCATAAAGAACAGACGCGCACGTGCTGCAGTGCGTAAGACGCGCAAATGTAACAATTTCTTGGAACGTTTTGTTATTTCACAAAGTGACGAAGAGTGTGTACAACTTAGTGGGACAAAATAGTGAGGCCTCTGGGTTTTGCTGTTTTCACAAAGTAAAGAATGTCTTTATTGATCTTTATTAATGAATTACAGTTTAATTAAGAGAGACTTCTAATAAACAACTTTGAATTAGCAAAGAACAAAGCATACGTTACTTGACAATGCAAGAATTTCCAAAATCTATAACTAAAAACTAGTCGAAAAGGTGTTTTGAAAAAACTATTAACTTCAAAGGCGATTATCTCGGAATGACCTTTTTGCATGATATTGAGGTTTTTGTCACTTCGTGAAAACGCCGTCCATTGTGTGTAAGGTTTGAACTATATGTAGACATGATACGAAATACACAATGCTGGCACTGTGCCAAGAAAGAGGCGGTACATGTGTGTAAACCAGATGTGGATTGCGAATACGTGTATTTCATATGTGTTGCATATATCAGGCACTGGCTCACAAGGGAACATCTTGTGACCATGTGTTGGTGGCAGCGTTGGTGTTGTATAGCATTTCCTAATTATTTTGATTTTTTTTTTTCTTTACAGTCCATGAAACTGAGTGAGAGCTACAGACCCGGTCTGACGTGGCAATGCTCAGCCGATATGCAGACGCTCAAACTACACATGCAGGACCATGGAGGCACAATACGCACTGTGCCCATCAGATCCAAACAAGTACGTCTACCGCCTGCCAATCCTTCACCCTTTCTATCTCAGTTGTAGAGTACTAAAATGACAACAATTCTGGGCACTATTTAATGGCTTTGTTTAACATCCGATACAAGACTTGATACAAGGTGCGCACTGAATGGTCAGAATCTTGAGGTCAAGAAGCAGTCTTGTTTTGCATAATTAATCGCCGAATCTGCTCGCGTATCATAGACCCTTGCTGTGCAAAAGTCTATTCCATAGACTAAGGGCCGGTTGCATCACTGGTTAACAATAGCCTTACGCATCAATAATGCACGGCAGGGAGCCACGAACCGGTCGTTTCATGATGTTTTGACCATCATTAGACTAGAGACTTTGCACCCTGTTATTAGTGCGCCCTGCTGTTAGTGCGCAGGCATAGGTTACGTCACAAATCAACCACTAGTTGGCTAATGGTGCTTGCCTGAACTTGCTCGTTGATTCCAATGTCATGTCTTTTGTTGAATCATTTTTCAGGCCGCAATCATCGGCAACCTTGCCAACAAGATTTCAGGACGACAGCCGGTCCCCAGCACCCAATCATCGGTACCCATGGGCAGGACAGCTAGCTCCTAAAGCCTGCCGCTAGAGGGCGCCATTTCTGTCAAAACAACTCTGTTCCGCAAGGGAAAGAGCTAACACACATGTTAGGCTGGCACTTCAGATTCGAGTGGAACTAAAAAGTAATTTGAAGCAACTCAGGTCCGCCGAGTTAGAATTTGGTTTCAGTCAGGCAAACTTTAATTTCCCATTTACTAGGGTAACATTTAAAATCAAGATGCTCTGTTGGAGTCATTCTGAGTACCTGTGGCAGTCGATCTTTCATGTCTTGCATGTGAAGGCGGTCCTAATGTTTCACATGTCAAACTCAATTCAGATTTTTAGGAAAATTTAATTTGGTGCGACTCTGGAATGCCAATCAGAAACAGGTGTAAGCTATTAACGTGTGTGCACAGTATTAAATGTTAATGTTGTATCCTGCAAAATGTGTTGGACTACTGGAAGTTGCTAAAAACCTGCCTCAGAGTGCTGTACATGTGGGCACGAGACATAGGTGTATTGGTGTCTCTATGAACTCTGTGTGTGTACTAGAGAGGGCGCTGTGACACCTACAACTGATATCCAATTCGGGCGATTCACAATGCAGTGCGCCACCAAGAGTTTGCCACGGAGAGTTCATTTTTCCCAGTGCATTGTGGGAGATGGTCGACAAATTTGCAGCGCGGGACATTTGAAATTGTTTCTTTTTCCGGTCAGTAGTTTCGTAAGCGTATGATTCGAGTATCTGTTTGCCCTTTTTTTCTTTTTATTAATATGGTGTTTTTTGTAAGGCGGCAGAACGCTATGCCCCAATCTATAACAAATAAGCTCAAGTTGTCTACTGACACTCATTCAAATGGGCCATGTTTTGTCGACCTTAAACTTGAAAAATGATCTCTCCATGGCAAACTCTTGGTGGCGCACTGCATTGTGAATCGCCCGAATTGGAAGGACAGTGGTACTGTGTAATAGGGCAGGGTTTTTGTTGCTTGCATCCTGCCTGCATGTTCGTGCACCATAGGCATCAGGATCATGCCCATGAACCTTCCTTCCAACCTTTTTTTACTGTTGAAGGGGGAATTGTGTACTAAGACTAAGACCGTGTTATCCTGTCGTATCAGTGACTGTATAGGGACTCTCACACTATCCAAAATTGGGGATCTGACACGGCGATTTGGGGAACCCTTTCACTCGAGCAAAAAGCCTACAAGGGTTCAGCAAAGGTCCAGCACTCTACCCAGGTACAGCCTCTCATCCCTGGTCAGCAGTGGTCGGGTGTTAGTGTGAACGGTATACCTTGCCGACCCAGTTCCGATTAAGATGGACCTGTGTTGATAGGCAAGACGATTGTGTGAAGAGGTCTTATGCTGCTATTGGCCTTTTCCCACTAGAGCCTCTTAACCCACGTTGACCTCAACCCTGGGTGAAACCAGTGCCGCCCCGGGTTGAGTTTATTTTTCAACCCCGCATTCAACCCTAACGGTTTCACACTTGTTTCGTGCAAACCGAGCTTATTTTACTCAGTTACTACTGTTTGGAACCCTGGCACGATTTTCAACCCGGGTTGAAAATGTCAACCCTGGTCTGGAGCAGGGTTGAGTTTAAACCAGTGGGAAATCTTTCCCAGGGTTGACGCTGGGTTGACGCAGGGTTGAAAATTTTCCAGTGTGAAACACCGCGTGTTTTCAACCCTGCGTCAACCCCGAGATTTGTCTAGTGGGAAAAGGCCTTATTGGATTTACGGTGAGTAGATAGGTGATTTTAGCATTCTGAAGTATTGTGAAATGCCCAATTGAACACTCAGTATAATAACTAATATCGAACATCCACTTAATGCCAACCTTCTTGTATTTGTTTTAGAATCCATCAGCCTCTTTTTGTGCCCACACGTTGCTCTCAGTGTGACAATGACAAATCTGTGACTGTTTTCAGTTACAGAATACCACGTCGTTGTTGATTGTTAGAAAGTGAACTTTGAAACATGCTTTGAAAGAAAATTCTTCACAGGGGTCAGAAGTCGTTTCATATCTTTGACTTTTCTTGGAGCTAAGATGTAACGTTCTTTCTAAATGTGTATTATCTTAAATCAACCCTATACTATTACTCTATTTGGTATTCAGCTTGTTAGCACATTGTAAGTGGTATTTCGTATTTTATTTCAAAGGAATTGTAAATAAAAGGAAGATACAAGTACTTTTAAAGTGTTGCTCATTTCATCCAATCGAAGTTTGTTTGTTTGTTAGTTTGTTTTGTAATCAAATTTTGCATTTATTTTCTATGTTCCAAGGTGCTTCATACAAATTACAAGTTCTTCACTGAAAATGTAAAACACTTACAAGTTTGTGAAACAAACTGTGAAACAAACTGTGAGATCCCTGAATGTGGTATTCCAATTAAAATGAAAGAGTTCGGATCATTTACTAGTCTGACCAAGCGAAATGCTTCATCAGCTTTCTTAAAACTATAAGCCAGCACACCAAAGAAAGTACACTTCAAATGAACATTATTGTTGATAGATTTTAATAAGGTTACAATCTTTGGTACACAGGGGAAATTCCATCACAGAGGAAATTCCTTCACAGAGGAAATGCCATCACTTGATCAAGTGTTTATCATGAGCATACACTGATAACATTATTATAACATCTGACAATACTGATATTAACAATGATGGTTTTTACTTTACATGGACAATATTTCAAGGAATTCACCATAACTTACCCCCAAATATTCATTGCGCAGGCATATTTATTATTATCTTTCTGGTACTGAAGCAAAGGAATCCCCAAAAGCACCCCAGGCACTGTAAGCTCGCAAGCCTGAAGAAACTTGTAGAGGAGACAATGAGAAGAAATTACAGTTTTAGAGGTGGGAGGAAAAAATCCAAAAGAATATTCTGGGGAAACCCACGGAATCAGGTAGGGACTAAAAACCCAATCCAAATGTGGACGAAGGCAGGAATCGAACCTGGGCCACAGAGGTGGAAGGCGAGGAAAGTGACCACCACGCCAACCTGACTCGCCCTTATCATTTTGTTGTGGGTTACATCGCACCCGGATTTGTTCAAGGGGTATACTCCGAACACTTCCTATATTCCTCATTGCAGTTTTTTTCTCATAAAACTTTCACTTTTGTGATCCTAACACGATTTCCAAAATTGTTCTCATGCTGTGTGCTCCAAAGCCTTACACACTCTGTTACCCACTCTCACAAAATGATTGCAAACAGTTTGTACTTTAGCCTTGTTCAATGCGGTCTCTCAGCTTTTTGTCAAAGGGAGATAATCGGGCCCTGGCCCTGCACCCACAATCAACGCGGCTACGTGCGTGTACCACGACCCTTGTCCGTACGAACGGTTCGGTACTAACACAACCAGCAAGCACACACACGTGAGTACGGACTGTACATGTACGCATGGTGTAATAAGGCAGTAAATGTAGGCCTACTGTGTTCTGCGTGTGGGTGTACGTACGTACGTACGTACGTGTGGGTGATATACGCGCCGCGTGGCCTCTCGAACGGGTTACGCGGACTAGCTCATGCATGCACTGTGTGTGCATGGCTGTTGTACGAGTACATGTACGTGTGTGTACGTGCGTACGTGCAAGCATAGCCTCGCTGTATGGTACAAGTTACTTTCTCACTAGCAGCGTACGGGCATCGATATATGTGCACGCAATTATGCCTTGCCAAGTTGATTAGGGATTTTCTTATCGGCGATTTTATCGGCGAATCGATAAGCCCAACGCCTTGGTCAAGGCTATTTGTACTTCTGCGTTTATCTTCAAGCAAACTGGAATCCTTGATCCTGATTGGTCGATTCATGGCAACAACAGTGTGGTGTTATCCCGTACACCAGAGTCCATATCACATTCTGCGTATATTCTAAGATATGCACGCTATTCCTAACTGCGCACGCATGTAATAGGATAAACACTGAAAAATGTGTGTGCAATGTGTGTGTTCTGTCTTTATTGTGCGCCAAGTCTGCTTGAAGATAAGTTTGTTATTCCACACACACTCATGCAACACGGCATCCCATATGCCTTGTGGCATGTGGGACACAGATCCAATACATTATTTCATGTTTCAGTCCTGCTCGTACGATGACTAAGGCAAAAAAAAATAATAGTTCTGCTTCCGGTTACCCTACCTACCCTATTTTGACAGCCCCTACCCTAATCCTTTTTTTGGGGGGGGGGGGGGATGAGGAAAAAACAACAAAAATCATCAATTACTACCTTTTACCCTTGACTACACGCAGACACCTCCATATGATCATACACCAACAATTTGCCAAAAACAAAATGTCCCTACCTACCCTATTTTCAAATGCCATGTAATAGGAAGCAGAATTTTTTTTTGGCCTAACAATATCATGTCTCCCATAAGATTTTTCAAAATTCTCACACCAACAAAGATTGCACGATAGTCAAATTTGATAAATTTGTGTGTGCGTGTTTAAACACTACTACTGCTAATCACTGCACATCATTCTGAACTTTCATGCCGAGACCACATTCATTACCACTGTATCAACATGTAGTTACTGCTACAGTTTAAGACACTTTATAATCATGAAAAGTCAAATGTATTGCACCTTTAAATACACATATAGTAGGCACTCCTTTCACGTTTTGCAGAAAATCATATTTCCATTGTTGAATAACACCGAATAATTCACTGGAGATTCAATTATTTTATCCAGATACACTGGAATTTTCTACATGTCTTTTAACCAATATTTAGATTTTTCTTTATCAGACAACGGAAGGAATGTGAATTTTTAGTTTTTGTTGGAAACACTTGTTATAAACACGGACGCTTTTTTCTAACTACATGTACATGTATCATTGCACAGCATTACACAAAGCTATGTTATTATTAATTTTGCCTTTTGCACAAACAGTATTAGAGGTGACAAAAATGAAACGCATACATGTATGTAAATTTTTTTAAGGAATTTGGCATTGACAGCAAGCGATGAAATTAAATTAATGAACAAGGGTTAGACCACGTCCCAACCGTTTGGGAAATTCCAGCGTCACGGACATTACAAATAAGACAATATTTTTTTGTTCTTGAGTGACTTAATCTGAAAATGCTCAAATCTTACACATTCATCGTCTGCTAATGGTCAAGGATACACACTAGCAGTTTGGATCATTTCTCTAAATCATGAATTTAAAAGCCCTTTTCTCACCAGAGAAATCTCAGGGTTGACGCCGGGTTGAAAACACGCATCGTTTCACACTTGAAGAATTTCAACCCTGCGTCAACCCTGCGTCAACCCCGAGATTGATTTCGCCCCGGGTTGAACTCAACCCTGCTCCAGACCAGGGTTGAGATTTTCAACCTGGGTTGAAATTCTTGCCAGGGTTCAAAACAGTAGCAACCGAGTGAAATAAGCTTGGTTTGCATGAAACAAGTGTGAAACGTTGCAGGGTTGAACGCAGGGTTGAAAAATCAAAAACTCATCCCGGGGCGGCACTAGGTTCACCCAGGGTTGAGTTCAACCCGGGTTGAGAGGCTCTAGTGTGAAAAGGGCTTATAATATATATCTTGGTAAATTAACTCTGTCACGGACGTTACTTTTTTTTTGTTTAATGTAATGTCCGTGACAGAGCCAATTCACCAATTATCCATGATATCAGTCGGTGTAGTGCACACCCCTACAAAATCATCCATTTAAAAAGAAATTGGTAAATTTAACAAAGTCTATTTAATACAGAGTCTACAATAATACATCATAATCATATGTATTTCAGGTCCCATAAATAAATATCTATTTTGATATAATCATGCACAATATGTACACTGAAATAAACAAAAACAAAAAGAAACCAATAACCTTATTTACAAGATATTAAAATTACAGCTCAGTTTCGAATCATGTCATTAGAAAAAAATTTGGTTGGTGGTACGGTGTCAACATATGCAGAGAAAAGGAATAGCGTGTTCATTCGAATTACTACTGCATTCCCACCATTTTTCTTTTTAATAACACTTATCACATACAAACGTCTGTTAAAAGCCTCAAATCTGCCCGAATCCAAAATTAAGTAGCCAAATGGCACACAATTTGCACTTTTAAGAAAATTGGGATGTCTGGATCCAAGTAAAAGTAGCTACATTCAGGCTCTAAATCCTGAATTCTGATTTTATTAAAATACTGCAAACCCAAGAGTGAATGTTAACTGCTGCAAAATTGCAAGGGTGAATGGAATCAAAATTAGTTCAATACATTTTTGACAGTTCCGGCACTCATGGTATTTGGGCGCCACGTTGCACTTCATGCACCCTTAAAACAGAGTTGCGAGAATGCAAATCCAAACAGACCTGAATCATAATGACGTCGCGCTTTGTTTACAGCGTGGCTCAACAACAATGTAGCAGTCAAACAACTTCTTTTTTTCTGAGGAATCTAAATTGGTTTTTTTTTTTTTGGTGGTAAAACATTTACCATGAGAGTGTTTCTTTACCCTGGACAAGATTTTTGTTCGGTGCAATTTGGACCTTTGGTTTAAAAGTTACGGCAATGTAAAAGTAGCTACATTTAGGCTCTAAAACTTGTTAAGACTGTCAAAATCTGTTTGGGCCACTATTCAGATTATTTGGTATCTAATGAAAGGTATTCACACACTTTGAATGCCTTTCATTATAGATACCAAGTGGCCCAACTTGGAATTCAAATCCTTTCATTTAATGAGCTGTATCTCTGGACTGGGGTGTCCAATTGAGATGGGATAAAAGACCATTGTGTAGAGTATTTACTACACATTGTCGTGTTCGTGCAACAAGGTCGTATTTCCTGAAATGGGCTGTACGTGAAACGCAAATTTCAGAATGTCAAAAGGTCGTATCTCACTTAAAATAACCCGGATGTACACACAAAGTCGATGGACGTCGAAATACGACCTTGTTGCATGGAGCGTATTCGCGCGATATACGACTTTGTTGCAGAATGGAGTTACGACCTTGTTGCACTGACGCAACGACATGTACCTTCAGACTCTAAAGATAAGTTTTGTAAAAAGAGACTGCTAGTATATTTATTACTTACGGATTGACTGCTACATTTTTTTTGGCACATGCTGTACATACAAGTGCACTTTCCTATGGGAGCCAGGTAGGAAGGAACGAGAGCACATGTAAACAATGTGTGATGACATTGTGATTCAGGTCTAGTATTTCCCAGCTAATACAAGAAACTTCAACACTTATTTATTATGTTACATTTTAAGCGCACGATTGCACACATGACGAAAACTCGATCTCACTGACAGTTGTACCAAAAACTGGCACATCCACATCATGCAACAACTTCACATTTTTTTGCATACAACGGAGTCATACTCTTTATTGTCACATATTTCACCACTGCTCTTACTAGACTCGGAGTTAACTGTTATTCCTAAAATGTCACGTATACTGAGGGATTATTGAGAATAATTTCATTGCGATCTACATTGTGTTATTTTAGTTTTTGCTTTGTATGCTTGCATTGAACAACAGTACTTCCTGAAGCTCATGAAATTCTCAAAATACAATGTTTACGTTCAACAATTTTGTTAGTGCAAATGCACTGGTACCATTATTACATGTAGGCTCCACTTTGATAACGGGACTAATACCACAGAAAATTCACATGGATTTAGCAAATTTAGTCTCATGAATGAATTTAATCCTTTTTCCCCGTTGATTTCTTTGTATAGCATTTGATTAATACCAGAACTTGCAATGCAGCACATTCGAATGTCCCTCACATAATAGGGAAATCTCAGCAAAGTAGCACAGTACTGCAGCTTCCAAAGATGATTTTTTTCTTCAATAATAATAATATCAGAGTTTTATGTAGCTCACGTATCTACCAACTACACGTAGGTACTCAAGACGCTGGAAATTATGTCTATTATTAAAGACAGGTAAATGAAGTCTATGAGAAATATGAGACCCATTATGTCGCACCTTATAAGGGTTAACAAGGTGCTGCGGCGCATGTTGCAGCCACTGCCAGAAACACCGGGGCAAACCCCTTCTCTTAGCGATAAGTGTTACTGGGTTCTTTAACGGGCATTACACAACACACGGGACCTACGGCTTCACGTCCCATCCGAAAGATGAAGCAAAAATGGTAAAGTGCCTTGCTTAAGAGCACAAGCACCATGTTCCAACGGTCAGGATTCAAACCCATGTACCACGGCACACAAGTCGAACACCGTAACCATTGGACCACAGCACCCCACTGTGGCACAGTATTGCAGCAATGTGTCTCAGTGAAATCTTGCCACAAATATTTCATATCTCCATGTACATTGCGTTAATTATGGGCCGGGTAAGAATACATTTCATAACACATTGATTAGAACTACATGGCTTGGACTTGAAGAACTGATAAACGAATAACAAAGAATGTTTTTTTATTACAGAAATTCAAAGATGATTACATTTCGTTAGATTTTCCTCTCTTGCATCAGTGCAGCAGAAAAAAATTTACCACAATTTTCTTGTACCCTAATATAATACAAAACCAATCTAACCCCTAAGTACACATATCTTTGCATGTTTAGTAAAATTTGAATTTACAGAAATTGAAGCTTGTAGGTGGCACGCAGCGCACGTTTTTAATGCAGGGAGTCCTCGGGTAGTTTATCGTATCTTGTCAGCAGGTAGCAGGCCTCCAGGGTCGTGAACATGTGACCCCACTGACCCGGGTCAGACTTGACCTCCATCAGGTCATTGATGAGCTGAATCTCCGAGCCCAAGTGCGGTATCCTGAAAGGAGAAATGTCTCATTTTTAGGACAGGAAATTTTCACTTACTGCATGGATTTCAAGAGCTTTAACTCACTGGAATAATGAAACCAAAATAATGAGGGATATGTGCGATTGGGGCGCTCCATAACAAAGAAATTTAGCCTGAAAAGAAAACAAATATCCTGCTATGCCTGCAAACAAATATCTGGCTATGCCTGAAGAGTCAACTTCCATTCACAGATTTCGCCAAGAGGTATTCATTATTCATGAAGCAAAAACCTGGCAGCTTTTACACTTGTTTTAGACATAGGTGATTTAGCTGGAATTTGTTTTGATAAAAAATGATGGTCTTTAATTACGAGGATGTCACCTCATATACTGTTTATCCCTTTGGTGACACATGGAGAACACAGGTTTTTTTTTCAGCTTTGCACCGTGTCTCTGGAACTCCTTGCCAGACGAGTCCACGGTAAACTCGGGACCTGTCTCTCTTCAAAACTCACCTCTGTAATCAATTTTCCTCTCACACATCCCAACTTTTTCATGTAACCGCACCTTTGAATGATGTTTATACTATGACTCTTTGTACCTCAAAGGTGGTTTTAATATTATTACTGCCAAAAAATAAATTACCTGCAGGAAAATAATGATGATTACCCGCAGAAAAAGAAATGCAGGGATAAGAAAATGTCTTACATCAAGTCAACAGTTAAAAATACATTGATCCATTACGCCCTGCCAAATGCGCGCATGGGCAGCAACAAGGGAGCTCTTCAATACCCAGGAATGAGGTTGTCCATTTAAAAATAGTCTGAAAATTGCAAACATGGTCTGAAAGATGATTTGTTTCTTTACTGATAATGTCTTTCTCTCATATTTAAAATGTCTAATTTCAGACAAAAGTCTGAAAAATCTCATGCCTGAATACCACACTGTGTGTTCCAGGCCCGCATGTCATCTACGTGTTCATGTAAACGCGTTCACACCGTCGTTCGTGGACGTCCTATTGTCCCTCTTTTGTTTGTACTCTAACTTTTTAGGAAGACTCCCATAGGTTTTGTACACTACCCCAATCGCGGACGTATGCTGGGGATCATGGACGATATTGTTCTCTAGAATTTTTCATCCACGGTTTGAATAGATGAATACGCCCACACATGTCAGACGTGTTTGCACAAATCACAGGGGGGTGGGCTTGACGGGGTGGTCGACTGTTAGCAATACAAACTGGCTTACCTTGCACGAATCACCACGTACTGAAAGATCGGGAAGAGCTCATCCATACCGAGCGTGACACTCTCTGTGCTGTGGACCTCAATAGCTTCCTTGATGGCCTCCCAGGCCGTGTGGATGATGAGGAGCTTCTGGCGCGGGCTGAACGTCGTGCTCATGTTCTGCAGGCACTCCACCGCCGCGACGTAGGAGACATCGCGAATCTCAGAGATTCTCTGTAGAACAAAATATACAGCTTGTGTCAGACTATTTCCTTTGGAGCTACTAAAAGTGGGATAAAAAATTGAAAACAGCCAAACCAAATTACACGCCGCAATAATTACACACAATAGTTGAACCCATTATAGAATCAGTGAATGTTGAAATACCGAACAGCTGAAAAGCAGTGACATATATTCAAATTTATATTATTTATCAACACTGTATTTAAACTTGCGAATGACATTACCTTCAAAGAGTCCTTCACGACTTCTTCCAAGAGCCAGAATTTCCTGTTGATGAAATGAAAAATCTTTGAATTTGTGTCATTCATCAAAATATGTTTTATGATCCTATCATGACCAACATTTACCTTTCCTGTTAAAAACTCACTTTTAAACCAAAAAAATTGAAAAACGTCTTTCAGTCGTCAAAAAAACCTGTAAAAAAAAACCCAATATATCACTGCCTTCGAAGTTCATAAGTTGGGGTGCCCGTCTGTTGGTTTATATTGCAACTTTAATACTATCAGGCCCCTCAATCTGTCTTCTCATGCTACTGGTGGCTTCAATCATTACTTAGTCTGTTGGTTCATTTGTGAGCTGTCCATCTGTCTCTCTGTCTTCACTACTTACTGGTCCACCTTGAGGTATGCCACGAGGGCCATATTAGGCCTCTCACAGTCTTCTTTTGGGACTGTTGGTTCTACTTGTTACCTAGTCTGTTTGTCTATTCATCAGCAGTCCATCTGTCTATGTGTCTTCTTTACTTTATTGAGCCACCTTGAGGTATGTCTTGAGGTATACCATGAGGGTCATGTGATTAGGCTTCTCACCGTCTTCTTTTGGTACTGTTGGTTCTACTCGTTACCTAGTCTGTTTGTCCATTCGTCAGCAGTCCACTTGTCTCTCTGTCTTCACTACTTTCTGAGCCACCTTGAGGTATGTCTTGAGGTATACCATGAGGGTCATGTGATTAGGCTTCTCACAGTCTTCTTTTGGTACTGTTGGTTCTACTCATTACCTAGTCTGTTTGTCCATTCGTCAGCAGTCCACTTGTCTCTCTGTCTTCACTACTTTCTGAGCCACCTTGAGGTATGTCTTGAGGTATACCATGAGGGTCATGTGATTAGGCTTCTCACCGTCTTCTTTTGGTACTGTTGGTTCTACTCGTTACCTAGTCTGTTTGTCCATTCGTCAGCAGTCCACTTGTCTCTCTGTCTTCACTACTTTCTGAGCCACCTTGAGGTATGTCTTGAGGTATACCATGAGGGTCATGTGATTAGGCTTCTCACAGTCTTCTTTTGGTACTGTTGGTTCTACTCATTACCTAGTCTGTTTGTCCATTCGTCAGCAGTCCACTTGTCTCTTTGTCTTCACTACTTACTGAGCCATCTTGAGGTATACCTTGAGGGCCATATTAGGCCTCTCACAGTCTTCTTTTTGTACTGTTGGTTCTACTCCTTACCTAGTCTGTTTGTCCATTTGTCAGCAGTCCACTTGTCTCTCTGTCATCACTACTTACTGAGCCACCTTGAGGTATGCCACGAGGGCCATATTAGGCTTCTCACAGTCTTCTTTTTGTACTGTTGGTTCTACTCCTTACCTAGTCTGTTTGTCCATTTGTCAGCAGTCCACTTGTCTCTCTGTCATCACTACTTACTGAGCCACCTTGAGGTATACCATGAGGGCCATATGATTAGGCTTCTCACAGTCTTCTTTTGGTACTGTTGGTTCTACTCCTTACCTAGTCTGTTTGTCCATTTGTCAGCAGTCCACTTGTCTCTCTGTCATCACTACTTACTGAGCCACCTTGAGGTATACCATGAGGGCCATATGATTAGGCTTCTCACAGTCTTCTTTTGGTACTGTTGGTTCTACTCCTTACCTAGTCTGTTTGTCCATTTGTCAGCAGTCCACTTGTCTCTCTGTCTTCACTACTTACTGAGCCACATTGAGGTATGCCTTGAGGTATACCATGAGGGCCATATGATAAGGCTTCTCACAGTCTTCTTTTGGCACTGTTGGTTCTACTCATTACCTAGTCTGTTTGTCCATTTGTCAGCAGTCCACTTGTCTCTCTGTCTTCACTACTTACTGGTCCACTTTGAGGTACGCCAGCAGGGCCATATCAGGCCTCTCGTTCAGTCTTCTCAATCTGTCTTGGTACTGTTGATCTTCCTCCTCATTCTTCAATGCATAGAGAGTAAACAAGGCCGGGTACAAGCGCGGTAGTACTATCGGGTAGAGGAGACCGTCACTCGTAATATGACAGGTGCTGCATAAACAAGGACAGAGTGAAAGTTTCCTAAAGATTTGTCCTTGGGTCAGCTTAAAAGTAAAAAAAGTAAAGTAAAGTTTGTCACGAGCCAATGTGGCCCATCAGGCCGGCGTTTATCTCTGGTTTTAGTAGCATGAATCGACTGAGAATATTTCTAATCCCCCTGGATGGGATGCTAGTCCATCGCAGGTTACTCCCCAGCTAATGCCGGTACCCATTTATACTCCTGGGTGGAGAGAGGCCAGTAGGGGTGAAGTGGCATACCTAAGGACACAGCATGTGACCAGCAGCTGGATTCGAACCCCTATCCCTCTGATCATGAGTCACAAACCCTAACCACTGGGCCATACTCCCCCATAAGTACTCCCCTAAAAGTAGCTTAAAACTATTCCTGGATAAAAATGTGTAAAATATATATTTTGTAGTGTGAAAAGGTGGTTCAGAGACTTATGACTTGATTTAGGACTTATTGACTTGTGATTGACTTGTGAGGACATGTGATAGACTCGACGCCACTGACATCCGACTTACATATCATCCGTAGACAGCTGCCTGTTCTTGCTTGCAGACTTGGCTATCTTTGCCTCGACTGCTGGGGGCGGATGGCTGTCGCTGTAGTCATAGTAGTAGTGGAAGTCTGAGGTGTGGTGATCATGAACTGGAGTTTCTGGTTTGTTCGGATGCTCATTTGGGAGGTCGTTGAACAGTACTCTGGAAAAGTAACGTAATAAAAGTGGAAGCTTGAAAGAGAGGTGTACCCATTTTTGTACACAAAATGAAACTGATTGCAGCATTATACTAACTTAGTGTGAAAATTTGTGAAATTGACTCAAAAACACTACAAAATCTCCTACACTGCTGTAAATGACACACTGAATCCCAATGTGGCAAATTGTACGTAAAAAAAGGGGGCAAATACTACATTTGGAAACACCCTACATCTGGTTTTGTAGAATTTGAGTGAATCTAGTAATATACAGCCCAGCCACTGGTTACTTTACAGTGGCCCTGGTGGTCTACTTTTGAAAGCTAACAAAAAAACACCCAGCGAATGAAGGTCAAAATATACCCATTTGAATTAAGCAATGGTTTTTATCATCTCAAGGCCAGTTCATTCTCGGCTCAAAAGCGAATGCAAAAGCAAATTTCTGAAGTCACAGCAACTCTTCGTGCTTCAAATTCACAATTCAACACAATTCAACTCTGGAAAATTTTGCAGGCAATGTTTTGTGACCTTCGCATTATTTTATGAACCGGCTTTGAAGCACAGATACTTTCTCACCGGACTAGCTGGTATATCCTCTTGACGTATGATTTGATCTCTTCCACAGCGTAAGGCAGTAGCCAACGATGAGCGCCCAGGCCTATGTAGGTCTCACGGTAGGCTACACACAGGTTCTCAAGGAGTCTACCCAGGGGATGAAGAGATGTATCAAAGGCCTGTAAGAGGTAAGGATTGTAAGGATCTTAGAATTTTTATAATATTTTATGTATAACAAATATATTTAATGCATGATACCTGTAAGTGGCGGATAACCGCTGTTGTTTCATTGAATAAATAAATAAATAATAAAAAAAAAAACCAAGGTTAGTCTAGGACAGTGGTCCTAGAGTGCACACAATTCTATCCAATTGACTCAGAATGGCTAAAAAGTTTGTACAATACGCTGCGGTGATAATGTGATGGAAATGAAAAATTCCACTTTCGTCGTTCGCATGGAAACTTCACTTACTGCCTACAGTACACGTGTATCACGAAGGTACATGAAACAAGTGGCACCAGACTAATGCACATGTGGTGTAGATGTTATATCACAGATGCTATATGTGGAGTGTCATGGCCTAGCGGTTAAGAACACCGGACTCATGCTCTGGTGTTTCAGAGGCAACAGTGGCGTGGGTTCAAGCCCGCTGGGTGGACACTTGTGCCTTCAAGCAAGGCACTTAACCATTATTGCTTCGTCCTTCGGATGGGACGTTAAGCCGTAGGTCCCGTGTGTTGTATAAATGCACGTAAAAGAACCCAGTGACACTTATCGCTAAGAGAAGGGGTTTGCCCCGGTGTTTCTGGCCTCCTGTATAAACTCCCACGCGGAGCATTTAGGAGAAGAACCAACCAAGAACCAAGAACATACACGATATGCAAGCCACGTAAAGCTGGTCTCAAACCAGTGCACACGGATTTAAAATCAGTTTTTGTTTATGCAGTCAGGATGCAATGTCTGAGTGAGTTTTTCAGAGTGCAGGGGCTCAGGATATGAGTTATCATTGACCGTGAGAATTGTTGTGAGTGACAGGTTGTTTAAGTAGAGATTGTGAGCTAGAGTGGACAGGCATTCACATGAGAATTTAGAAAAAACAAGGAAATTCCAGCCACACAAGACTTTGTACAGTGTTTTTCAATTTGTAATGGCATTCATGAGAAGTAAAAATGAGGAAATCAGTGGATCCGAGGAAAAGTTGCATGCCTGAGTGGAGGGTGTGATAAATATGGATAATTTCTTGGGATACACTGAATAGCCGATTCCTTTTTACATTTGTACGCAAGAAGGAAATATTGAACTTGGTGCATTTACGGGTTTTTGTACCTTTATGACACACATGTACTTTCAAGTGTGCATGTATTTTACATTGTTTGGGTTGAATTTTTCTTGTTTATTACTAGTCTTTTTACTGTTTATGTTCATTTGAATATATGTAAATTCTGATGTAATTCAGCCCCTGGGCTGCCATGCCAATCTTTTTTATCAATAAATCATTTATAGTTTGAAAATGAATATTTAACCAGTGGAGAGAGCAAAGAATTTGGGCATTGCTGGATTGACAAAGAGCAATGAATCTGGCGGCAGAGTTCTGTAAAGGTTCTGGTCTTTGAGATCTAGGAATTGGAAAGACTGAAAGGCGATCTGACCAGTTTTTCAGTGATCTCTTGGTTGAGTTAATGACAACTTTTGTGGGGGACTGGTGTGGGCGAACAGCAAATGTTGTTGATCTGGTTTTGCATGTGTACGGTTGAAATGATATAGAAATATATTATATTTCGATATCCTTACCTTAGCCAAGTATTCCTGTATTGCCTTGTAGTCCTCTTCAGTGATCTTCCCTTTACTATGACCGCTGCTTGGTATCTTCTGTAGTTCCTCTACCACCTTGCTACGTTCATCCTTATGCAACCTGCAAAGTATAAGTACAAGGACATGCCAAACACATGCCGTGACTGATATCATCACTGAACAACATTTTGCGCCTCTCTTTTTAAATTTCAAATATTTCACGGACAAGCATCTGACCTGTCTTTCTCTTGCCGTGTCCGTGATGATATCGCCACGGCAACAGCTGCCCAGGCCTTCTGGGAGTCCGGCCGCTTGTTTTCCAGCAAGCCCAGCACCGAGCGAACCTGGTTGTAGACGTCTTCCCATTTGTCATCTGCCGCTACGGTGAATTTACCTATTGGACTGTTAAAAAAAACAAAAAAAATCACATTAGCACCAACAAAAGAACTCGCCCTTCAAAATATTAGACAAATCCCAGAATAACTCTGACCTGGCTTGTTTAGTGCTGTTGGGAGTCGAGTCGGCAGCTTTACTGAACGTTCCGTTGACCTTGACGCCATCGCCCCATAGGCCGCTGAAAGTACCATCGAAGAAGTCTCCGGAGGGTAACATCAAAAGTCCCTGGCAGAGCAAGAGAGACAGACCACATTCAAATCTCATTTCAAAATTGCATCCTTGTAAAGCTTCTGGTTCAAGTGGTTTCAAAGGCTTCTGTTAAAACACGGGCTTTAAATCCAACCTGAGGATCATAGAGCTTATGTCCTTGGGCAAGACACTGCGCTGCAATCTCTTTATTCCTCTCCCTATCAAATGGGGTCCTTAGAGGGACTCCCTCCCTGCATCAGATTGACTATGGCAACAAAGACATCACATTGTTTTCTAGAACACAAGCACAATTTTTATTACTGCTAAAACTAATACGAGTGCTACGATCATTCATACCCAGGATTACTCTGTGCATTATCAAGGACTACATACTTAATGTATGAGTGTATGATGCTTTGCTTCAATGGTTATGGTGTTTGACTTGAGTGCCGTGGTACGTGGTTTCGAACCGTGACGAGGAACATGGTGCTTGTGTTCTTGGGCAAGACACTTTATTACAATTGCCTCTCTCCACCCAGGAGTATCCTGTGAAGGTAGAGACCATTCCATTGATCTCGAGCTGCTGCAAAAACTGGTCTCACAGCATGATGAACAGGGGTACTAATTGTGAAGCGCTTTTGAGACCTTTGCGCTATATAAGCACCACATAATTATTATAATTGCATGTTGTCATACCTTGCCGCTAAGCGTAGGACCAGTAGTCAGCTCTCCTTCGTACACAGTGCCATCCTCAGTAAGAAGGATGCCGACACCCTGCAAAATGGCAGGCAAGGCAATAAGCAGTTTGAACAGTCATGAAAACGTGAGGCAACACTAACTACATTCGGAGCAAAAAGCCTCATTACTCATCACACAACTCCTCACTCACCATCAGTTTGTTCTGCGTGAAGAGGCCCTCGTAGTACAAGCCGGCCATCGTGATGACCATCCCGTTGCCGTGCCGACAGTCGTTCTCCCACTTGCCCATGTACTTCTCTCCCCGCAGCCTCTCCTCCATGATTCCGTAGCCGTGGCGACGGTCGTTGTGCCACTCCCCGATGTACAGGTTGCCCGTGCTGCTGTGGATGATGCCGTGCCCGTGACGCATGCCGTCGTTGAAATCGCCCTGGTAAATATCTCCGTTGGAATACCTGGCCCAATTGGAAGCAAAGAACAAGCTTTATCAAGATATACAGTTCATTGACTTGAGGTCAACAAAGTTTTCATGGTTGGTTGGACTAGTTTTATAGTCAGCTACATAGCACCAGCCTAAAACGCTTCAACCCCTAGCCTATGCATCACCTTTTCATATTTGATCACATACATGTACATTTGAACGCCGAATCTAATCTCCAAGTGCAAAAATAAATTCCAAAAATTTTATTGGAACTCTGTGAATAAGGATGATGAAATAACACGTCAACGATTACTGAGTAGTCATGATTAAAGATGGGCAAAACATTTCCCGACATTATCCCATCAGAGCAACTAAAGCCCATTAGTGACTGTAGCGCCCCAAACCACCCTGCCAATTACTCAGTGTAGGGGAGTCAGGTTGGCGCAGTGGTTAATGTGATACAATGTAGTACATGTGCTAATGGGTTAAGGGCATGGCTACAAGCTACAATGCACATGAATTAGCTTGAGTGCATCCTTTAATTGCTCTTCGACTCTTGATCATGAATATGTATGAGGTATAGTAAAATGTGATACAATGTAGTACATGTGCTAATGGGTTAAGGGCATGGCTACAAGTTACAATGCACATGAATTAGCTTGAGTGCCTCCTTTAATTGCTCCTACCTTAGGGTGCCATAGCCACTCATACAACTCTCCTGCCATTCGCCCTCATACACCTGTGCCTTTATGCCCTTCTCAGTACTGGGAGTTGTATACACACCATATCTGGGGGATAGATAGAGAGTAAATAACACACATCTTGAGACATTATGGCTAATCAGGCTGAAATTTTTATCTCCTTATTCTGGGAGGACTATTATGTCCTCAAAATGCAGCAACAAATAAGGTGCACAAACCTTCAAAGGTCATGTTGGATGACAAGCAAGCACAATTTTCACATTATCATGATACCGTGACCACAAGGAATCTAAACAATTAGGCCTATCCACACAGAGCAAGTTGTGTTAAGATGTTACTGTCACTTTTTTTCTCGAATTGCTGTTGCACACATCTGGCCACATTTAAGAGGGAAAATCGAGATAGTAAAATTCCATACTGAGGTCGTCAGTATTAACGGTATTTACGTGTATATAACATCATTCGGTATTGTTCGGTATAAAAAAATATTGTCACTATACGGTATTATTAAAATACAGTTCAAGCCTATGGGCTCCGTGCACAAACATTCAGGGCACTTTTTTACCATTTTCGAGGTTCCCGTTGGCGGGACATACCACATGCGCAAACTGGTTCACGCGCGTAGCACGCACGACTTATTTTGTACCTTGCGAATCACCCACGACTTCTTTATTCTGAATGTACACAAAGCCACAGCGTCTTCGCGTGAGAATCAGGCGTGGTCTGTAATGCGCTCAAATGTCTAGCTCCAAGTGGTCTCCCCAAACTCTCCTCTTATTACCGTTGAGGGGGTACTTGTGCACGGAGACCATAATAAATGATGAAGCATACTTCCCATGGCTTTGGCCTTAGTTTGTACTATGATAACCTTTTGTGACACAGTATAAATAATAGAGAAACAACTCAAGAGAAGAAGGTCAAGACTAGGCCACTCACCCATGCTGTTGCCCTTGCACAAACTGACCAGAGTACTTCCTTCCATCTGGCCACTGTAAAGTGCCTCTGCAAAAAAAAAGGGGGGGGGGGAGAAGAATTTAGATATATCCTAAGTTAAAACTTGAGACCAAGCTTTAAGGAAAAATTGGGTTTTCAACAATTAAAGCAAACAAACTGACAATGGTCCACGGAACCCACATTTGCAAAATATAGAAAGAAATTCATCAAAATAAATACTCTGTAAACGAGGAAAAAAGTACTGATGTGACTTCCTGAAACACCTGGGCAAGTCTGGTGTAGCAGGGTGTGTCGCTTGACCGAGAATGAATGCTTAGAACTAAAGCAGCTCTATATAAAGGAGATTAGGTGAACATTCTTGATTGCATAACCTGACGTAAGCGCTGCAACGAGCCAATTAGCATATCGTACAAAAAACGAAAAGAAATTCCACATACAACAGAAGGGCAATGTAACAAAGAAAGAAAAAACAGTAAGAACATTATCCTACACATGTAAGCAGAAAGTGCATTTGTACATGTATGACATTAGAAGATTGCACTTTTCTATCAAACACTGCAAGGACACATCCATATAACTAATCTCACATGAATAAAAAATAACAAATAAAGGGCAATGTAACAAGGAAAGAAAAAATAGTAAGAATATTATCCTAAACATGTAAGCAGAAAGTGTATTTGTACATGCATAACATTAGAAGATTGCACTTTTCTATCAAACACTGCAAGGACGTATCCATATAACTAATCTCACATAAATAAAAAATAACAAACAAAATTTAGATGGTCTGCAGTTTCCATTCCAGCAGAGTTTCTGTCCAAGGCCAATTGGGCACACGGAAATTTAGTTAATCCATCATTAGCTAGAAGGTTGGCCACGTACGACAGCCAAGGTTGATGTGTCTGATTTGCACAAATTGACTTGGGTTCTATTGTTTCACGCCCGGCTGAATTCTATGAGGTTATATATACTGGTACACCAAGTTCGATTCAGCTCAATGCACTTGCTTAGATGATCTCTGTGCACACACTGCCGAGATGTTCTCACTCCAGATAGTCAGCATTTGGTGCATGTCCTCACAAATATTGACAGCTATGGCAACCGAGCCTTGCCCTAGCCCTACAGCCAGTGAATACTGCCTTCCATCATGGCAAGAATGGGGTGGCTCATGCTACCGCCTCACCCCTCCAGCGACCTGGGAGGCCACAGAGTTGGCCTGCCGACAACTCGGAGGCAAGATTGCCGCTCCGCAGTCACTAGCGGAAAATGAGTTTTTCGCCAGTCAGATACCAGAGCAATACGAGTACATCAACATTGGCTGTGACGACAGGCTGAATAAAACCATGTGGATCTGCGAAGGAGAGAAAGCTGAGTTCGTCAACTGGGTCGATGGGGCACCAGACGGAGGTACTGAAAATCCTGAAGACTGTGCAGTCCTTTTCCGCGGTCATGGCAAATGGCAAGATGGGTCATGCAATACTGGATCTGTTCCGGGTTTTTGCAAGAGGTGCATCGTCGCCGCCTTCAGCCGATCCCGCACATATGCCTTGGCAGTCGACGAAGCTGGGACGCCTCTGAACTCGTGTCTCCTTGATCATGTCATACGGGAGTTCTCGACCCTCAGCATCCCTAGGTGCGCCAACGCTTGCCTGCAGATGCCCCGATGCCGTTCCTTCAACTTCATAAAGAACAAAACACACAAGATCTGTCAGCTGAACAATTCTACCCGCACCGACGTCCCAGACAAGTTTGCAGAAATAGGGGTTTTGTGCGCATACGCCGATGAATCCACTAAGCAGAAATAGACCCACCATTCCTTAATGGACAATTATGGAACGTAAGGGATGAGGACTCAATCAACACCTTGGATTATACACATAGTAACTTTGCCTTCACATCTGGAAAATGACAAATCATCATGCCTGCATCCCAAATGCTGTCCACCTCACCTTGAACATTCACTAGACTGGCACTTAATTGGCACTACAATTTCAGATGGCATAAATTAAACATTAGGTTTCTAAGCTTGATCAAACAGTTGCTAGATACACACTGTTTGCAAATGTTTCGAGTAAACTAAGATTACATAAAATGATATACACTACATGCATGTATGCATGTAAATTTTACACTGAAAAATGAAATGAAAGAATTTCAAAGTTTTGTTTGATGTTAATGCACTGTGCTGGAATATATGTACATATAAAAACAATTTTGGATTTAGATGTATTGGTACTCTGTATTAGGTCATTTTCTAATTTGATCAAACACTTCTAATCTTACTTTAAAAAAAAATTGCATACTAGAAGAAAGAATGGTTACATCTTTCATTATTTATCACTGTTTGTATATATAATACACCAACTGATAATGATATGTAGTTAAAGGTTCACATAAAGATTCAAAAGATGTGGTCGAGACACTAGTTCACTGTTAGACTGTAGCCTTTAAAACTGCAATTGTATTTAGCTGGGTCCGTGCATTTGTAATGTAACCCTTTTTATGAACTAAGTATGTTTCGTAAACTACAAACGCTGTACAGCCTGTAATACTACAGGGAGAAGAAGCCATTTACTGGTAGATTTATGCCATTTTTACATTTTTCTCACCGTTTCATTGTAGATTAGCGACAAAATAATGTAATGACAGCAGCATCAAAATGAATGACAAGACAAATTTGCTTTTTTAATACAATTCCGATCGCCACACGAGACGATTTACCGAAATCAGGACGAATTAGAATACTATAAATTTGAATTATACTGCAGCTTAAATGAATTCTATTGGTGGCTTTTGGAAACTGAAATCGGGAATTGAGCTTGACGAAGTTCGGGGACAAAAAGTATCGTTCTAGGGAATTTGTGTGAAATAAGTGTTAAAATAGCTGGGGAAACCTTTATTAGGAAAGAGAATAAAATACTTGTTACAATACTGTTTGGTGCTCTCCAATCGGACATTCCGTTGACAAGTTATGGCTGTTTAATGTTCGCACTTATCAACATAAAACACTGAGAAACAGGCCTATAAAGTTTGAGTTTTGTAGTCTCAAAATGAAAGATGCCACTTGTATTTCCTTAAAAAATGCTTTTATTCCACGATTTGTGCACTATTTCTTTAAATTATGTGTAGTAGACATATTAAAGGTTACAAATATCAATGAATGTGAAAATAAAAAAAAATCACCCCAATTCAGTTTTTTGCATTTTCTCCACTACGGCCTGTGCCCAGTTCCGTCTCATTCTGCCAGAACGCCTCGCATATTGGCTAGCAATTCCAAGGTTTCAAAAGCGCAACTGCGCGTTTCCTAATCAAAATTAGTGTGGAGCTGAACAATTAACTTTTAATCTTCTGGTCATGCATGACTGTACAGGATCCAATTAGTTGGTATGATGAATGCACTTAATAATTATAATTTGGGAGGCTAATCATCCTTTTACTCACAGTTGAGAAGCTGAATTGCGAAGGACGCGGCTACAACGTGATCGAGCCGCAAGCCTTTGGTAGCCACATCGACCCGTATATGACAACCGAGCACTGCCTGAGATCGAAAGTGTTTGATATTTCCAGAGGGAGGAAAACCGGAGGGCTGGGAGGAAAACCGGAGGGCCCGGAGAAAAACCCTCTTGGCACAGGAGAGAACCAACCCACAACTCTACTCACGTATGGCATGTATGGTCCACGGACGGGATTCGAACCAGGGCCACAGTGGTGAGAGGCGAGCGCTTTACGCACAAGCCACGCTTGCCTCCCAACAGATTGTATTTATAATGACACATTGAAGCTATTTTAAAAGTACAAAGTTAATGACTTGATTAGTTGATGGATCTCCTCAATATAGTACATAAACATGTAATTACTTGCAAGGTCAAATTATGTGTCATATGAAGATGAACTTTTTTTTAATTTCATGTAGGCGTTACATTGTAGATCATCCTTACCCCCTGAAAAGAACTTGAATACTTTTATTTACTAAATCATTTCTTTATTCCTGACATCAACTCATTTGCTTTCTTCCAATATTGTTCCCCGCTTTTTTTTCCCCAAGACCGTTCCCTTACGAGTTCATGTGTAGCGGACATTTTCACACCAATTTTATAAATATTGGACAAAGTGTAGGCGAAAATTTTTTAATTGTCGAGGCAAGGTGCCCAAGAATCACTGTTATCCACTGATCATGTAGGTCAAAACACACTAGCTTTCACGGACAGGAAGGTAAAACCCTAACCTTCCCAAATCCTCCCAAATCCTCTTTGTAAATGGAGGATTTTGCAGGACTGAGGGTACATGGCAAAAATAGGTGGCTGATTTTACATTTACATGCAATGAACATCAAAGTCGCTACAATTTCATAAACACCGGTAATTTCTGAGATGTGGGGGGGGGGGGTTAGGAAGTGGAAGAAGTGGGGGTAGGAAAAGGAAGAAGGGAGGGGGGCCAGGGAAGGCAGGGAAGGGCACAACCCCCAACCTTTTAAAATGGCTCTAAAAAAATGATTTTAATCAAGTTAAAAGGAAAAAATCAAAGAAAAACAGATGCTCACTTTCCATGGGGTTTTCCCAAATGCCACGTCCCCTCATACACCGCATCCTTGAACTTGGGTTGTCCCAGGAACAAGTAACGTCCCTGCCTGGTCAGTTTGGGTGGGATCTTCTGGCCTGCGGGCACGGCGGCCGGAGAGACACACCCTGGCTTCTGATTGGTCAGAACGGCGTCGATGGCCTGGTTGACAGACCACAGCCACTCGGCCTTCTCTGCCGGCGTCGGGGCTTGGAGGGTGAGGGAGGTTTCTGGCATCGTCAGCTGGATAGTGTTCCTGGATGGGGAGATTGGCAGTAGGTGTGAGCAAGGCCACGGTGAACAAGCTCCACCAAAATGGTCACATCTTTTGCCCCATTATTTAGCATAGCATCTTTCTCTTTCTCTGTCATGAGCAGCTTTTTGCTTCTTCCCTTGAAGGCCATCAGCCTGGGGGTTTGGTATCAAATCAGAGCATAAATGATTATAGTGCGCATGCGCAAGGTATACCACCCCTAGAGTGGTAACAAGCATTTTGATGGACATTTTGAAAAAAAGGGTGATAACACCCAAAAAGCTGCCACTGCTGCAATGCTATCACATATTTTCCAACTCTGGAGGTGTAGACCTTGCCAAAAATCGCTATGACGATTATTCCCCTCATTTGATACCGGTGGCCGAAATTTTGGACCGAGGCTGATGGCCTATTGTAGCGTTTCATTTAGTCTCAATATTAGGTAATGCAACTGACCCCTGCTGTATGTTTGTTCGTTAGTCTGTCCTTGGTTATTGTTTGTGTTCATTTTTACTTGTCGAGTGGTTTGTCGGTCTTAAACGTGTCTGGACTTCACCCTGGATATGTATAACACGGCTGCTAACTTACTGGTCTGCCTGCTGGCCTGGTTCAGCCCAGATGAGAGCCAACGGGAAGGCCTGGTGAGTCGTAAACTGCAAAAAGCAAAGGACAATTTCTGTCACGTTTCAATTCAGATACATGCATCCAAGGCTTCACATGCCCACTTTTACTACTCTGTCAAACTGAAAAATTCCAACTTGGCATACATATACCGGTACAAACTATTTATAAATTTCACTTCAGTCTTTCCATATCATCTTTATAGCAAAAGAAAAAGATAAATGTACATGTATACCTAGACAAAAATAAAAACCACTAGGTTTGTTGAAGCACAAATAAAGCACAAAGGCAATTCATGCAACATCACCCAGTGACAAACTACCTGTAAATAATGGCTCATCAAAAATCTTCATGTGGAGGAAAAAACATTCCTGCACAAAATTGAATAAAACCGGTGCATCCAACATTACCATATAAGAAAATACTCTACTCACTCATTCTGGTATGTTAACATGCACAAATCCATTTCCTTGATTTTTTTACAAGCATGCACAAAACTCCAAAATAATTTAACTTGTGCAAAATCTTCATGTTATAATCAATGTCATGTTAGCTCGGTGGTCGAGTGGTAAGACATCTGCACTAGAAAGCAGGAGGTCGTGGGTTCGAGTCCCACCCGAGTGATTTTTTCCAACTTTCACTCGGGAGGTAACACACTGAGTACACAGTGTTTATACATACGTCGGTGAAGGGCAAAAACCTAGTTTGATTTACATCACCCTGACGCAAAATTCCATCTTATGAATAATGTAATGTAAGTCTCATTTTGAGACAATGCACACATCGTACATCAAAAGACATCGTCACACCAATAAAAAAAAATTCACACACTACTGCACATAGCAAACACTAGTGGTGTGCAGTTGTGTACGTGTTCTACATAACCCCCAAGGACAGACACACAAAGGGAGAACAACAGATCCTTTCAGTCCTCGGGAGTTGGGTCTTTTGTTTGAAACGGTCCTCTGTAGTAAGTTTGTGTGCTTAGTCTAGGGAAAGTGTTATATTACAGGGACAAAGGGAAACACAAAGCATTGTCCTCGAGAGTATAGTAAAACAAGAGTGTATGGGTAGTACATATACCGGAACTGGGTACCCTATTGAAGTAAAACAGAGATACCCGGATGCCAGTAAAAAAAAATTAAAAAAAAAAAATCATGGAAGTTGTCTGAAGGACTTTATAGCTTTGCAGTTTAAACTGAAACTTCATCTGTCATGCCTTAAAGTGCACGTACTGTATTTATAAGTGAAATCTGTATTGGCTTTCCATGTTGCCTAGTTTTCATTTCGAAAATTCCTCACATTTTCTTAGATATTTGCTAAGTAGTTTGTAAAATACGGTAGGGTACCCGATCCCATAATCTGGAACCGATTACTGACATCAGCAGTCGGGAACTCAGGTACCCGGTTCTGATGCACAGCCCTAGCTAACACAATAATATCTGAGCTGTCTTCATTACTTTTGGAATACAAGTCAAACTACACATTTTGAAAAAAAGTTTCCATTTGGCTAAATATGTAAGAAAAGGACTATGAATTGTGCCAGGGGTTGCAACGGGAAACAGAAGGGACTACGTGGGGACCAATTCATGCAGGTTAGATGATGAGAGTCTATAGGATTTGCACTGCATGAGTTGCATGAGCTGCATTGAGGAAAGTTCAAGGCAACCAGGACAACATTCTGCAGACATGGTGGAGGTTAAACCGCCATCAACCTTACTATTATTTCCTGTCAAAAAAATTGTAAAAAATGTAATATAGCCCTTTACCGACGCACAACTTGTGTATGAGTCGTATAGTGTTTACCTGCTATCCGTGCTGCAAGCATATATCAGGAACCCATTTACAGAGGAACTATGCCTGCAGGACGGGACGGACTTAAAACGCGGAGTCACGCCCAAAAAAAATGGAGTGGGGAAATATTAAAAAACATGGAAATCCACAGAAATGCAGAATTCACAGGCCTGGGTGCTACGTGCTGCAGGGTGCAGTTTGTGCCATTCATGATCAAGCAGGCTTAAATAGACCTTTATCATGCTGCCACCATTTCAGTCATGTTCCCTGTATCCAGTAACAGTACTGAATAATTTTGTTTTTGTGCAAAAAGGAACCAGACTATTTTTTCTTCCAGCCTCGCTTTGGTTACATTGATTTGAAAGGGAAAAAATCAAGATGGCTGCAACATGATAATGGTCTATAGAGGCAACATTTTTAGCATTGTCACCCTGTGATTTAAGAAAAACTCACACACTAAACCGGACTTCAAGTTTTTTAGAACCTGATCAATGGTTTAGTAAACATGCACACTAGACGGCGATGAAATTTGGCCCTGTACTTGCAACCAAAACATTGGAAATCTACATGTACCTTTTCTATGTTTCCAGGCTTGCCCTCAGTCTCAGAAGATAGGAATTGAAAAGGAAGTTTAATTAGTAAATACACTTACAAAAATGATGCCAACAACCCCAAAAAAAACACCTATTACAGACGTGACCAAAAGAAATATTTGAAAAAAAAGTCAAAAATAGAAGAAGGTCAAACATAAAATGAGGTTCACATATTTTTCGGTAATATACAACATTTGCCTTGGCTGTAATTTTCAGAAATGGACGGATTTGACTTTGGGGGTTAGTATTTTATAGCAAATATTGTTATACTGACCTGTTTAAAGTTTTGTGTTCATACATGTAGATGCTGGAAAAACCAATGAAAAAATAAGAACCTTAGCGCACAACATGCCCGCACGCGGTGAAGCACGCGCGAGGCGCCGTTGTATACTGCATGCAAGTACGAAGACTGTTTTTAAGACTACTTCAACGAACAACGTTGTGCCGTGCGTGCGCCTAAATGTACTAAATCGAGAGTACTAACGAGGTAAAAATAAACACATTTCCACAGTTTTTCTTCTCTTTTTCCGGTTTATTTTGACAGCCGATAAAACCGGAATTTTGTGAGATTTTTTTAAAAACCGGAATTCCGGTTAAAACCAGAAAAGTGGCATCTCTGAATTTATAGATGGTCGGGGAACTGTCAGATCAGGTAACCAGACTAGCTGGCTTGCTCCCATTCACAGATGTGTAATCGATAGCAAAGACATTTTTTCGGCCGACCATCGTTGGGAATGATACATAAATTCCACTTTTCTTGAAAAGTGGAATTTATGTATCACCAGGTGCCATGATTTCACAGGATGCTTAAGACTGTTATTCACTTACAGTCAAGAATTTCATAATAATTTGGCAGTTTTGTTTTTTGATGTTTGCAAATGTTGTATATTACTTTTAAGAAGTGCTGTTCCCACTTAAAATTGGAAACAGCTAAAAGAAAAAGGAAACAAGCACAAAAAATACACCACAAAAAAAAACAAATACAACAAAACAATAGTATAGGAGATTGAGGGCAAGCTGAACACTATACTCTAACGAGCTTAGCAAAATAAAAAACAAAACTGCTACAAGTATTTTCCAGTTCTCAAACAAGTTTAAATTGCACATACCAGTGGTTTCATCATTTCTGAAAAGCGTACACATAATTATTGAAAACTGGGTTTTTTCTGGGGGGGTTGGGGTTGGGAGGGGGTTGTTTGCCAGATTTAATGGCAGGTATTTCCATTCCTTCTTGATAAAGAGATACCGGTATCTTTTTATTTATTTTTTAGAACAAAACACAGTGAAATAAAAGAATATCAAAATGAAGCTTTATAAAGTGCTTTAGAATTCCGTGAAAGAATATACGCTCTAAATGTGTTTTAGTGGATGATTTTATTTTGTAAAAAAAAATAAATGGCCTAATTTTTCACAATTACATTTGAGAAATGCTTGCACGACCAATGATATTCGCGGAAAAATCATGTGAAATCAATCTCTCTGGTGAGTTGATGATTCTGCAAAGAACCATTTCAGACTAGGTCCAAACCGATTCTATTCAAAACCGATTCAGTTTTGGAATCAGACACTACACTCAGAAAAAAAGGGAAAAAAAACAAATGCTAAACTCATTAAGCTTTTGATGATTTTGTTCGTGCGCATGTCAAAACGGTTTGATACACAATGGCTCTGTTCAGCCATTTTCAACTAATGCCAACTACATACAAGTACACGACACATATTGGTACAACAGATACTCCAACACTGTTCTAATGAACAAAAAAGACGGTAGAATTATCACATGTGGTACACTGACAATTCTGTTTCAAAGTGAAAATCATTGTCTATGGATATGATAAGAAAATCAATTGAACAAAACCACTACCACCAACAGACAGCTAAGCGGGATGCTAAGCAAAGAAAACAAAATTAGCCACGCAACTGAAATTTTTATTATAAATATATCAATTACCTGTGCATGGACGAAGATATCGGCAAACAGAAGGAACCAGTGCTGAGACAGTCTACCAGCGTTCAGGAGCGTCAGGGACTTGGTGCGGGAATCTCTCAGGAGGCGACGGTCAGGCTGCTTGATGGCTTCCTGTTAGGGGTTGGCAGAGGGTATTTCATAATGCAGTGGACACCTTCTGAGGTGCCTCGCTACTATAGGCTGATCATGGTCGCTTTAAAACAAGAAACTTAAATCATTTTTTCAAAGTTTTTGCTTATCTGTATATTTTGACTTATAGTCCATCATTTGTAATTTGTGCATTTTGTTCGTTTGAAGCAACAAAAGTGGCCAAGATCTAAAGAAGGGTGCTGAACAACTAACCTGATGAAGTTTCAGCTCAGCTTTAGCTGTATATTTCGAGAAAAACAACATTCTAGGATCTCGATTTCAAATCAGAAGTTGCTGAATCATGTTTTGAATTGGGCCTGGATTCAGCATCCTAGATATTTTTTTAATGAGCCAAATGCAGCTAAGCGCACTGATCCGATGAATTATAGCAACCGTGCGCGCGTGTGCGTCGTGCCAATGCTTGAGCGCGCTTTGCCGAGTAACAAAACGAAATACTAATTTGAATTTCCTACTGATCCGATGAATTATAGCAACCGTGCGCGCGTGTGCGTCGTGCCAATGCTTGAGCGCGCTTTGCCGAGTAACAAAACGAAATACTAATTTGAATTTCCTACGGTGCTTCTTAAGAAGCACCGTTAGAAAGACCTTCTGTTGTTGATTTATTTAAAATGACAGCTTGCTAGAAAGAATAATTTCACAGGGAGTTTAGTCCCCTTACTATCTTTCAACCAAGTATGTTTTTTATCAATAATTATGCTAGTTACTCTTTGGATAGCTGCAAATGATGGACTCTGGCTTTAATGTCTTCTCATGATGATCAACAGAAAGAAAATGGGTGAAAAGATTGCAGCAAATACATTTACATGTACATGACGAAGTGAAAACAGGAATGTTCCCTTAACCCTTAGTTAAGGTACATGTACTTAGAACTGTAAATCCCTGCCACCACTTCCGGATGTAGGTACGGTACTAGCAATCGGTTACACATCCGTGATTGGATGCAAACCAGCTTGTCTGGTTTCCGGACCTGACAACTCTCCAACATCTCTAAATTACTCCATTTGGTCTGAAGTAGGGTCAGACAACTAGACTAAAAGAACAGCATTTGTGATGCGATCAAGCTAAATGAGTCGTTTGTCGGGAATTTTCAGTTGGAGATACAGGCCAAAATAGGGCCACTTCATCACATCTCTTAGTGTTCTGACTTCCATAATATTTGAAATATCACATTTTTTCTTGGTTTTTCAGCTTCTATGAAGACAAAACTTTCAACAGTCAAGCATGGTTTGTTGTTTGTTTTAGGGTTTTTCTTTTCTTTTTTTCCATTTCACTTCGGTTTATTTCGGGGTTTTCACAAAAAGGCTAAACTGAATTGACCCAACCCGAATATCCAAGCACAAAACCGAAACTGACCCGACCTAACTGAAATGATGGAAAACTGACCCACCTGACCCGAAGTCAGTTTTGGGTCGGGTCAGTTTTGTACAACATTATTTCAGACTTGCACAGGTGGCATGAAAAGGTGATCCAAGTGCACACATAATTTGATGCAACTTTTTAGCAGAAATTTTACAATGTACATATATGTGTGACTGTAACTACGACAAGTTATTGTTAAGTAGATATTTGCAATGAAAGTGTTACATGGACAGTTACATTTAAGGGTTTTCTCACACAAAAAAAGGTAATCACAGTATGCACTGTGTATGTAAACAGTATAATACTTACTTATTTATAAGGACAAACCAAAACCTCATTTCTGTTATCAAATTCCATTTTCAAATTGTCATGAAGAATTCTGTTAAACTTTAACTCCATGATTTACTAGGAACCATACCCATCCTGGCAAATTCTAACACCATATTGGAATTTGCACGCACATATTTCTGACTTTGATTCTAGAGGTGTGCCAACCCAATGTAAAAGACTGTCAGTTTAAGGGAACTGTACCCATCCTGACAGATTCCAACAATACATGCCATTGGGGTTTGATGGGTTGAGTTCTGTTAGGGTTAATCTTTCAACCCATCAACTACAATATGCTATCACTAAATTATTAGTTCTCACCGTTCCTTTCCATAGCAAATTTCTTTTTTTAGTTTCTTCACATCAAATTTACTTAGCACTCCCGTTTGCATGATCTACATGTACATGTGTAAACAGGTTTTCAGACTGTCAGGTTGCAGCTTTAACACTGTTCGTGTCCATCAGTCAGTTTCCACTCGGTTCCCCTTGCATGGATGGCTTGCACTCATCAGTTACCAGAGAACATTGTTCTTGACACCTTTCAAACGATTGACTCTTGATGTGCATACTGCTGCCCTTGTGCTGATGGCTCTGTGCCAGTCAGCCCAGGACATTGCTCCTGAGTGCTTGTAAGTGACTGCTGGCTCTCTGCTGGTTCTGGATGTACACACTGTTCCCCTTGCATGGATGGCTTGCAGTCAGTCAGACTAGAGCATTGTTCCTGATGAGAACTTGCAGGATCTGGGGTCCCTGCTGGTTCTGCATGTACCTCAACATGCACTTGAACATGCTGCTGACTGTGCATGAATGCCTTGCTGCTGCTTTGTCTAGAACATTGTTCTGGACAGCTGTCCAGTGACTGCTGACTCTCTGTGTGTTGTGCATGCCCTTGGCTTGGTGGCTTGCTGCAGCTTGGCCTGGCAGCACGGTGCTTTTGGTTATTTGCTGCCTGTGGAATCACACGAAGCTCAATCTGCTTCCCTGGCTGCGATGGTCGGCTGGGATTCCGTCTTGGGCAGCAACGACAGCACAGTTTCAGGAATGAGAAAGCCTCAACTACAGCTGTACGATAGTCAGCGTTTGTGGCACTGTAGACTAGGGGATTGATTGAGCTATTGATGAGTTGCAAGATTCCGATACATAGAGTCACAATATGATTTTTTTTCCCAAGCTCTACCAACGCAACAGCCTGGGCAGGCCAAGAATAATCTAAAAATTTGATGAGTATAATTGCAGCTGCAATGTCCAGCAATTTCAGAATGAAGAAAACAGCAGTGTTGGTTGTAACCATACAGAGGACCTTGCCTGCTTGCTTAGGACTGTTCGGCAACAGGGCTGATTGCTTGCGCACTTTCACCACTACATAGATGCACAAAACAAGAGTGACTATAAAACAGACAATGTTGATAAGGAAAGTGACCCAAAGGAGGGTGTAAGGGAAGACAGTCTCTGGTAAGAATACTAGAATCACACCAACAATAACTGTAGGCACCCAGATTCCTGCTGATATCTTTGCTGCTCGAGATTTAGAGGCCTTTTCTTTAAATGTCAGAGGATTGCGCACTGCAGAGAATCTCTCAGCTGCTATGGTAACCACAAAGAAATTCGAAGCTGCTAGGAACGTGTACCGCACGCTTAGGACCACTGTTTGTAGTGTGTTCAACTTGTAAGCAAACAATGCAAATAAAAAGTCGGTCATAAGGTAGAGCAAGTCAGCCACAGCCAGATTGGATAAGTAGATGTTGATGATTGTACGCATGGACTTCACTCGAATGACTGTGAAGAGAAAGACAAAGTTCAAGAAAAGGCCAATTGGTGCAATGATTTTCATGCCAAGGCGAGATATTTGTTGAGTTTGATCTAAACTGTCTAGAAAGTCCCTCCGGAGCCTCTCAATCGATGAAAAGGAGTTGTCTTGGTAGCCATCACCCATAGTTCATGTACATTGTAGCATTGATTTCCATGTCTAACACTGTGCTCAGGTGCAACAAAGAGCGGTCTGCCCTATCACAAGATCACTCCAGTTTTATACCAACAAGGAATGAAAATCTGGAGCTGGAGTTGAAACTGAAACCTTCTTCATCTTTCCTTCTAACTTTTTCTTGTTTCTGTAATACCAAGTAAATAGATTGACATGTTTCTTGTCCTTCCTCGTTTTCTTTTTGCCGCCCATCTCCTTTCTGTATTTTTAAATCATACATGTATGAAATGTTTTGTCTTGTTATATTTTTCCAGCGAAATTGTAGCTATATTTTTTGTAAGTTCAAAATCTTGTAGGTTATGGCCCCTTTGGATACAAAAGTAGTTGAGAACGTGGAAGAATCCATTCACCATCTTGGACAATCTTGAGTGGGAAAAAAGGGCCTCTTTTTTTCTTTTTTTTCTTTTTTTCAAAGAAGGACGAGAAACATTTTTATTAGTTGACCTGAACTACTGAATGCAACTTTTGTCTCCATTGTTTTTACAGCACTTCAATAAAAGCATACAACAGAGTTTCACAATTGATATTGGTATATGAGAAATGTTTTTAATAGGGTTTTGATTTTTGTTTCATTCGTAATTTTTTTATATTTTTCACAAGAAGAATGTAAACGAAAATGAAAACAAGCAAGATCGTTTCGGTGTTCTCCATATATTCTCTTATCCTTCAGTGTCAGGTCAGTGTCCCTTTACAAAAAGCTGAGTAGTTTGAATTTGTGCAGCTTATCTTACTGTTTCTGTATTGTAATGATGATCTTATTTGATGGAATAACCCTGCAAAACTGTTTGTTCAAGTTAAATGATTAAAACAAACCGGGAAGGCAAATTTAAGAATTATAGTATAGGTTTTCCGGGTCATTTTAACACTTGTATCACACAAATTCCTTATATCGATACTTAAATTTCGTCCCCTAACATCGCCAAGCTCAATTCTCAATTTGGATTTCAGAAAGTCATCACTAGATTTCATTTAAGGTTCAGTATAATTCATTTTTTTAGCATACCGATTCGTCTTGAATTTGTGAAATTCGTCTCATGTAGCAATCGGCGTTGAATTGACAAAGCAAATTCGTTTTTTGTCATTCGTTTTCATGTTGTTGTCATTACATTTCGTCCCTGGTGACTTAAATCGTATATGATTAGAAAATGCGCCAAATCTTTTGACTTATTTGAAGAATTATGTGTATTAAAACAATGACAATTCAACATATATTTCCTTATATGTATAAATAAAAGTAGTTAGCTGTAAGGTATAAATTTTTATTACTGTGTTTCACAATTAACAGTAGAGTCAGGAATTGACATTTCACAATATGCACTTATGACATGGACACTAAGCATTAAGTTCAAAGAACTTCTTAATGTTGTTCTTTGATAGACACACCTTATTTCTGTTGTTTTATTCATATACATATATCAAAGAGCAACATTACGAAGGAGTTTGATCTTAATGCTTAATTTCCATATGCTAAGCAAAGAGCATATTGTGAAAGTTCAATTTCTGATTTTATTGTTAATTGTCAAAGAAAACTCAAAACTTACAGCTTTACTTTCATTTATAAGGAAATATTTGTTAAAAATTACAAGTTAATTACTGCGCAAACAAGTCCAAAGGTTGGGCACATTTTTAATCGTAACGTTTTAAGTCACCAGAGACGAAATGTAACGACAAGAACAGTAAAACGAATCACAAAAACTGAATTTGCTTTTTCAATTCAATGCCGATTGCTTCACGAGACGAATTTCAAAGATTTTGGACGAATCGGAATGCTAACAATTTGAATTATACTGGCCCTTAAATGAAATCTAGTGGTGGCTTTTTGAAATTCAAATTGAGAATTGAGCTTGGCGATGTTCGGGGACGAAATTAAAGTATCGATATGGGGAATTCATGTGATACAAGTGTTAAAATAGCCGGGAAAACATATATTCACATGGAAATGGCATCAGATTGCAGTGATCATGGTTCACATTTCCAGAATGTGTAAACAATGTATACCCTCTGCTTTAGTTTTACTAAATTTAAATGGGAATTTTTCTCTGGTTATGTGTGTGACATGTTGATCAATTACTTGTGTGACATTTTGTAATTAAAATTATGCTAAATTGTATACATTTGTACAGAAAGACCAACTTACACATGTATGAAACATCTTAACCCTATACACCCCAACTCCAGAAGGCCTGGCGTGACTAAATATTGATGGAGTATGATGGACTTGGGCCTAATGGCCTGAAGCAGTACTAGGGGTATCTGATTGATTTTGCCTAGCTTCCTGTACTGCTATTGTGATAGAAGCCGTGTGTAGCGAGTCCATGAATGTCAACCAGTGCGTCAGTGGTGGATTCCATTATGTCATGTACAGTTTTGTATAAGCTGCACACTGATTGATGGATTTTGATGGAATTGGTCCAGTTCCTAGTAAAAGACGCCAGGGAATTAGAGTTAAGCAATTTGCATGTTTAGTCTACTTACCGGGTAGCACTGATGCTGTTCATAGAGTTGTGGTCAAAAGTTATCCCAAGTCAAGAACAAGTCCTCATGCAGCCGTCACTGTTACTTACATGTATGACCTAAAGTCCACCACACACCTTTCTGATTTTCCCGGTTCACCAGTACCTTTTTTTTTCACCGTTGCTGAGACAGCAACGTTAACCCGCACACATGCACGATTCCATTCTATAATCGGTCGCATGGTGACCGGTCACACGATGACCAGTCACATGACGACAAAATGGCAGCCGTCAATTTTGAGTCATGCGACTTCCTTCATGAATGTGATTGGTGAACATAAATATTGCGTCCGGTGAAATCGGAGTGCTGCCCGCACACCTTTCCGGTGACATCGGATCCGGTGAAATCGGATGCGAGATAATCAAACATGTTTTATTTCATCCAAGCCGCCCTGTGTACGGTCAGATCGGTCAAATTTTTCAGCGCGCACCTCTCTCATCTGCATGTCCGATGGCCCGATGATCCGTTGAACCGGTAAAATCGCAAAGGTGTAGAGCAGGCTTTATCTGATTTAATTTGTGATCTGATTTAATTTGTGATCCAGCCTGGATGCTCATTACAAGAATGTCACTAACAGGGATGCAGCTGTAATGATAGGTGATGTTTATAACCCAATAATTGCAGTTACAGAATTTAGAATACAAGGCATGTTTTTTTCCACAACAGAAATTTGTATGAAATACATGTATGGTTTTTTGCAGTTAACATAAAAAGCAAGCTTAAACCAATATGTGCTACCTGTGCTACTTTGTAAAAAAGTTTGTATCATTTTGCAAACACATAACTGAATAACAAATAAATGATTACATTTTGGCAATAACATTCTTGCTGATATCCACCTGTTCAGTATGTGATGGGTACCACGATTGTCTACTTACAGCCAGTTTGGATGGGCAGGATTCCCAGAACGCCCTGGTCTCTTCAGCATGGGCTTTCTTCTCGTCAATGCTGCGCTGCAATGCCTCCCACGATTCACTGCTTTCCTTTAGGAGATTGAACTCTGTGCTTCCCTGAAAAGCGTGAAAGTGAAAGAAGATCAGATTCCAGTGGTACATTTAAATCTTCGTGTCAAATGTAAGGTTCGCCTAACCTTCCCAAATCCTCTTTGCGAAATGAAGGATTTTGCAGGATTGCAAATGTGTGGCTGATTTTGGAGGATGCACTGTGTCAAGGTCTTGGGCCGGACCTTGTATTTTTTATGCTCAGCCGTGCATAAAGTTAGGCCTACATTAGATTATACTTGAAATCCTTCGCACTGCTCCAGGATGTCACTGGCTCTGCCTCAACTTATTGACAGTGATTGCTGGAGGATTTTGCAGGATTGAGGCAATGGTCACCGCTCCAAGGATCACATTCAAGAAATAATGGTGAATTTTGCAGGATTGATTTTGCAGTTGTATGCTATTTTTACACGGAGGCAGTTGGTGATTTTGCAGGATTGAGGTTGCAAAAATGCCTAGGGAGTTAGGGTTTATGAAAGAGTGACAGTTTTGTGACAAACCACCTGAATGTAAACACAGTTACTTTTAATATTCTCAAAAAAATGAATGGTTTTAATTCTGGTGTAAACAGTGGGCGACAACAGGTGCCCCTATTGAATGCCATGCTACATGCTCTAGTTGTGCGTGTCATACACATGCACACACCTGTCAAACATTTAAAGCTACAGTCCATCATTTGTAATGTGTGCATTTTGTTCGTTTGAAGCAACAAAAGAGTTCAAAATCTAATGAAGGATACTGAGCAACTAACCTGATGAAGTTTCAGCTAAGCTTCAGCTGTACATTCCGAGAAAAACAGCATTCTAAGATCTCAATTTCAAATCAAAAGTTACTGAATCATGTTTTGAATTGTTTTGAATTTGCAGCTATACGCGACGTCGCGCACTGATCTGACGAATTACAACAACTGCGCGCGCGTGTGCGTCGTTCCAATACTTGTGCGCGCTGCGCTGAATAACAAAACGAACTACTAATTTAAATTTTCCTATGGTGCTTCTTAAGAATCACCGTTGGAAATGCCTTCTTTCGTTGATTACTTCAAAATGACAGCTTCCCAGAAAGAATAATTTCACAGGGAGTTTAGTTCCCTTACTATCTTTCAACCAAGTTTGTTTTTCAACAATAATTACGCCAGTTACTTTTCGGATGGCTGCAAATGATGGACTATAGCTTTAAGCATGTATGTCAGACATAAACCTTGGCGGTGATTGGTCAATACACCATGGGGGCGGGGCTTAATCCATTGGTCTATTGTCAAAGCTCTCACCTGGGCATAGTAATCCTTGAGCTTGCCCAGCAGGTAGGCGTAGCACTTGACCCTATCCAGGGGGAGTTTCATCAGATTCCTCAGCGGAGTGCCGTAACTTGCTGGTTTCTCCTCGTTCAAGAGCTCCGTGAAGACTGCCTCGTGCTTGGAGAGCGCATCACTGCATGACAGACATTCAAACACCAATCATTATAAATACAAAGACAGGTTCATAATTCACATGATTGCAAAAAGTGGAGCGAATTTCATAACGTTAATAATCGTCGTTTCATTGTGACTCCGTTACCCTAATGAATTCGTTTCGCTCTCAAATTCATGTGAAGTATTAATCGGACTAAGCACAGAGAGTGTGGATGGACAACAAACGCTGCCAAGTTTTTCCTGTGTGGAATTCTGTGGCTTTAAGCACTGGGAAATTGTTCAATCATACACATGGGATTCTATTCACCCTGTGGGAAGAATCTTTCTTCTTTCATTGAACTTGCATTGCTGATTAATATATTTGACAATTGGGATGGGTTCACACACTTGCTAACCCACCAATACTGATTTCAGAGCTCATCTACCATCAAGTAATCTCTACGGCTACTCCAAACCAGTAGTTTCATTGAACAAACCGTACTATTTCTAAAAAAGAAATAATAAACAATAACCCAGGGTACAGAAAAATACACCAATAAGCACTTATCTTTGTGACCTTCTGTTAACAGCTACGTCAGATGATCCCTACGGCAAGTCAACCTCACTTACATCATTTGACATGAAAGGAAAGTCACAACCACGTTACCTTCCAATTTTTCCCATGTGAGTGAATCCGCCGACAGTTACAAAGTTGCAGACATAGACAGCGTACTGTTCAAAGACGGCCCGGTACTCGGCTCCACTCTTCAACATGGCCAGTTCAACAAGGTCACGGCTCCGTTGTACGGCTGCCATCAGGCCGATGGAATTGTGGGCCACGGTCGTGCCGAGTAACGAAAAGAGGTCAACGATTTGTCGGAATGGCTGCTGGTAGATGGTTCCTTCTAGTACTTTGTTCATGTCTGTATCAAGGAAAGAAGAACATCAACGCTATACTAAAAAGCAAAACAAAGTGTATGTACGCACAGAGTTTCCAACACACAGACAGTGCTGTGGTTAAGTCCATCACAAGTCTTCACATCACAAGTCTTAACTCCTAAAGTTAAAAGTCATAAGTTATTCAATAGTAGTGATAAAGGCATCTCTTGTTATTGTTCTTACACTGTTACTTGTGACTGACCTTGTGAACCGATAAATGATTTACTTGTGACCAGTGTTGTAGTCGAGACCATCACACGACCAGACACAAGAGCAGCACAAGACCATTCAGAAGACCAGCCACAAGTAACAGGGCACGAACAATTACAACGGAATGCCTTTGTTGCAGTTCATTGGAATAGCTTGTGACTTGAATTGAGACTGGAGGTCTTGTGATGGTCTTGTGATGGTCTTGCAGGGTCTCGACTACAACACTGCTTTTGACCAGATTTGTGACTGGATTTGTGATGGATCTTTGATGAACTTATAATGTATGATGGACTCATAGAGCTATATTAAATTACTAGAGCGCTAACTTCGTGTACAAATACCTGCTGGGCGCATCCATGTTTGTGCACAAACCTATGGAGACATAGAAATTTTGTACAGCTTTTGTACGGATGTTTGCATATATGCATTTGTATTCCATACTGGTGCGTTATCAAAGCCAATACGCCCAAAACCGAAATGCACGATCAGCAAATGAGCGTGTCATTTTGGTTTACGCAAACAGCACAACGCGTGCGGGTATTCGCTGCAGATGCTTTTTGCCGTCAAGATTTTTTTAACCGTCCATGACGCGCTGAAGTTGTTTGCATATGTTCTACTTGCGCGTTGCATGTAGAGTACACTTTCAAAATTCAATCCATCTAATTTCATTATGTTCTACAAACACGCACATGAAGTCAAAATGTCTGCTCCAAGGACGGCTTCAAAGCGATTCCACGCGCAGAATGACGAGTTAGCGCTCTAGTAATTTAATATAGCTCTATGAATGGACTCAATCACAACAATGCACACTGGAACTCTTGTGGGTTGTCACTAGGGCTATGCATCAGAGCTGGGTGCGCGAGTACCCGACCATTAATGTCAGGAACCGGTTCCAGATTATGGAATCAGGTGCTCGTAACCAACTTTGCAAATTACTTATAGTAACTTCTCAGACAATGAAAAAAGAAAGCTTTTGAATGTCCTTTGTGGGGGGATTTTAAAAATGCAAGCCAGGCTACAAGGGAAAACAAAACAAATGTCATGTTTAGGACACTCGTGAAATTTGCAGTTTACACTGTAAAGCTATAAGCTCACTGTACACACTTGTATCTTGCTGTATCGATGCACAGATGTGGTAGTATTATCGTGCAGACCTTTATGAACAATCTGAACAGCAAGTACCGAGATTTGAATTTTTGGGTTGGGTTTTTTAACAGTCACGCGGGTACCTGTGTTTTTTTAAACTAGGTATCCAATTCCCATACTAACCGTAAATGCACACCCCTAGTTGTCACCCAGTGCTATCTACTGTTCCTGTAAGAAGTCCATACTTGGTCACCCATAAAAGGACTCAACAACAACATGGGACTCGGGATACTTAGGGAGTCAGGTAGGCACAGTAGTCATTTCCTCCCCTTCCACCTCTATGGCCCAGGTTCCATTCCTGCCATGGTCCCCGTGTGGATTGGGTTTTCCGTCCCTACCTGAGTCCATGGGTTTTCCCCAGAATATTCTTCTGGGATTTTTCCTCCAACCTCTAAAACTCTAATTTCATCTCGTTGTCTTCTCTCTACAGGTTTCTTCAGGCTTGCGAGCTACAGTGCCTCGGGCGCTTTTGAGGAATCCTTGGTCTCAGTACCAGAAATAAGCAATAATCATAATTGCAACTTATACCTGGACTGCTGAGGGCCTTGATGATAGTGGACCGCGTTGTGGTGAGCTGGTAGTGCAAGAGTCTCTCAGAGGCAGCCAGCTCATGGAGAATGGCCGTAAAGCCGGAGGCATTCTTGTCTGTGATGCATGCACACAGGTCAGACGCAGCTGCTACAAACTGGGCCCAACCACACTGGAAACGGCAGAAAAGAATCATGTTTAGAAAGAATGTTACACATTATGTACGTGGAAATCTTTCTCCATCCGGCTTCACAATGGCACCGACAAGTTTACTTTAACTTTTCTGACGATTCTAGTTCTTGCCGTGCCAACCGTTTCTATTCCCACTGATACTGAGCTAACCTGCAACGCTAACAGTTTAGCTTTGCTCTCAAGATTTTTCCTGGCTATTCACTGGCTTCATAAAAGACCCACACTAGCAATTGCAGTCTGTGGTCACACGTTTCTCATGCCAGAGTTTACCTTTCTAATGAAGGGAAGCTTTTCTGGCTGTTTGGCTCTTGCTGCATATTTGACTGTTGGTCCCTTGGCAATGCTAGACATCGGCCGCTTCTTACTGGCTTCTTTACTCTCCTTCAGGGGGCTGTTCTCCGGTGTGCCAGTACGCCCCTCGTTCTTTAATTCTTGGAGACTGAAAACATTTAAAAAACGAAGAAATCAAACTACTTGAATAAAATCGTGATTGTAGTTTTCTTACAACATACACAGGAAGTGGCTCTTTTATTGAGAAAAATATATACAACAAAGAATCAGAAGAGCTCTACAATTTTACGCTCAATTTTTTTTTAATTCAGGTCAGTATATACAAATATTAAACATTCAAATTAGCTAACTCCAGTGAAAAGCCACATTTTTCTACCTAAGCCCAAAATGGATATTTTTAGCATCAGCATTTCTCCAAATGATAGTTTCCAACTAGAAGTAGGCTTTAAGCTTTCTGATGCAACAACTAAATCTTGTTATAATGGTGTAGTTGTTACAACTTCTTGTGGGGGAGGGGAGTTTGGTCTAGTTGTGAGGGTCAATGATTCATGATCAGAAGGCCAAGGCTTGGAGTCCAGCTGCTACCCATACATCAGCAGCAGCTGGATTGAATCTCTGTTGTGTCCTTCAGCAACCCACTTCACCCCAAAGTCCCTCTCTCCACCCATTGGAGAAATAGAATATTCCCAGTCAGTTCACGCCAATGATACCAGAAATACATGCCGATCCGATTCCATATTGATTTGAGGTGAACTTTTCTTTGCTTTTGAACCAACAAATCAATCAAAAGTTCTGTTGACTTGTGGAGAAAGAGAGACACAGACAAAAGAGTGAAAAAGCAAATTTGACCATCTTTAATTAAGTGCCTCGAAGTTAGACAGTGATCTCATTATAGTTCAACATTTCCAATGAAAAACAAAACAAAGGTTAACAAAAATCTGTCGCAAACCTTGGTTGTTTTCCCAGATAGTATATGTCGGGCTGGAAGCTGTTCCCATCTGCTAACAGGAGAGTGTGGGTACTGCCAGCAGCAGCATCCCATACTAAAGCATTATTAGGCATCTGAAAAAAATGAAAACGTAGGTAATAACACCCTTTATCAGTTGATATAAACTTTATTGATGATTCTTGGGGTTTTTTTTATCAAAAGTTGAAGTTGTGCTAGCGTTACGTGTGTGAATATTTCAAAACTTCAATTCTATTTAACATGTTTATTGAAGGTTTAGGCAAATGTTGCCGATTTGAATAGCATGAAATCTGCTGCTTTATCTGCTACTGTATAATAGGTATGGGCTCAATGAAATTGTGCTATTCTGTGAATTTGGGCTCAAGTAACCAACAGGCTTAACAAAAATTCAAAAACCTCTGGAAATCGTATTGGCGCTCTACCAACAATATTAGGGCTGGATAGAGTTGGTAGAGCACTGATACGGTGTTCCAGAGGTTGCAGGTTCAAACCCCGCTCCAATCAACTTCATTGTTCAATTTTATACTTAAATGAGATAAATGCACAGTGCGTGAAATTACAGTCGGACATCAGACATTTTCCGACCACTTTCATGGTTTGTCCGACCAAATGCAGATGTGCTCGGACAAAATGTCCGAGCGATTTATGTATTCTTTGTGGAGTTGTCTTTTTCAGAAGTATGAAATAAACGCTTGCACTCAAAAGTATTTTGTTGTTTATTTCCGATGATCCGGTCTGTAATACTTACCGTACGCTGAGCGGCTGCTAACTACATGTACGTGTTGTCTTATATTCACGCAATAGATGCAACGCGTTTACACCCCAATCATTACACAGTCTAGTACAGCGCGGCGTGCACAGCGATAGATTGGCATTCGTACGTACGTGCCGTTTGCCAAAAAATAGACGTGAAATCAAGTCGATAAATTGTGTTTCGATCAGCAGTCTTCGTGTTTCTTCTACAAATCAGTTAATACAACTTTTTGTACTTTTCAAGTCATTTTATGGAAATGAGCAGTGGCCGTTTGTGGAATTCCCAGTTAATTTCTATTGGGCAAAAGTGTTAAATTGGACCTGATTCAACCTCTATTCCTTGCTATAATGATTCGATCGAGCCTCTTTGGACATTCAGAACTGCAATTTCACCCAGTTTAAGTTATGTGTTCTGCAGACTTGAATCGAGTCTGTATAGTGACGAGTCGAAATATAGAGTATTATAAGGACATTGACGCGCATACATGTAATAAGAATTTAGCAAGATCAAAGTACGTTGTGTTGCGCGGTATGCTTTAAGTGCGTGATTGTTACTAAAGTCTCACAACGTGGCTTACTACAGAAACGAGCGCGTGAATGCCCGGCGCTTGTCATTGCAACTACATAGTGTGTATTATGGATACGTACGTACGTAAACATACATACTGTACATGTACACACGTGTATGTACCGTCCACGTGTTTGAAGTATAGTAAACGCGGCCTTTTGAAAGTTCGTCTGACAATGGCAGAACACTTTTGATTGTGCTCGGACATTTTGTCTGACCACTTTTTTTGTCTAATTTCACGCACTGCTCATTACTTCAGTAAAAATGAAAACACTTTTGGCTTTGACCAACACGCCATCACAGGTCATTTTAAAAATGTAAAAACATATTCTTTTACCTTGATCCTTTTTGGAACCAGCTGACCATTGTGTCCCAGCTGACCGTCAGAGTTGCAACCCCAGGAGAATGCCTGACCGCTGCTTGCTATGGCCATGGAATGGTTCGGTCCAGCTATCACGCGGACCACACCCTTACCAGTCAACTGCTTGATGACCAGGGGTTGTGCTCTGTAAAAGGCAAATTAAAACATCAATGCCTACAGGAACTTGTATGTACGTGTAAATGTACGCATGTATGTTCAGTTTATCAAACAATTAAATTTAGGAAAATATATAACAAGTGACAAGGGCAGCCTCGTATACATGTAGATGTTCATGTACTTTACCTGAAGTGAATCTTATTACATGTACAGGTACAGTGTGTGTTCATGTACACATTATTCACAGTGTGCATTTGTATACAACATATTCAACAACAAAAGTGATAGTAATAACATTTAATTGGACCTAATTTGTTATTTGATGTTATAAAAAAACACTAACTAATACAGTATTTAGCAGCCCACTAGTACAGTAAATGTTTGTGGGTACATTTGTATATAGACCTACAGGTGCAAATGGTACTATAGTGCACATTGACTGCAAAAAGTAAACAGCAAATGTTCATCAATTGCCAAATATTTCTTCATGTATTTGTAATTGTATGTGTTCATGAATTCTTATGTTTACATGCACATGTGTGAATGCAGTAAATTATACAATTCGTTTATAATTCTGATATTTTGCTTCAGCCTTCAGCATTTCTAAGCGAGACACGTACGGTACATGTCCATGTGTGGGTCTACAGCTGTAGGGTGCATTAGATGCATAATAATTAGTCACATCTCACTGCCATGCCTCCCTGTATGACCAAACTTTATTGCTTCTGTCAGGCGTGTGATATGTCAAGCAGAAACTCACAAGTGTGTATACTGCCTGACAGGGTTATCAAATCGGGCAGGAATGGCATTTGAAAATTTATCAGGAGGGCATATGATTACTGCATTCACTGTATGTGTACCATCTAGATACAGTGCAGGTGCATTTTGAATCCTCTTCAAAGAATATAGTTCAATTGCAGTAAATTACATAATACAGTGCACTTGTTGAATAAAAACATAAACATGTACATTTACAAAAACATCCTGTACATGTACCAGTATCTGGGCAATTCCACGGTTACTCACGTTACATTTTTGATGTACTTTTGAGTTTCCTTGGGCTGTAATTACCTTACTGAAAAGATTTAGTAACTGTTATCCCCATGGTACCGGTAGATAGAGTATACCTAGACCTACCTAAACACCAAAGACGACATCCAGAAAAATGTGTTATGTATGATAAACAAGATGCACAAAATCGGTTACTCGCGTGACGAAAATATAACGTGAGTAACCGTGGAATTGCCCATCTGCAGTGTGAATGACATGTACCGTGTGGGACCCTTTGCTTCAATTGTGGTAAATTTTATGCCATACATACATGAACATGTAAAAAGGGGAAAAAATTCAAGTGCCGGCACATTGATTTTTGCATTATAATTTACATCTACATTGTACATGTACACGTAGGTACGTCACATGAGTACATACATGTACAGTGTATGTGCACACCCTAGACTCTGTTTATTGATTTTACTGATTCATGTAAATTACGTAAAGAATAGGCCTACATTATGTAGTATTTGTTTTAATCCTGCAGTACAATCATATACTGAATGAAAGTGAAAGTGGTGCTTATTATTAAGGGACACAATTTCCTTGTAATTGTGTGCCTGTTTTGTTTTTTATAACAATGAAGTTACCGGTACTTTTGAGTAAATGTACACTACATAGGTTTGTTGACAAAAATGAAGGGAAAAAAACGAAATATAGACAGGGTAAATGTACATGTATGCTTTCAGGATACGCCCCAAACTACAGCAAAACAAAATGAAACTGACATGCTCAAGGAAGAGAACGTCTGCTTTTATGTTACATGTTCCCATACACATGAACATGTACATGTACATGTACATGTACATGGATGTACAGCAAATGCATCAGATTGCTGTTGATAATTTACAAACAGAAAAAAGACTCCAGATTTGGATCAATGATACACTATTGCCAAAAGGATATAAGGAGGAAATTCTCTAAGCTTTAAAAGTTGTACTTGTCAAAAGCTACGTATTAATTACTTCAGATTGTATTTATTCATTTCTTTATGACAAATGCATGAAAATGACCACAAATTTAGATTTTGCCAATGAAGTGTGAGTTTGGAAATTGCATAGATGTACGCTATAGACCAGTGATGTAGTGCCTTGATGCTGGGCCTTGGCCTTAAGGCTGCCTTAAGGCTGGATTTTGGGGCCTTGGCCTTGGCCTTGAGGCTTGAGGGCAAAAGCCTTGGCCTTGGCCTTGGCCTTGAGGGATCACAGCCTTGCAATTTTGAGTCAAGGCCCTTCAAGGCCCATAGATTTTTGCATTTTCCAGATAAATCTGTTCGAAATTTTGCTGTTACCATTTTAATCGTATTACCATGGAGGAGGGAAACCCCTTGTAGATTTGTGTGTTTGGCACACTTCCACTTTTATAGCATCACATGTTGTTACCATTGTAGTAGATTTGCTGCAAAAATATTCTGTACACTTGTGGGGCTAATGAGATGATCACTTAAATTGCGTACAATTATGGAATAGATTGGTCATTCCACCGGGTTGGGGAACAAAGTGTGACATATGACCATATTAAGAAAAGCATGAATGCCTTGCTAGCAGTTGCTCTACATAATATTTGTTGTTGGGTGTTTCACGACTGCAGAAAGTTTGAAATCATTTCAATGTATTTTGCCAAAAATATGAGCAAAAAATGTAATTTTGGATGTAACATTGACACCGTGTCAGTGTTACGTCCAAATATGACATTTGTTATCTTTTTTTTTTTAATTTCTTCGAAATATTACCCAAATTTACTTCGCGTACTTCTTACTATAGATGCAACACAATAAGAGAAGCTTTTGTTATGGTAGTCAGACATCAAATGGAGCAGAAATGATAGCTTGTTTGTGTGGATGTAACATTTACACGGTGTAAACCCCAAATGTCACACTTCCATTGAGTGATTTTTACACCGTTACATCCACACTTGAGGTATTGTTTCTGCCATATTTGAACCCTGACTATACCAAAACAAAAGTTTGTCTTGGTGCTTAGGTGTCCAGTTGTAAATATGCAATGTCAGTTTGGGTAACATTTTACATACACGTGTAAAATATGGCAAAAAAAAGAATTTTTGGATGTAACATTGAAACAGTGTCAATTATGTTACATCCGAATTAATACATTTTTGCTCATATTTTTGTCAAAGTACTTTCAAATGATTTCAAACTTTCTCAAATATTGAAACACCCTAAGACAAATATTATGTTAAGCAATTGTTTAGAATGCATTGATATTTTTAATAGTATAACCAAATATATGGATGTAACATGCACTGCTTCCCAACCCGGTGGAATGACCCAGATCTGATTGGTTGTATGTCTCCCTGATAAGTGCTAAAGATTTGCATGTATCTGTTTTAGATAATGCTGATATTTCTGACCATGTTGGCACAGCAAATAAACATTTCCCAATCAGTTTCTTGGATCCCCCTTTTGTTACACTTGGGAGAATTGTGCGTCAATATAGAAGTAAATCTTTATTTTGTTTTAGTTAAACCACATTGAAGACCTGCACTTATACTTTAATAGATCTAATGCAGTCATAAAACGGTGTATGCGAGCATGTTGATTGCAATTTAAGACATGTTGTTCTTCTTAATGGGCGATTCGTGATGATGAGTCATGTGACTATAATTAGTTCTATATCAGTGGTCATGTTATAAAACAGGGCCTTGGCCTTGGCCTTGGCCTTGAGGGTTAAGCCTTGGCCTTGGCCTCGAGGCTTGAAGGTCTAAGCCTTGGCCTTGGCCTTGGCCTTGAGGGTCAAAGCCTTGGCCTTGGCCTTGGCCTTGGCGGTTTAAGCCTTTGCTCCAACACTGCTATAGACTTCGTACCAAGAGCTCAAGGGTGAAGGGTGTAAGCTGGTTCATTATAATACATTTATGCATGACTTATTTTCTCTTGAATGAGAAACACTGTACGGGTTTACGTACAGAGCCTATAACTTCAAAATAAGGACCCTTTAATTAATTGATAAATTTCTTCCGTATTGAAAAACTGCCATAAAAAAAATTGCCCAGATCAACAACCCTGTACATGTATTTTAGTTTAAACATTTGCGTACATTTAGTACTGAAATAGACAATGTATATGTATCGTACATTCTTAAATACATATGACAGAGCTCTGTTGATGAAGGCAACCTTTCCCACTGCAGATTTTAACGTGATTAGAATTCACTGATGCAAAGTTTGAAATTGTCAATATGAAAACTAGCTTTACAATCTATGAGTCATCACTCCAACCTCATCTGCCTCATGTATGCACTTCACCGTGCATGTATGAGCAAGCAGCATACAGGTTGCAAATTTCACAAAACAGTGCGTAACTTACGCCATGCGTGGGACTTATGCAACAAATTTATTGCACAGCTGCGCAATAAACTTACGAGCAATTTCACAAAACTTAGCTGCGAAACGTTTTCGATAATCTGAACATCTTGGACGTGGATAAAAACAGCATCATTTACGATGACGGTTTGTGTATGATTTTGTTCGTTCGTTAAACAGTCGTTGAATCACCTTCACCCGTCATTTTGAAAATATCTTTGTCCGACTTTCTTCAGAATCGTGCGGCAACTCTAAAAACTCCATCATGAGTCAAATACATGAAGCAATTCTTTTATTTCAAACAAAAAGCTGCGAGTGTCTTGTATCAACCTTGATAAGTGGCACAATAACATGCTCCACAACGATCACAATATGCTGTTAAAATAGGTCACTTCAGAAGTTCAGTCGCTACGCCATGTAACGTATGCCACCTAATATGATTCCGCAAGTTACGCCATAATTTGTTGCACAAGTTACGCCATAATTTGTTGCACAAGTTACGCCATAATGATAATTTGTTGCACAAGTTTTCCCTGATTTTTTTGTTTTCCCCAATTCTTTGAGTTTCCCCGACTTGACTATGGAAACTCAAAGAAATGTTTTCCCTGATTTTCAGAGTGGATTGGGAACCCAACAAAAACTAAAGGCACATTTGTGAGTATATGTACTAACTTGTCAAGAGGGTCTCCCTGGCCAAGCTGCCCATTTGCCCCCTTGCCCCAGCTCCACACTTCAGTCTGTAATGTTGAGTCATCCAGAGGACCCTCTAGCGAGAACCTGACACCAGAGCTTTTGCCAAGTTCATGCTGGGAAACCCCGCTCATCATCAGCTCCTCAACCTCTGTGTCCTCTTGCTCGCCGCACTCCGTCAGACTAAATTTCGACCTCAGGCTGAGGGGGCTCATCAGCTTGCTGATTTTCGAGGACACGGCTTGTGGGAGGCTGGCAAGAATGCGGTCTTTTGGGGATGTCTTGACTGGCTTGGGTGGCTCTGCGAGCTGCAGGGGCTTCAGCTGCTGCGCCAGGTACTTCTTGGCAGAAGCACTGTCGAAGGATTCAGTGAATGTCAGTCTTCGTTCTGGCCGAATTGTTGAAGTCGGGGTGCTGACACTATCTGGCTGATCATGGAAAACCTCCCCATTGACCACAGACTCACTTTGTCCAGCTTCTGCTTCTTTTTCCTTGTCTTCATCCACAGTGTACGTGCCTTGGCTGTTGTTGGAATCCTCCGAATCGCTTTTGGCAGGTGCATCCTTTTGAGCTGGTCGTCTTGCTGCAACATCAATACTGTCCGGTGAAAAGCTTCTCATTGAGGGAATCTCTTCGACAGAGCTGCTTGCGGTTCTCGTGTCCGTTATGATGACAATGTCCCCTTCTTCGTGGAGGGAGTAAATTTCATCCGTCATCTGGAGACTACTGGTTCCAGAACTTTCCTCATCCATGTCTCTCTGCCTGCCGCCGCTCAGCTTGGAGGTGCGTGCTTTCTGCACCACAGCCAGGCTGTGGTTTGAACCACACGATATCTGCAGCACCTTTCTCCCCACCAGGCCTTGCACCTTTCGTGGGGTCGGGACAGGCGTTGATCCCGTCCCAAGTCCCAGCTGCGGACCTGTTCCCCAGGCCCATATCTCGGCACTGCTGGATAAGGCCAAGGTGTGTGAGTCTCCACATGAGATCTGTGTGATGATTGGATCGGAATCTGTGTCGCTGATCTGCACCTGCTGGGGCGAGTTGGTCTTCTCTATCTGTCCAATCCCACACTGGCCACTGCTGGAGTCTCCCCAGCAGAAGACAATGCCATCTGAACACAGAACTGCCGTGTGGTTGCTCCCACACACCACATCGATGACGTTCTCCCCTTTCAAATCTTGGACAAGTACAGGCTGCTTGGTGACATCGGAGAACTTCTTGTGGCCCAGTTGGCCGAGCTCCCCAGAACCGTAGCAGTAGACGGCATGCTGATCAGTCAGGAAGGCAGAGTGCCTACTTCCCAGAGAGACCTTGATCACATTCTTGGCGCTCAGGTTGGGGTAGGTATATGGGGAGGTGTTGCTGAGAAACCCCTTCCAGGTGTAAGCCACTGATTGGAGGCTCTGCCGTTTGCTGGCTGTGTCATCAGGCTCTCTGTAATACAAGAATGAGAAAACCAAGGCAATTATGAGAATATTAAGATTAAAACTCATTTGAAATCCTACATCTCTACAGATGTATACATTCCATGAAAAGCCACAAAACAAAATCATTTGAAATTTTGAGACTCTTGACTTGGTTGATGTACAATGAATAATGTGTATCTGTGAATATAATTTTTAAAGTAATTTGTGCTTACAAAATGTACATGCAATAATCCAAAAATTGTAATAATCCAAAAATTAGATCTGACTAAAATGTCCTTGGACTACACTGCAGCAATTGTGAACATCTGTTGTACCTGACGAGACAAAGCAATGCATACTGTGGGCAAAATGTTCGTTAGTTTGGAATATTGTGTTTACATAAACGTTTTAAATAGCCCATTAGCACGTGCACTACAATGCAGTATACTACACCATTTTCCTCCCTTGATAAATCCTTAAAACCCAGAGAGAGCTGGGGTGGCTTGAGGTGGTATAATTAAGGAGTAACTCTTGTCAGGTTGCTTTGGGATGATAGAGACTACAATTTTCAAATTGTAAATCGTATAAATATGTGTTTATCCAGTACAATTTACACTTCAATTGTACACTACACATGAAGTACACATACCAATAGGTGCCAACCTACATGTAACCATCTTTATGTGGACCTGACAACAAAACAGGTCCACATAATGCAGGATGTGTGAACATTATGTGGACTAAGCCAGGTCCACATAAGGTTTCGCCCTCTCTAGAAAACAGGTTAATGGGAATATACAACATTTGCAAACATCGAAAAATAAAACTACCAAGTTTTTACGAAATACCTTACTAGGATGTTGGTAAATGACAGTCTAAAGCAGCCTGTAAAATTATGGCACCTGGTGTGAAATCATTATCAAGAAAATGGTATTTTTGTATACATTTCCTACGGTGGTCGGCCGACCACCGTTGGAAAAACCTAACTATTGTTCAACTACTGCTCCAACTTTACACTTTTTTCAGTCCAAATTTTGTTTGCTATTGGTTACATGTTCATGAACGGGTGCAGGCCAGCTCTAGACTGGTTCCCTTACCTTACAATTTTCCAGCATCTATAAATTGATCCATTTTATCTTTAGTGAGTCAAGGAACCAGACTACTTGAACATTTTTGTTTTTCTTGTTTTTTTTCAGCATTTTTGAACACAAAACTTCAAACATGTCAGTGTAACAATATTTGATCTATTATACTAACCCCTCAAATAGTTCATTTCTGAAAATTACAGCAAAAGCCAATGATGTACATTCCCTTTAAGAGGCATTTTGGGGTTAGGGTTATCTGTCGCAAGATGAAGAGGAACACTCAAGGAAATCAGGATAAAATATTTGGGTTGAGAGAGTTTTCGCAGTGTGAGTAAAAAACTGTTTTCCTCCGGTTTTCCTTAACTGTGCGAAAACAAAGGAATGTCCACATAAGATATGTAATGTAAACATCACGTACGTGTGATGTACATGTACATATTTTGGATGCAGCAGCAATACATTTCTATTTGTTTTTCATAATGATATCTTTTCATCACCACATATAAGCAAATAACTAAGCCCAAATAAAGCCACCTGCGTAAATGCAAGTTGAAAAAAAATTTATCATGAAATGCTTTTGTCACCTTGGTCTATACATAAAATGAATTAATATTCATTGCAGTGCTTTCCATGTTAATGTGAATCCTCACGGCATCACACTACACCCAATGTAAATACCCTGCCAGCATCGCAGTCTGTCAGATCTGTCGCTATTTGTTTGGGTTTAGCGAGAGCCCATTTTATTATCTCGCCAGTCTTATTCCCCACAAGCTGATTTACCCGATCATAGATCGGGTAGGGCGTATTTGTGTTGGGGTTGAAAGTGTGGGGAGTTAAATGTAAATGGGGGATTTAGTTGAGAAGACATGTAGCTATAGAAAAGCAATTTACGGTGACCCGATCTGAGGAAATTTCTGACCACGTACGATAGTAAAACAAAAGATCATCTTTTAAACATCATTTCGAGTTTGGAGTCATTGAATCAGCTGTTCTGAGCAAAAGAATATTATAGTAGGCTACAATTTTTATTCGGGGAAGAAAACGTGGGGGTAGGGAACCAAACGATATTGCCCGCTTTAAAATGTTGGGGTGGGGGTCCCCCGTCCCCCACCGATTGACGCCGCGCCCATGATAATTATGTACCATGGCATGTATAACTGTCTGTAAATTTTCCCGTTGGTCTGTTAAATTGCATTTTGTGAGGCAGTCGCGTTTGTTAATGTGGGAAAACTGAGTTGAAAGACTTACCGTATAGTACACAGGCGAAGGCTGATTGTACTGTTTTGACAATAAATCATAATGGAATAAAACGTAAAGGTGGCATTTGCAATAAAAATGTTGAGTGTGTTACCATAAAATTACATAGTCTGAATCATGGAGGAAGGTCATTATGAAGGTACAGTATTGGACTCTTCAACAAACGTAAACTTGAACTTCTTACAATTTGCGAGACCTGCGAGGAAAAAGTCGATTTAACTATTTCATTCAAGTTGGCATTGTTCAACCATAATATAAGCAAGGCCAAACAGCCAACAACCGCCAATATTATTATTTATGCACTCTTCGTTATTCCAACCCAACATAGTTCAAAGATCACAATATTTGAAGCAATGCATCGATCCCTCGTTGATTTACCCGATCATAGATCGGGTAGGGTGTAGAGTTGGGGATGAAAATGTGGGGAGATGAATGTAATTGGGGGATTTAGTTGAGAAGACATGCAGTTGTAGAAAAGCAAATTCTGTGGTGCGATCTGAGGCAATTTCTGACCACTAAAACATTTTTTTTTTTGCAAAAGATCATCTTTTAAACATCATTTCCGAGTTTGGTGTCATTGAATCAGCTATTCTGAGTAATAGAATCATTATACATGTGGTAGCTACAATTTTTATTCGGGGAAGAAAAGTGTGGGGGGGGGGACCAAAAAAGTCTCCACCGCTTTAAAATGGGGGGGGGGGGTGGAGGGGTTCCCCGTCCCCCACCGATTGACGTCCATGATAATTATGTACCATGGCAACAGTCTGTAAATGTTCCCGTTCTGTTAAATTGGCATTTTGTGAGGCAGTGGCATTTGTGGGAAAACGTACTTGAAGGCTTGCCGTAGTACACAGGCGAAGGCTGATTAAGAAGGTCATAATTAAGTTTCAGTGTATTGGACTCTTCAACAAACGTAAACTTGAACGTCTTACAATTTGCGAGACTGTCTGCGAGGAACTTGTCGAGTCAACTGTTATTCAACTTGGGGCAACCATCTATATAAGAGCAAATTTTACTCGGCCTCCGAGAAATGTTTGCTCCTGAAACGATCTGAGACCGCGGTCTTTCGCGATGCCACAATCGCTCCACGTCCGTGGAAAAATGTGGAGGGTGTCTTCCGCCGGATCGGACACATTTTCGTTGATTTTTTGTGTGACTGCGTTTAAGATCTCGATGTTTGAAGCAATGCATCGATCTTTCGTTGATCCCAGACAGGCCCCCGAAATTATAACGCAACACTGTGGCGGGCAGCGAACTCACAACGCTCAGCCTTGGTGGAAGCATGGAGCTGTATTAACACACGATGGAAGCAACAGAGCACTATACACGTCACTCACATGCTTGTGCTTCAAATCATGCAAATAGCGAGCACCGTAGACCCAACCTCGTTTCCAGGGTGTTGAGCAGGCTGCAGTACGCGTTGCCATCGACAGTTTTGCATAGCCCGGAAATACTACGCAGTGTAGACTTTCGATTGGTCAGACTGCGCAAGGCATACTTAATGTGAAGTCCTTCTGAGTATTCGTTGCACTCGGCGCAGGGGTGGCAAGCGAAGCATACGAAAGAATAGGGGCACTTGGTGGCCACGCACCATGGAGAAAAAATATTTTACCAAGGTCACCCCATAACACAATTTGATGAACGCTTTTGCAGAACGGCTGAGTAGAACACGTAAACGGAACCCCTACGTTGACCTCGCTGACCTCGCACAGTCTAGACACGCAGAGAAGCCAGCACAGGGGGCGGCCAGGCAGTCAACGTGAAAGCGCACACGACGGCAAATTCCTGCGCAAAATGCAGTCACAAAAATAGACGAAAAGGATCGCCGGTCTGTACGGGAAAATCAGGACGACCCGACGTGTCAGACCCGGCGGAAGACACCCTCCGCATTTTTCCACGGACGTGGAGCGATTTTCGCGCAGCGGGAGCCCGCGGTCTGGGATCCTTTCATGAGCAAACATCGTCTCGGAGGCCGAGTTAAACTCTTTCTTATATATATAGATAAAAACCCACTGCCTAGTGGTGTACAAGAGTCTGTGGATTAGTCATCCGGCTAAGTGCTTGATTTGGCAATTTTTTGCCCAAGGCAAGTTCGCCTTGCAGATAAAAGAGAAGTGCTAAAAGTGTACATGTACTCAATTTGTTGTACAATGGAGCGGTACAAATACATCCGCAGAAGAATAGGCTTTATTCATGAGTCGGCCCATATTCAAGTGAAAGTGAAGTACATGTAAATCTTCATTTTTGGAACTCGCCAATAGAAATGAGAGCAATCAGATAAAGTTTTGAGACATTTTTGGGGTTTTTTTTTTGCTTCACTTTTTTCCCCTTGGGAAGGAAATTCTTGGAATATCTTTAAGCAGTTTCACTTGCTGCAAATTATCAGCAAATCCTTATAACAAATCCCTCCCCCTTCATCTCTTCTTTCAACAGCATTTTCATTGAGTTGCATTATGGACAAAAGTCTGTGAACATACTTGTACGTAATATATTTTATATGTTGTGCCCAATCTTTGAATTCTTTATTTAAGATGCATGTACATGTCTACATGTATGTACATATAAATCTTAAATTGTTTTATTTCCTCGACTATTCTGTAAAAATTACAAATGTAAGTCTCTGGGTTTAGTGTGAGCACAATTTGTACACGACATTACAAACACTATGACAGTTAATTTATTCCAAGCACGGTATTATAAGGCCCCCTGAGACGCCAATTATCTTCCAGTCAGCTGATCATGATCAATGGGGGATTGCCCCTGGCTATGAACCCCCCATCCTGTCAAAATTGATTCCTATTCACACAAACACAATGACACATCTGCATTATGATAATTGTGTATTGATTTTGGTGAAGGCCAGCTGGACATGAAGTCTTGTTTATTTACAATGTAATCATACTTTTCCTTAATAGAGGAGGCATTCATCACAAAAATATAATCTACAAAATGTTTACACTTTCCAGACTGAAAACATGTATTTATCATTATTTATAATATCTTTTTATAATTTATTTTTGTTTTTTGGCATTTTATGTATATTCCAAACCAGTCCAAATACACATATTTAAAAATACTGTTCAGTGTGTTACATTGTGGAAATACACACATGTAGTAAATGCAATGCACCAAAATGATGTTTAATATATGTTTCACTGTTTTTATCTTTTGTACCAGTATGCCAATATGTAAGACTCAGTCCTCTTGGCACACAGGATAAAAAAATGAGCAGAGTTAATAATATCTTATCTGTTTGAGAAATCTACACTTTAACCTGCAATTTTGGTCATTTAATTTACATTTTTTTATATTCATTTATGAGCCAGGTATTCCAATAACATTAACATAGATCTACATCTATGTGTATATATTTTTAACACTGTAGCGGAAGCTTCTTTCATCCAAATTCATATTGTAATCCACAACTGTATCCCTAGCCTGTTTAAGTTTACATGTACATGTTTGTTTGAGCTGTTACTATGGTAACCTGGAGTGAATATGTACAAGCATGCCATGATACACGCATACTAGCAAATTTTGAAGACAAACAAAAGAACACAGACGTGCATTTTATGTAAGATGTTAAATTGTGCATGTAGTATGTAAGTTGTAAAGGTCTCCTCAAGATTATCAAACGTGAAGGCCTGAGAAACAGCACATCTTCTGCTCAGGGATGCACTGTTAGTTTGTCTTGAGGATGAGTCACTCTGCCGGGAGGAGTGGGTGATGTGGAGATGGGTGATGTGGCAGGTGACATCATCACCCAGGAGACCGGATGAAGCAGATCACCAATATGGTTTGCTCGCGGTCTACTGGGTCTGCATCACTGCCCAGGCATGAAGCACTTGGGGAATTTACAGCCAAATATGTATCACTTGTGGCCCTTGGCAGGGATTTTTGGGGGGAGTGAGCAAAAAAGGAGATGCAGACTGACTTGAACATGTTGGAATGTAGACACTGGAATATTTTTTTTCTTGGGGGGGGGGCCAAGAAAAAAAATAAGGCCCCCCCAAAAACGTAGCCATGCGCATCGGCAAAATTAAAAAGTTATTTTTTTCAATGTAAGATGATGTCTCCAAACAGCCAAACTCACTGGTTTGACTGGAATCCTACCGGTACTGCTGCACAATTGTAACGTGTTTTTAGATAGGGTAACAATCGAGTATAAGCTTTATGTGGCGGCCTCTCTGGGCTCCAATACATTTTGCACCAAATTTTGTCGGGCACCATTTGCAGTCATCAGCTGAAATTTGAGGGGGGGGGGAAAGTAAAAAAAATAAAAAAATAAAAAAAACCATGCATCGCCGCATCGCCGCACCACTTTTGGGGCAAGCTCCATACCAGAAACCGGAGACTTTTTGGGGGGGGGGCCTTAATAAATGAATAAATAAAATTAAATAAATTACCAAATATGATGACTTTTTTTTTTTTTTAATGCCATGTTTTTTAAAAGTCAGTCTTCTTGAAAAACAAAAAAAAGGAGGTGCAGACTGACTTGAACATGTTGGAATGTAGACACTGGAAATTCCCCTCCTCCCCCAACCCAAAACGATATATATAAAGATATATAACATAATTAAATAATTTCCTTTTTAATGCCATATTTGCAGGTAACATTGTCCAAACAAAGGAAGAAATCAAGGGTCGGTAGGTAGCCTGGAGATATGTTTGTGTGGCTTTCTTTGGGGGGGGGGGGGCATCTGCACATGTACTAGCTTGTCGTTTCCCAAGGCAAATGCAATGTGTGAATAAGCTTGACAATGGTGTATAATTTTGCAGCATTTTTACCACAGAATCAGCAGTGGTCAGCCCCATTGTTATGTGGAACTTTATAGACAGCCTACCGGTCGGTATTCATGTAGAATCAGATTTTGTGAAGACTCCCCCGCCCCACCCCTAGGGAACTAGAATCCCACACACCCCAAACACAAATCCAAGCAAACACTTTGCAAAGAACAGATGCTTCATGGTCATGTACAATGTATGTAACATACATAAAAGTACTCCAATATCATATCATCAACCAGAGTGCACTTTGAATAAGTTGTATAAACCTTGAAAGTACATGTGTGTAGTACCAACACACCCTGCACCTTAGAATATATCTTATTGTTTACGACTTGGAATTCCACTATTAGGCAGAAAACTACCGTATGATAAGGATTAGGTTTGGGGTTTCCCAAGAATGGTTGACTCTGGTGTATATTCCTTTGACGAATGAAAAAAAAAATGCAGCAGTATCCTGATTTAATTCTTTCTTTTTTTTCCAACATTTTTCCAACAAAATGTATCAATGATGTAGTCCAATGGGATGATGTCCGATGGGATGATTGTAGTCCGATGGGATACGGAGAATGTTGGGCAATGTTGGCTTTTTGGGTCGAGAACAGAATTGTGTGGAGCGATGGCAGCGGTTTAGCTTGGACCCTACTATCGCCAGACCATGTCCGAATGTTAAAAAGACAATAAGTTGGGTCCAAGTTACTCAGACTATCAATGATGGAGATTTTTTGTTTTAAATATTATATTGAAAAAAAATTATGAATTTTGGACTGAGAGTGAAAATCATTCCCTAATTTGTTAAAGCCGCGTAATAGATCAGTTGCAATAATCTGGAAAAGTTCCTACCAATTTAATGACAGAAAAGTTGTTCAAAGTAAATGTAGGATTTATCACAAATTTATCAAAAATATACACAAAGTAGTGAAATTGTATCATCTGCAACAAAGCAATCACTGAAGGTGGTGTAAAAATAGAGTTCCCCTGGTGCCCACGGACAAATTATGTCCTGAATTGCATCCACAATTACTTCTAGAATTAGAAGGCACCTCTCGTAAGCTGATGAGAGGTGCTTTTTAATTCTAGAATTTCTTTGGAATGACAGATCCTATGCCACTGGAACGTCTTGGATAAGTGGAAGGTCTCCAACCAGGATTTAAAACACGTCAAAAGTCCAGAGATTGTTAACAAAGCGTGGATAGGCCTATGTTTTTACCGGTCTAGCTGGGAAGTCCTGGTACAAGAACGAACAAAATACCAGGAACTGGTTCACGGTCTAATAAAGCATAGGCTAGTAATAAATAATAATATTTGTAATAATGTAAACTAATATACACTGGCACTGTTGTTTTTTTTGGTTAGTGAACAGAATAGCCGTGCAATGTTTTTGATTGTTTGCAAAAAAAATAAACATCTTATTCTTAAATTAATGCTTAAATAAAAAGTCAAGACAAACAGTTAATATTCATGTCAACTTACACATTTCCCTCCATGATGCAAAGCAGCTATTGTGATGATTCCCATAGAATTAGAACTGAAGGTTGTAAAATAAACCGCTACAAATTCGCTACCTCAATCAGCGCACATACATGTAGGGCCCTCATCAGCTCCGCCTAGCCTGTCTATGTTCACGATGCTGTCTGGTTGGTTGTCGGCTGCAAATGCACCGTCCATAGGCCTACGTGCAATTTGTGAATATTTTGGTTCACACAAATCTAAGCGATTTCAACGCTACTGACACATGCCAGCTCCCACGACAGCTAGGTCGAGGTAGGGTATGAAATCCAGTTTCCTTTAAACCTGAAAATCCGAGCGATTTCCAATGCTCTCTACAGCAGATTATGAGAGAAAATCTGATTTTCGGCCGTGTAGCGAACAGCTGTCCCGGCCGGCGCGCCATTCAAGTTTGCATGTAGTATAACTGGTAAACATTCAGATATTGTTCGAAAGCGTTATTGCATGACGGGTACCATTGAGGACCGGACGTAACAAATATGACGTTTCCAAATGCCGACATCGCTCCAGGGGTGACTCTACATAGACTGTGCCAATATCATTTGGACGAAGTTTGTTCTCTTTTTTAAATGATGTTCGCCCCAAACTCAACATCTTGAGACGGATTTCCTAGTCCTATTTACGTGAAAATCTTTTAAGAGAATCGCATGAGATATTGGTAAAAATGCCCCTGATCTGGCTTCGGCCCAATAGTCTAGTGTCATCCGAGGCACGCCATAGAGGGGGCTACAGCATATCCAGAGCCGCACTCCGAACCTTTTTGAGTTGTGGCATGTTCACCATCATGACCACGGGACCTTCTGTTTGGCATTTCACTCCCTGCAATGTTGTTTAAAATCACAACATGTCAGCCTAGTCTACAACAACTGAGAAAGATGCTCAATTTTGTTTTTTGCATTACTGAATATTGTACGTTGAAATGCCATTCCTGTAGGCGAAAGCCCTCAGGATTTAGAGTAATTTGCATGTGAATACCTGCCAATTTGTGCGTCAAAAATATATACATGTACCTGTACATGCCTTTTGTTGCATTCATGCCACGCATTGTTTCAAAAGCAAAATCGAGAGCGAGTGCACGTGGGCCCCTCGTGGCTGGCGCAGTATGGGCGTGTTCATAGACTCCGATGATTCTTATTAGCCGAAAAGTTGAAAGGCCGCGCGCGGTGTGCGGCCAGGTGCACCATCTTTGCTAAACTTTCAAAGCTAGTCCAACAAGGCAGGGGCTTTTAGGGGTTTACTAAAAGTTGGAGTAAACATGTGTAGATTTTCGTAAAGAAAGGAGGGTTCCTTGGAATTTGGTTTGCCTGTTTCTTATAATTGTATTAAAATTACTGGTTGAAAATGTACCAGAACAAATAGTTCCGAGCTTTTATTTAATTATTTTAACTGAAATGAAAAAGCTGAACACCATGAATTCGAGAGGTTAACAAATGAGCCAACGGATTTTATCGTAAACCTGAAATTATTTAATGCAAGCACACTATTTAGAGTATTATAGGGCGGCATTCCAATGGACCAAAATCATTTTATGGACAATGTATATCCACGGATCTCAAATATGTATAAATTGCTCAAAACAGCGATCTTTACACCATTAGCTTTAGGGTATTTTGTATATTATAAATGCTATTATAAGTTCAAGAGGACAGCAGAAGAAAAATATTGAGAGCTAAATTATTTTGATTATGATTGTATGAATTTAGATTTGAATAGATTGCCGACAGAGTTATTTGAAGCTCAAAAGAATTGAAGAAGACCTGCTGTGAGATCGAGACAAGCAAAATTCGACGTTTGAAGGAGGCAAATAAGGCAAAGTTATGATTGTATCAAATGAACTATTACGATTCAGGTTAAGGTGTGGGATGAAGGCGGGGAGGGTGGGGGTATAGGCACATGGCGCGCCTAGGCAGCCGAGCACACCAGCAGCAGCGTAAGAGAGCTTGACCTGGCACAGCCATGGTGTAAAAACTAACTTCTAAAAATCTGTTAACAAAACAATTACAAAGTTCCACAAACTACTTTTTCGAGGCACAGTAACAATCATCGGGCAAATCATCGGGCAAATCGTTATTAAAATGTAATTAACAGTAGTCAATTAAAAATCTGTATCGAGGCATTCTAATGGGAAAAAAACAATGTTATCAAATCAGAAAAAAATAATTTCTTTTTAAACATCAATTTTGGTTTTTGAAGTAGACACGCGTCACTGAGCTCTAAGGCTACATGGGCTGATGAGCATCAGTCATTTGTTAAATATGAGGACATCTTTGGGGTAGTTTTCGCGATGTAATTATTGTAGGTATGCTATCGTCTTCCCGAGAAAGACGGGTTGGTGATATCTTGCAGGTGAGATGCCGTCTTTCCGAGAAAAAAAATGGTTCCCGGGTTGATGATATATTGTAAATTAAACATCGTCTTCCCGAGATAATGTGTCATCACGAGTTGGTGATATCTTGTTTATAGGGTGAGATGTCGTCTTCTCGAGAACAAAATCTCTGGTCGATGATATCTTGTAGGTGAAATATCCTCTTCCCAAGAAAAAAAACATATCTCGGGTTGAAGAAATCGTGTTGGTCAGATGTCATCTTCTCGAGAAAAAGTATATCTCTGGTTGATGATGTCGTGTAGGTTAGATCGTCTTTCCGAGATAATATTTCATCTCGGATTGGTGATATCTATTAGGCAAGATGTCGTCTTCTCGAGAAAGCAAAGTATTTCTCGGGTTGATGATATCTTGTATGGGATATCGTCATCCAGATATGATTCACTGGTTGACGATATGTCCGGTACCAAATCGGTTAATTATTTCATTAAAAATGAATGAAAGAATACCTTCCGTGACAAAAAAAAAAAAAAAAAAAAAAAATGAGTAATCAACTCATAGCTACTACGGAGCTCTTAAAAATATAAAGATAAATATGTACTGAATAAAACACATTAAAGACAGCTTTTCTAATAACACAATAACTGGAAAATAATACAAAAATGTATATCAGAAGTTTTAAATTTGAAGTTCAGAAAAACTAGATGAGGTTTCCTTATTAAAGAAAAAGATTGAGGCAAAGCTATGAAGTCAAATAAAATATAAACACATTAAAGTGTATAGAGAGCAGGTGGTAGTAAAATATGATAATAATAACACAAATATTTAAGGAGCTTAGCGTACTGCAAAAAGTGAGGAAATAGCAGCTTGCATGACAAATAGGAACTTTGGGAATCGGGGAGGGAAGGAAAGTTATTTATTTTTACCAATGTTATCCTAACAATGCCTTGTGCACTGTCAGTAATAACGCCAGTTGACTATGAAAAAAGTTAAGGTTTAACGTTTTGGATTTTATTTAAATAATACAAACTGAAGAATCAGATGAAGACGGACCCCAGGCCTCTGAGATGATATCATATCAACGGAAATCAATGTCAAATCAATGGCATTGCCTTGAGCTTTGCTGCATCACAACCATATTAAGGTTGCTTATTATATTTTGTATAAAGACAAAGGAATTACCTTGGAGAAGTAGTGGCGTAAAGATGTTCATCATGCATATCTTTAAAACTTGTGCGAAATAATCCTGTAAACTGTTGTGTTGAATAATGTCCATTGGAATGCCGTTAAAGTACATGATTGAGAAAGACAACACCCTTGGTGGGTGCTTAATTCAAACAGGAAGCATGGAGGAGGACCAACGGAAGGACTGAAGACCCTGCTTGCACAGCAAGTCTTCACCAATTCGTGCGGTAATTAGCACTGAAGGGATTTAGATGTATTTTTCATATATTCATTTTCAATTTTTGTCTTAGTCTTGGGGAAGTGGCATTATTTCTGGCATGTCATTTTTTATGACATATCTTTTCAATCCGATGGTTGGGTTGTGCTTCGAATTTGAACAAAAATAGAATATAGATATATTTCTTTTATGTTTGAAGATTCCTCTTGCTTTGGATACGCAGCAGAGACGACGACCAAAAAACATATATAACGGAGTGGAGAAACCTAAAAACAAATCCTGGACCCAGCCTCCGGAGCACTTAGTACTTGCACCAAGTACAACCCCCACATTTCTTTTATGCAAATCCGTCCATAACTTTTTGAATAAGGGGAGACCAACCAACAAACTACCCAAATCCGATGAAAGTATAACCTCCTTGGGCGGAGATAACGGTAAAATATATGATGACCCCACTGAGCCGGGGTCAGCAGTAAATATTGTGGGGTTTTGTGGGGTGGGGGACTAGCGGAACGACAATCTAAAAAAATTTTAACGGTGAATTTACTGCTAACGTTAGGGTATCATCCTCACTAATTTTAATTCATAGTCGTATAACAGTGATGGGTAAAACTAAATAAAAATATAATCCTGAGAGTTCCTCCTGAAAATTGTCCGCTTCCCTTCGTCAAAGTATAAAATCAAAAATTGTTTCTAAGGCGTTCCATACCCACTCTGTGCGAACAAATTATGTTCGCAAGAGAGGGCGTCCTATATGGATCTCCGCTTGCTCGCGATCGCTAGTCACGTACATATATAACGTTCGCGCGCGATTTATTTTGACACTCACTGACAGACGATGAAGACGGTGTGATGCCACTTTGCCAGTAGGCCTAATTCGAAGATGAATAGTATACAACTTAAGTGTTATGCACACATGTATCGTGATGGTATGTGTGAAGGAGACATACGACCAGCCAGTGATAAATCTTGGGCAGACTTTCTACGAAGTGTGCAGGTGTGGAAGACCGTATCTGCACCCGGTGCTTCGTATCTATTCCTTCCTGTATGGCACCGGGAAGCAGCCCGCGTGGCCAGAGCTTTCCTTGATGGGTACCCCCTCGGCGTCGTTGTTGAGGAAATGCCCATTCCTGTAAACGCTGGCTTTCATCGCCAATGCTACACTTCTTTCACCTCTTATTCATTGGACAGGCATGACAGGAGCGCAGTGATCGATATAGGCCTAGAGAGACAAGACCAAAAACAACAAAACCAGACAACCGAAATGCCTCCCGTCACACCGGCTGAGCAGTCACAGACACAAGGTAGCGCCTCACTGATGCAGTGCATGAATGATGATGTATCGATAGTTAGTTTAAAACAATGCAACATGTGGTTTGTACATCACTGGACATTACGGCAAGATTCCCATATCTGGCCATCACTAATTCTGCCCTTCAGTGACCTATCAAGTATCAGCCATCAGAAAGTGATATGTCCTTAAACATGTTAAAAGTCAATTTTAGCAGGGAAAATATTGAAGTATTTACTGAGAAGAAATTTTTTGATCAGTCTCATACTAGGGTTTGTGCTGAATTATGCACAGGGTGACAAGTGATGGCCAGATATGGGAATTTTTTCGACATGACAATTTTGGACGATGATTTTAATATAGGTATTACGGGGCAATTTTCACATGACATCCAAAAGCTTCTTTTTCATTGTTTGCGAAATAACTAATCAATATGTAAAGGTGGTCACTTAACTTTTTTTTATTTTTATGTAGGTTATAATAATAGTCTCCCAAACCCCACGCCAATGGCCAACGACGTGGGTAACTATGAGACTCTATGTACGGTGCGAGGAAGCATCATGTACACCAGTATTGAGACTGGCCTGATTAGCTGGAAGACTGGCAGCCTAGAATTGGCCACTACGCCAACGGGACAGGTGGTCTGCTTGGTCAATTTCGACAATGGCCCCTCCAAAAAAATTGTGGTATGTTGTGAAGCCTTCAAGTTAACCCTTCAATACCGTTGAGCCAAATTTGCTCAATCGTAGCTGTCCATTCGCGACCTACATGTATGTGCCACACAGGCTCACCGTGGTAATATATGGAGCAAAACCTTGTTCTTGCTATGATGAGCACATCATGGACACATATTGGAGGACAAGTCCCCAAGACCCAAACAGTGGGTCACGTCACTCATCAGAGAAAGCTGTACCAACATTGGCACCATTGTAGTCTGGAAAAAGCTTTCGTTATCTTCATCAGTTACTTTGAATTTTGACATAAATTATTGGTACCCGATAAATATGTCATCTACTTACGTTCATAAACAGATGTATAAATTTATGTCCCTTCTTAATTTACCGATTTTTTCATGTTTGGACGTAATAAATCGCTGGAAATTCCGCCATGTGTCGATGTGGACGCTGCCATCTTTAAATGTATCTCTGAAAACAAACTGCTCACAATAACCTGCAGTAGTCCCCGGCCAGACGGAGAGCTGCTGGCAGCGGCTCGAACTAGGGTCAGAGGTTATACGATATAAATTATGTAGATAAGGCACACGTCATGGGGATACCCTGTTTATTCACAGCGATGTCACCGAGCCGCTGCCAGCGGCTTGCCGTACGACATCGAAAGAGTTAACTCCTCCCCATCCCCTTTTCTCAATATTAATTTGACACAGGCTTATGTTAATATCAGGATATAGACTTGTTGCAAGAAGTAGTTATCTTGGAGATGTCTGTTGTCTTTTCAATTTAGTAGCAGAATGAAAAACAAGTCTCTTGTTTGTTACTCTGCAGAACAAAAACACAGCACCACCACGATGGCTGCAAAGGGTCATTTTACATTTTTATCTACATATTTGTCCCTGTCAACCAATTGTATTTATTATTGCACCTCAGGTGACCAATCAGATTAGAGGAGTGGTCTTCAATCACAATGTACCCCGATGCAGCATTGGTCTTGCCAATGGGACCACCATCAGTTGGACCGCCAAAGTCAACGGAAAAATCACACGTGTTAACCCCCCGGCTGATGTCGCTCGCCTCGCTGATCTGCTGAACGACTTACGCGAAGAACGGAAGAGAGGTGGGTGTCCAAAGGGTAGACATTGACGTTCGTGATTACAGTACTCCTTATAGCTCTGTGGTTAAATGCCCAAGGGGCCTGTAGGCCTACATGTACCCACAGGTGCAACTAGGGGGTGCAGGGGGCATGTGTCCCCCCCCCCCCTCCCCTATTTTAAATCTTGACTTTCACAAAAACAGTACAATAAAAATTGTAGTTCTTATAATTATAGCGCTTTCCATCGTATCAATGATCTCCAAGCCCTTTACAATTATCCCGTTCATCAGGCCATGAGACCATGCAGCAGCAGATTTCAGCGTTCAATCGGTCCTTGACCCTCACGGGTACCCATTTATACTCCTGGGTGGAGAGAGGCAATTGTAGTTAAGTGTCTTACCCAAGGGCACAAACACCATATTTCAGGCAGGATTTGAACCCACGCACCATGGTGTGTCAGACAAACACCGTAACCACTGGACCATGGGGTTCTACTGGACCATGGGGTTCTACTGGACCATGGGGTTCTACTGGACCATGGGGTTCTACTGGATCATGGGGTTCTACTGGACCATGGGGTTCTACTGGACCATGGGGTTCTACTGGACCATGGGGTTCTACTGGACCACGAGGTTCTACTGGACCACGGGGTTCTACTGGACCACGGGGTTCTACTGGACCACGGGGTTCTACTGGACCACGGGGTTCTACTGGACCATGGGGTTCTACTGGACCATGGGGTTCTACTGGACCATTGAGTTCTACTGGACCATGGCATTCAGTTGCCTTCAGTGTCCTCCCTTGAAAAATTGGTGCATCCCTAGGTGCCCCCTAGAAGTTTAACCCTATAGTTACGCCGCTGTATAAACTTTTTTCTCCTTACGATTGAGTTCACATCAATATGGTTGACAAAGTTTCCTTTTGTACATTCCTTCCCATTAGGTATGGCCAGTCAGGATCATTCAGGCTCTGGATCTGCCACAAAGAAGAGTCCTTTAATTAAGACCGAGTCGAGCCAGGAGGAAACAGCGAGATCTGATGCATCTGGTGGTACGTATCAGCAAGCAGCTCACGTGGCAATAAGCTTCTTGGATGGGTACCCCCTCGACAACGTCGTTGAAGAAATACCCATTCCCTACAATTACATTTCAAAATGTTTCTATTCGTAAAACCTCAAAACAACCAACAAAAACATTGTCTTGATTGTGAAATGACATGGAAATACAACATTGTACACCGAAAATGTGTTGTCACTAAACTTTTCAATTTTGAAATTGTTTTTTCTGTAGGTAATAGTCCTCCCCACCCAACGACAGTGGCCAACGACGTGGGTAACTATAAGACGCTATGTACGGTGCAAGGAAGCATCAAGTACACCAGCATTGAAACCGGCCAGGCTAGCTGGAAGACTGGCAGCCTAGAATTGGCCACTTCGCCAACGGGACAGGTGGTCTGCTCGGTCAATTTCAAAATTGGCCCCTCCAAAAAATGTGTGGTATGTTGTGAATCATTCCAGTTAACCTTTTCAATACAATTGAGTCAAAACAGATGTATTTATATCCCTTCTCTCCCTAACTCCCCCCTTCTTAATGTTGCTTTGACACAGGCTTATGTTAGTATCAGGATATAGAAGCAGAACATAAGCACTGCACTGCCACAATGGCTGCAAAGGGTCCTTTTACATTTTGATTTCCATATATGTCCCTGTCAACCAATTGTATTTATTATTGCACCTCAGGTGACCAATCAGATTAGAGGAGTGATCTTCAATCACAACGTACCCCGATGCAGCATCGGTCTTGCCAATGGGGCCCACATCAGTTGGACCACCAAAGTCAACGGAAAAATCACACATGTTAACCCCCTGGCCGATGTCGCTCGCTTCGCTGATCTCCTGAACGACTTACACGAAGAACGGAAGAGAGGTGGGTGTCCATTAGACCATTAATTAGTCCATTAGTTTTCTTTGGGATCTGATCACACAGTAGGCACTAGCTTGACTTAGAATCAGGAAGCTCTTTGTCTCGCAATACATTTCAAATTACCTACTGCCAAATAGTCAGACGCCGATGGGCTATCATAATATATTCCAAACGGAATAACCTTGTGCAAACAGTTATATTTACTTTCTTGTTTTTGTTTTCAAACACGAATTGTGAGTTTTGGTTCTGTTGTTAATGTTCCTTTGCACCACTGAGTTCAAAGCACATCATCAGGCAATCCGTAGGTTAGTACACATACATAGTTAGTGAGTTTCAAACATTGCAAAAGAACACACAAATGCATGAGCTGAAATGAAAACAAAAATGTTTCCACCTACCTACGTTTACTTTTTTCAGGGGGTACCGTAAACAGACCATTTATTTTCTAGCTCTTTGGTGAAATGCCCAGGGGGGCTGTAGGCCTATACATAGAATGGTGTAACTAGGGGGCACAGCCCTATTTCAAATCTTGAATTTCACAAAAACAATATATCAGTTGCCATCAGTGTCCCCCTTGAAAAATTGGTGCACCCCAGGTTGCCCCCCCCCCCCCAAGTTCAACCCTATACATGTAGTTACGCCGGTGCGTGTGCTTTTGTTTCTCCTTACAGTTAGTTCACATCAATATGATTGACAAAGTTTAAATTCTAGAATCTAGACTGAATTTGTTTTCTTCCTTCTGTACATTCCTTCCCATTTAGGTAATGCAAGTCAGGATCATTCAGGCTCTGCATCCGCCACAGAGAGGAGTCCTTTACTTCGGTTTGGGTCGAGATTGAGCCAGGAGGGAACGGCGAGATCTTCGCACCTTTGGTCGGACACCTGCGTTATTTGCCAAGGTACTCAGAACAAGAGGGATAACCACTCTGGTTTAAGACGGAAGGAACCCCTCACGGTGTGTGAGCAAATTGATGGTGGTGCTCTTCTGACCGCTGCAAGGCTGAAGAAAGATGAAGATTTGCTTCTTCACATTGAAAATAAAGACTGCGTAGCGATCGGACTGAAATACCACAGATCCTGCCTTATGGAATACACATCAATCCCTAAAAACCCAGAAGGAAGTGAACCACCAGTGCCCCTCTATGACAAAGCCTTCAAGGTCTTCTGTGCAGATACCATTGATCGGCTTCTCTTTCAGGACAAAAATGTCTTCAGGATGACCAAGCTGAAAAGAATCTTTGATAGAACTGTACAGGAAGTCGAGGACCAGGATTCATCAGGATACAGGACATCGTCCCTGAAGGACAGACTGATCAAGTCATATCCGCAGCTGTGTTTCTTGAAACCAAAGACGACGAACATTTGCGAGTTGGTGTATGCCGACAGCTTGACCAGAGAAGATCTTATTGAAGATTTGACCACTCTGAAAGAATCCGTAAGGAAAGAGGAATCTGATTCTGATTCCAGCTCGGGTATGCAGGAAGCCAATGAGCAGTCATCCACTCCTTCATGGAAGTCCAGTAGGGACCACATGTGGACCTGCAACCGCGTCGGTATTTTGCGAGACCGCTATTCAACTGCCCTTGACATTAAGAGAGACATCGCCAGCATTCCATCTAACCACGACCCATGGCCCCCAACGTCCTTGAACCTTACTGTGGATGATGCCCGTCGTATCGTCCCAACGAAGTTGTTTAACTTCTTGGCATGGATTGTAGGCAGCTCGGATGACCCAAAAGAAGATGAAATGGTCAAAGTAGTAGATGGAGATGAACGAAAGATACTCGCCATGGCCCTGGATGTTATTTACATGGCAACGAGGGAGAAGTCAGCACCAACGGATGCGTCCTCTGCGAAAGCATTTTAATTTCAAACTTCGAGCCATTTTCTGAGTATCAGCTCCCAAAAGTGCCCACACATATGAAGTGGAATAGTGTATGATAAATGAGTACAGTCAACTCTCGTTAGTACAAACTCTGTTAATACAAAATTCTGGTTATAACAAACATAAAGCCTTGGTCCCGACTGTGCATTTATGTACACAATGAATGGGACTGATGTTCGAGACTCGACTGTACTCGTAAAGAACATTGCAGCTCAGATCAATAGGGTCATCCCTCAAGCGTTGTCTGAGCTCTGACATACTGTTGTAGAACTTAGCTCACCTCTCCTAGTACCTGTCCAGAATGTACCACACAACATATACCACCTACATGTTCAAGTACAATCCAAATCCCTTTGAGGGGTGCCATTACATCTGGTGTACTGTGGTGATGATCTGTTCAACTTCCTTTGTCTTTGCAACATGTACATACGTTATCTCTATTATATTTGGTTGTTTTCTGGAGACTTTTATACTATACATATTTAGTTTACAACTGTTTTGTTTACCAACAATGCTTAAAGTACTTTTTTTTAACTGTACACCAAAGAAGAGAATAACAAGTTTTTTGGCTTGATGCAGGCTTGAATGATGCAGATTTGTTTAAAATGAAACAAGCCAATTTGAGTTACACTAAATAACAGGTAGTGTAATTTTAATGTCATTTCATGTATGACATCTTAAATCTTCAACAGGTTTCACAAAGGCAACCATTACATGTTGTATTTTTATGTTCGATGCAGTCTTCTGAATGATGGACAAGTGTGTGACAATAAAAGAAAGGCATAAGCCCCAATTCTAGTAACTTCAGAAAGCTGTAAAATTTTTGAGTGCACAATTAAAGGAAAAAAGCAAACCTATCAAACACAGCAAAAACTTCCAAGAATGGATGTCACCTTTACCGAAAACCGAAAACTGTGCACTTTCCCTGCTTTTCTTGCATGGGTATTTTTTGCAGTGCTGATGTGATGACTGAGGCTCATGTACACATGGGCGTCGATCACTTCTTAAGAGTGGGGGGGGGGGGGAGGGGCGGATGACTTGGCCCGTCACCCACCGAGTGGGATAAGCAACACTTAAAATGGTTTGGGCTGCTGTTTGTTTGTTAGGGAGTTTGTCTGTTTGTTTGTATGGGGAGTTTGTCTGTTTGTTTGTTTGTATGGGTGGGTTGGTTTTTTTTGGGGGGGGGGGGAAGCGAGACCTAGAGTAAGTCTCCCTGGCTGTGTCATTGCCACTTGGGTTGCTGCTGTGTATAATTATCAGCTCCGGTCTTAAAAATGACTTTTTAGAACTGAAATTGTGTCGACTGGAGTTAAATTATAAAACTGCTGCAGAAGAATTTGCGAACCTGTCGGATGCGACGAGCGCGAATCGATCAAAAGACAGGGACACCCATACATGTATATCCCATGCAAAGCCTACACTGGAACATGTGGGACTATAGTCTCGGCATACATGTACTGTGGTTGCTTTGTTCAACATTTAAAAATCGAGAATGGACGGAATTATCTGCAGTAACCGTATGTGAATATATCACCGTGTCCTCGACACCCGCCTGAAAATTATAAATTCCTTCGTAAAAATAAAATTTATATTTAAGGCGTTCCTTTGTACTCAATGCACTATACAAAACCCCAATTTGCCCCAATGCACTATACAAAACCTTGAATAATTCACAGTGAATGCCCTATATCCTCCGAGTCAGTGCTACTTCAGTTGAACAAAGGCTGAGATGCAGAAAGACCTTCGTGAGAGTCATGGTTGAGAACATTTTGATAACGGCACCTATAATGTACACCGCGTGATTCCATAACCTTTTCAATACACGCAATAGGCAAAATCAATCTTCTCAGGATTATTTGCCAAAATGGCTTCTACTAGATTTACCACTGACCATTACGACAACGACAGATGGGGCTGGGTCATGGTGGCCGTTACGTTTACTAGTTGTTTTGTCATGTTTGTTCATCTGAAAGCGTTGAGTGTCCTCTTGCTTCCGATGACAAACGATCTTGAGAGCGACCTGTGGTTTGTCGGCTGGATTGCGGTCCTGTACACCATGGTGCTGAATTGCTTCGGTCAGTAATGGCGTAGCGATTGTCCAGATTTTCTCTGTACTATATATAAAGTATTTTTGAAGTTCGTTGATTATATATTATGTTGGTTTTGTACCCTTAGGACCTGTTGCGGGAGCTTTGTCCCGTCTGCTTGGCGCCCGTGCTATGATGGTATTCGGTGGATTTCTGTATACCTCCGGCATCATCTTGACGTCAGTCTCAACCACAGTTCCTCTCTTATCCGTGTTCACCGTTGGACTTTCAGGTAATGGACATCTTTCAACGGTTATCAAAATGTAGTTTGTGATGGTCCCACTGACGGCCAGCCTATGGTCTTCTTTACCTGACTTACCGACTCACTAACTGACTGCAGTCTATAACTTGTAAACCGAGCAGTGCTATCTTGTAGGATTACCCTAAAGTTTTACGTCAATGAATGGGTTAAACGCAGCCCATGGGGGAACCATGCACAGTAGACTTCCAGTGAATAGTCGTCTGAAATACTTATGATCATTAGAGCGCCCCACTTGCTTACAATTATTATGTTTTTTTTGCATTTAAGTTATTTTAATCTTTGTTCTTACAGGTGTCGGATCTTCGCTTCATTGGAACATCAGTTGGGCTGTAATGGCCTCTTACTTCAAAGAGAAATACCCGTTAGCCGTTGGAATATCGACGATGGGTGAGCCTATTGGTATGATGATCTTTGGGCCCATAACCCAGGTACTTCTGGACACCTATGGTTGGAGAGGAACCATGTTCTTACTGGGAGCTATCTCGTTTCATCTGGTGCCGTGTGCTATGTTAGTGCAACGGGATCCATCGTCCTCTTTACCAGAAACTGATCAGTACCAAGAGGTCTCGGTCAGTGATGAGGAGGACAACAGCCAGGAGCAAGGTGGAACTGATTACGCGAAAGATGAATGCGATACAACCGACGAGGGAAATCACTCTTACCAAAACAGTCGTCAAAGTAAGGCAGGGAGGTGTTGTCAACTCTTCATCGAAGCGATTGACTTCAAAGTGCTGGCAGATGTGAGGTTCATTCTGCTGACTTCTGGGAGATTCACAGCCACGTTTGCCTTCAATGCTTGGCTGGTGTTCATGGTGCCGCACGGGCAGTTTCAGGGCCTGAGCAATATCCAGGCGTCGTTTCTTCCCACTGCGTTCGGGGTGGGCAACGTGGTCGGCAAGCTGGTACCACCCCTCCTGCAGAAGTTCGGCATCCAATCGCCCATGGCATTTTGGGCGTGTTCTGGGGCAGCCCTCGTGTGTGTATCGCTAATCGCAGAGGCTTTCATCAAACCATTCATCGGGCAGTTAGCTTTTACGGGACTAGTTGGCGTTGGTTTCGCTGTGTTGTACCAAGGAATTGACGTCATGATAAGATCCCTTTCGACGGATGACCGGTTTATTAGTCTACTAGGATGGCAAGGTGTCTTCACCGGCGTAGCTGGAGCGCTTGGTGGACTGGTAGCAGGTTCGAACTCTTTCAATGTTCTTCTTGTAGCTTTAACTCCATAAGGCGAAGTAAAAAAAAACAAACATGTTTCTCCCGCTTCCTTTTTGGAGGCCGCCTGGAATTTTTATTATTTTTTATTTTCGAAAAATGCAGTACAAAACACGGGAAAAGTCCACAAATTCATCGTAAAATAAATACCAATACCAAAACAACTTTGAATGACACTGTAAATATGTTCAGTTCTCTTGTCCAACTTGTCTTTCATTTTAAAAGCGTCTTTGAACAGTGGAAATACCAACGGTTGCAGGAAATTTTAAAATGGCGGCCATCTTGAAAAAAATAAAAAATAAAAATAAAAAGCCCCTCTTCCTCCTTTTTGTCAAAAACATGTTTTTTTTTATTGTGCCTAACGCATTTATTACATTCTTAAACTTAATGTAATAGGCCTCACTGCTGTAGATCATAATAGTTGAAATGTCATCTTCGCTCTTTTGTCAAGCTATAGCCATAGTGTTGAAGGCTTCAGGTTGTTCCATCAGTATTGATGGCCCTGCGATTAATGTTACATTTAGCAATACATACTGGTTATTATAATTATGATGTTTATTCATTTTTACATCCAAGGTCGGCTTTACGTGTGGACGAGGAGTTTCAGCACATCCCATTGCGTGTTTGCTGGAGTGACGCTTCTCACTATTCCCCTCCTAGTCGTCCAAGCCAGATACTGCAACAAGGGAATTAAGACACAACGCTAATAAAAAAGAGCAGCTCGCTCGCGGCTCGCACCCACGTGACCCATCGCTCCGAGTCGATGGTGACGGCTAGTTTTGTTTTTGTTTTGAGTTTGTTGAATCGTTGAACCGGGGTCAACACCTGCGCATAGCACATAAGTGCCTATGCGAATTAATGAACATGCAGGCGTTGATCCCAGCATGTTGATACACCAGCTGTCCGCAATGCTCCGCCTACCGAAACAATATATTTTGTAAATACTAGAAATCTGAGCGCACTTAGATAGGGTCCTTTTTTCGGGGGGGGGGGGGGTGGTAAACCCCCGTCTTGGACCGCAAACAAAGGGAAAATAATGCACAAAAACATAGCAACCCTCTTTGCATGGCTCGGTGTAAATTGGTGAGGGGTTTTGGTATGTTGAAGAATCTCTTGTGAGAAGATGAGTGGTTCTGAAAAGAACCGGTTGGTTCAATGAACTCGTTCCGATCAGTGTGCTCCGATCGTTTTCAGGAAAAGAAAACCATCATCCTACTGATCGGAACGTCGAGTTTACAACCCGACCGGTTATTTCAGAACCACACATCTTCTCAGAAGAGATTGTGTCACATGGTGCTACTACAAATGCCCCCCCCCTCCCCCATTGGCGCGGCATCTATAATGACAGAAACCTGGATCCGCCCACGAAGGGTTGTGAATTCGAGCTAAATGAGAGGAACAACTACTGCTACATGGGATGCCGACACCTCTAAATCATAACCTTTGCCCCGTCCCCACGATCGCGATCTGGGGGCTATTATAAATAAGGGGTGACAAAATAACTACGTTTGCAGCAAGTGAATGGGCCTTCGCCAGGACGCATGTTGTGCTCTTATACCAGTTGAGGGCGCACCTTAATTACTAAGCACTTGCATTCTGAATTGCCCATACCTCGGAACCACGATTTGCATGTCTCTTTGTCTTGAAAGTTTTTACTCCAAAGAAATAAAGGATCAAACCGGACTGTAAGAGAAATTTGTGGTGACCCGGAAGTAGTCTTATTTTATTTTCAATGGAGTGGAGGGATTACAATTTGCTAAAATGTATTCACATTCTTTTCGATACACAACTGTGGCAGCTTTCAACAAAACATGTCTCTATTATGTGCTATTTGAGTGCACATTTATGCACTTTTTGTGTTAAAATCTATACGCACTGGGGCAAATTCAACGGAGGGAGACAACACCACTGGCGTCCCTTAGCCAAAAGTTATGGGTGATTTCTCAAAATCCCCCCCCCCCCCCGGATTGGCCGCCCATGATATCTACTGTTATGTGATGGCCATGCCGCTCAAATTTCAGAGCAAAACGCAGGGAACGCAGCGAAGTGATGTCCCTCGGCAGACGCGGTTTTACGGGAGGGGGGGGGGACATATCTTAATTATTTCTTTTGTCACAGTCAGCTGACAGTCAACCTCGTCCCCAGGGTGTCGAGCAGTACGCGCCCACCACTACCTGCTCTCTCACCCTGGTATTGGATCATTTGCATGTGCAAGATTTTTGAACACGTATGCAAATGAGGAACAGTCTGGTGCCTCGGGATATGCGTTACACATTAGCGTTTGTTTTTGTATGCGGTGTCTGGGGTAAAAACAGCTCAATTCGTAGCAGCGCGAGCACGGCGTGAGTTACGAAAACACGATTTTTGAAATCAAACTGTTACGATCTTATCGAGACAACATGCAGTATCATATTTCATATTAATATGAGCAAATTGGAAAGGAAATTAGTATTTTCGAGAAGGCGTGGACGAATGATCGCGAAAACACGTACTGCACGTTGTGAATAATAGCACCAAGTACACGATAATAATCCATTACTAGCCAATTGCGGTATCGAATCAGGATACAGGAAGAAAGTTTCCTATCCAGGGTTTACTATTGGAAACGCGGTTGGAAATAAAGTAAGCACTGGGGACGAGGTTGGCTGACAGTTGATTAATGCAGAAATGAAGAGTTGTTGGACTGGTTGTTTCAGATGTCAAGTTTAATTTTTTTGTATTGCATGTTTTTAGTACCTTAAGTTTTGGGACTCTCATATACACAGTATTGAGAGTCCCAAATTTTCGTACTAGATCACCTCTGCTAGCCCCCCTAAAATATAGGCTCTAGCACCGTGCCAGTCCCTTGGTAAGATTTTATGCACATTAATTGTACAGTGCGCCCTCTACTGAGCTATGTATCGAGAAGCGTTGACCTTCTGGAAAACAAAATTTATTCTCATTTAGAAATGGAGCTGTACTATTAAATGAGAGCATTTTCTATTTTCACCGTTTCTTCCCGATTCTGTGTTTTCGGAAGGTACATGAACTTATCTTAAAATAATTTAAAGACTGTTAGGCCAACAACAAAAAATACTCGGACTCTGGTCAGCGCGCGCGTCGACTTTAATCATGCGCGTCAACCTTTTTTTCTTCTTCAAATTAACACGGAAGCTACAACAGCGCCCTCTATTGCTGCGCCTCCTCAAATTTTTGTACCAAGGAGCACCAAGGAATGGGGAAATTGCACCAAGGCAAATGATAAAGGGCACCAAGGCAAATTATGGAGGACACCAATGTATAATGAGGACACAAAAAGCAAAATAGTACCCACCTTCTTGTCTGTACAATACAAGCTTGAGAAAAAAAAACCCACCCCCCCCCAAAAAAAAAAAAAACCCCAAAAAACGCGTTGCCGCATCACTTTCGGAACTTCGGTCTGACCAGAGACCGACTATTTTTTTTTTGGCCTTACATATATAGTTTTTGTTAGCTTCATCCTGTTTACAGCAACATGATGACACAAATAAAATAAAACCGAGCCGTAATGTTTGCATTATCTTTTCATTTTGGAAGCTAGAGACAAAGGTTAAAATCTTGAGTACAATTATTCTGACCCTGTGCCTTATTTACCATAATTTTTTTTTCCCCATATATATATATGTTTATAATAGGCCTACGTAGCAAATGCCAAATTATCGACCTCAAAAATTGTACAAACTGTAATTATAATTGCTAAGCCGAAGGAACATTTTGCAAGTCGCATGATATGGCGAGGCCATAATTTGACACAGCGCCCTCTATCTAAAACGCCGTTCTACCGTTGGCCATCCCGCCCCCTGCGTTATGCCGTACAGGCACCGGCATGACGTCAACCCACGGAATATCTTCACTATATATGGAAATGGAATTGGAGGTAGCCCCGTCGCTGGGCTGATACTGCAGCCTGGAACAGCTGTGTGGCCCTCGAACCGGGCATCCCAAATATGGCCCATGGTAATGAGGATTACAGGCTTTTCAATGTCTCGCACTTCCTCCCCTTCCTCGCCGCATCAATGATTCAAGTGCAAAATACGACAGGCGGATCTCCCTGCATCCCGTTACCATGTTGGCTTGGAAGTTACTACAACTCCCGGCCGCGTATCAGTGGCGATCACTCGTCCCTTGAGCTCAACCGTGGCTGTCCATCCAATTATTCAACTTTCGGTGTGAAGCGTAAAGCTGCTGAAGTATACGTGCCTCCTTCATGCATAATTTCTTCTTCCTTAGTAGCCCTACCTCTTTAAACCAATGTGCACTCTAAAAGTTGAAAACCATTATTTTTTTGAAAGTTCACCTCCAAATACCAGTTAAAATTAAAGTCTTCAGTTTTAATATATCATTAAACTCTGCACAGGTGTCAAAAAGATAACAATGGCACTGTACTGACAATAAAGTGTTCCCACCAAAAATCCTCACGGCATAATTATGTGAAGGTACAAAAAAGTAAGGTGTAGCGATCGAATGCTCTAAAAAAAAAAAAACATCTGGAGACGGGATCACACACCTTAAGTCACTCGCTTAAAATAGACCGTCTAAAAATAACCGACTATTATGAGTAGTCGGCTGGTACGGGAAAACCCTCTCGAGGGGCTGGAGCTGTTTTTAGACCAGGGAGGGTTTCACTTTTTTGGAATAGCTCAAACAGGATCGACCACACTCTGTATACGCCAATTCATGAATTAACTGGTGTCCACTTTACTGTGGGGTTGTATTGGAGTTGAAGTAGTACCGCGGTAACGTCATTTACTGATTGTGCCCGCGCTTCAAGTAATGGGTGTTTTTTTTTTTGCGGGATGATCAGGTGGATGCGGTCAATGTTAATAAGGGTTGTAATTAGTTATGAGAGTTAACCACATTTTTAGTTGGAAGTTTAGAGAGGGAGAAAGCACAATGTGAAGCTTCGATTAGAGTGGAATTAAAATGGATAGCCTTAGCTGTATGCTCACATAACCATCCATCCACCATTCAAACGAAAACAATTTAATTGGAATTACTTTTGGATCAATGTGTGATTGACATCTACGTACCAAGCGGTTCAGACTAAACTTACGTAATATCTTAATTTAAGAAATAAAGTTTTGTTTCTCGTACACGATGGCACTTTTTTCATCTTTTTTTGTAAAAACTTTTCAACCCCCCCCCCCAACTCCCCCTAGTTTGATGTGGTAGACCCTGACATTAATCAGACGTCACAAACAGTGTGGCGCTACCGTTTCCCGCACAGTTGCACATCTCAAGTCGTCTTCAACGTTGAGGATACAATTTCACATCCCTCCCAGCCTTCGGGGAGGAACGGCCGTCACTGGAAACGCACAAAATAAAAGGCTTACGTCACCCGTTGTCCAGGCAACTGGAACCCCACGTGCCGTGGAAATTTTTGAGTGATTGGGACGAGGTGGCGCACTGCATCATGGGTAGGTGAAGAATAAGCAAAGATGGCGGACAACGACGATGCATCGTCCGTCGGTTCTCGGCCGAAATCGGCCCTAATGAAGCGACATGAACAATTGCAACGCTGGAAAGGCTCGGAACTGGACAAAGAAAAAAATCACGTTGACCCTAAGAGAATAAAAGTGAAATTTAACCAAGGATGTGTGTTTCTGGCGGCATGTGCGAGCGGCGACACGGACGAGGTGAAGAAAATGTTGGGGAAAGGAACCGACATAAATTATGCAAATGTCGACGGCCTGACCGCCCTCCATCAAGTAAGTAAATGCACTTTACAGAGGCATTGCCAGTGTATGTGTCCTTGGTAGACAGCCCAAAGGGTCTCCCCGAGGCATGCATTAGCGGTCGGATTGGAATTTGCTGTGGTTGCACTGCATGCATGACAGTTTCGGAAAGAAGATCTTGTTGACCTTTTGGCTCATTTGCATAAATACATGTTTCAAAATGGCCGCCTGTCACTGTCAGTTGTGCAGTTGGTAATGGCAGGTTTTGATTTACATGTATTTGTAAATCATGAACACATTTAACATGTCAACTGGCATTGATATTTTGCTAGCCCCATAAATGTGGCCAATTTACTGGACTACCTCCGTAAATAAAGGCCACACTTCCACCACCTACAAAAACATGTCGAACTTTGTCAAATTTTGATTTTCACGAAAGGGCCTAGGCTTAGTTTATTTTTGCTTTAGAAGCATACCCACCCTCTTTATAGGTTAATCAGAAGTGCTGCCTTTTTCAGATGTCTATTTTTCGTGAAATTTCCAGATTCCTTTGCACACGTTTGCGTATCATAATTTCAACATGAAATTTTCACGAAAATTAGACATCTGAAAAAGGCAGCACTTTCTGATTAGCCTATAAAGAGGGTGAGAAGTGTGGCTTTTATTTACAGAGGTAGTCCAGTAAATTGGCCACATTTATGGGGCTAATATTTTGTAGACAATATTCATCGCAGGTTCTTTCAGTTTTTTTCCAGCAGTTTGGAATCATAGTCAGACAGTGCCCTCCATTGATTAAAAATGAACAAAGTCATGAAAATGGAAAGTCGTCCATTTTATAAGCTTTTTCACAATTTCAACTGCGCGTGTGCACATCAGATTCAATGATTTATTTCGGGTCTTCGGGAGATACAATAGTTCACCATCCGCGTGTAAAATCGTAGCGGGGTACTGACAAAATCAAAGAAAAGTTCTTGTTTTGAAGTACATTGTAAATTGTGCAAAATTGTATTTATTTTTTTTTGGTGGCACCATGGTTTAAGATGCTTTGTATGATCCAACTTGTATGCGAGCAAAAGTTTCTATCTTCTTTTGATTAGACAAAAAATCGCAAAATGCGGATTTGGTTACCACGTCCCCCATAGACCTGTGTGCATTCGTCTGCTTTGTTTATCTCCTGAAACTGGCCGGCAAGCAGATCTCGCGCTTGTGTGATTGAAATGGTGAATTGGCTTATTTGTTCCCAGCCGCAGGGCAGGTAGCCAAATACCCTTTTGGAACCCGCAGATCGATTGAAAGTTAATACAGTGAAGGCGTGTGTTGCAAGGCATGGTGGGACAGGTTGCACGATGAAAAGAGGATTTGTGCAGCACAAACTGTCGGACGAGCCATAGAAGCACATTAACCTTTACTGCTTATTTTGGTCTTGGAGCTACTTGAGCCCCATAAATGGGGCCCATGACTGAAATTCTTCTGTGTGCTGGACTCCGCTACAATTGTGTGTAAACAGGCTGTGTGTAAATCAACCTGAACATGTGTTACATTCGTGTAACCTTTTTTAACTGTGACATTTCCTGTTTAGGCTCTGCTATTTTTGAGTTTCATCCCGAAAATAGTTTCTTTTTCTAAATTGCTATTTTTGTAGCAATACAAAAGTTATTCACAATTGAATGAGACATCGACCAAATTTTTTGTTTTATGTACACATTTAAACATGTACAAGGGAATTTTTCTTATGGTTGTGGAATAGTTGCAGACCGCATTTTCAGCGTTTCGGCACTTCTCATTGCAGTACGCAACAAGTGGGTTCATTGCGGGCTAATGTCATTTAGTCTGATGTGAGCACTCTGCGTGTGACTGCTGTGGTACCTCAAGTCAAGCAACAGCCTCTCACGTTGCACTGACATTTATACTAGATGGGTTCCCAATCTCCGGAAGTTGGACGTTTGGGAACAAGTCTACAATGGCGCGTGTGCACTTCCAATGATCGCCAGGCCCAAGGCAGATATATCCATCTCATGATGTGTCAAATTTGTAATGTGTATGTGTAATGCACAGACTAATACCATAACATTGAAAATGTAGTCAATTTCTACATGACCTTTTGAAAGACTCCATTGGCTATGTAAATGTGTGAAAACAATTCTTCAATTGCTCCTTAAAATTACAGGATAACAAGTTGTCTATGGACACCAAAGATTGCTTATAATAAAATTGTCCTTTTTATGATTTGATATTTATAGTTACATTAATGTAATAGGACCTGACATTTTAATCCTAGAAGAATCTGTCTTGAAGGCAAAAAAAATATTAATTTATTCCCAGTTTTAATTTCACATATTTCAAGATGTAAGGTTATCCAAATAAACTTTCATTACACGTGAAGAGGCCTTTTCAAAGAGAGGCTGCACTTGCAAGCTTCAGCTTCTTGAATTAATTCTTAATCTCACATCTCAAAACTAAATAAAGTACTTACATGTATTCGTTTATTCGAAACTGCACTTGACCGAATATTCGAAACTCGCTGATCAAGTTTTACACGTACGCCAGCTGCAGCTGCCTTCCTCACTGGTCAAAAGTTGCATACAAAGTGCGCAGGTTGAAATTTGCATGCGGCGATGGCTATTATAGGCTGCTTGAGTGTTTTGCATTATAATTACTGATAGTGACGTGTCAAGGGACTTTACCCAGCTAAAAAAAAGGGACCAATAAATAGGCTACGACAAAAAAGTGGCATCTGACAGTAAAAAACGCAACCCTTTAGGAGTAAATAACATCACAGTCGTGTGTGCACGTGCATAGTTTTTTTCTTTTTGAATATTCAAACCAACAAAAATCTATTCTAAATATTTGTTGATGATTGAATATTCGGTATTCCTACTCTAGATGCAGAAATTCTTGTTGAAAGTTATGGTAATTTGACTGAGCTTTGAAAATGGCACACTCGTGTTTAGTTTGCAATCATCCAAATTTCATATTAGTAATCATCCAAATTTATACCTGATAGACGTGATGTAAACTATAATCTAAATCTTTTAATCTAAATGTGGATATTTCCACCCCTGCATAATGCAACTGGCATACATACCAAACATGGGTTTGGGCCCAACTATCATCATTGTTGCTCACTTCCTTTGTGTTGAAGTTGATTTTTGAAAACTTTAAAAATCTGAATCTGGTGCCCTCTTCTTTTTTTAAATTCTAGCCTTCATTTCTCACATGGAACCCCTCGCTGTTGTGTTTTGCAATATGGCACTTTTCATGCTGTATCTGCAACCCCAATTGAAGATGAACCCTAATTTATGCATGAAGATGGACCTTCACATGTTCCAATGTACATCCAAGGGACACATTACTACTTGACCTGTCTGGTATTTCAAATATGAAACAACGTAAGGGATGGCACCAACAAAAATCAGACCCTGGGATGAAGTTTAAAAGTCTGTTTCATTGGCAGACACATGGTGGATTATGTGAAGTGCATGAACAATGAAAGCACAGATCATATTTTTATGAGTTTTTTGGGGGGTGGATTTGTACTGTTTAAAATGCAGCCAAACTTGGAAACACAAACAAATGTTTACAAGATAAGTGTGGAATTATTTCTTTGCCAGCTTGGCCATAGTAATTTTCATTCTGAAACTAACTTGTCTTAGCCACTGCTCTCAAATAAATTGTACAAATGTAGGTTATCATATGAAGGTCCAGTTTTCACTTCACTGTTTACTAAAGAAATCAACTGTGTTGAAATCAATCAATCACAAGAATTGTCAAGTTTATTTTCTGGGTACTGAACTTTGCATTTTGCACTTGTACTTGTAATAGAAAGAAACGTTTGGAAGTCAGGTATTTTGCTTTATTGTAGTCCTTGCACAAAATCCTCATTTTGTTGTGGACATCGGTACAAATTTCCTCTTATATTCTCATTGGACTTTGCACTGTTAGCATATAATGCAGAAATACAGTTTTACAAAGACATTCATTCATCCTAGTTATGTGAGGAAGATGAATAACTGTCAACTCATCAAAAAATTTTGTTATGTTAAAGGTAATATACAACATTTTACTTTTTGCTGTAATTTTCAGAAATGGATGGATTTTGGGGGTTAGTGTTTTATGGAAGATGTTGTTAGACTGACCTGTTTAAGTTTTGTGCTCAGTCATAGATGCTGGAAAAACCTTACCAAGAAAAAAATGCTGTTCTTGTAGTCTGGTTCCCTGACCCTACTTCAGATGAAACTTACCAATTTATAGACGGCTTGCACCCGTTCATGGATGTGTAACCGAGTCCAAATTTGGTAAATTGGGGGCAGTATTTGAAAAAGGCATTTTTTTTCCAACAATGGTCGGCCGACCATCATTGGAAATTGATACAAAAATTCCACTTTTCTTAAAAATGACAGCAAAACAGGTGCCATGATTTCACAGGATGCTTGAGACTTTTATTCACTTGCAGTAAAGGAAGGTATTTCATAGTAATTTGGTAGTTTTGTATTGTGATGTCTGCAAATGTTGTATATTACCTTTAAATTAAGATTAAATGTACATTGGCCTCCCTCAGGAAGAGATACGTGCATGTCTGTTGGTGTAAGGGCAAGAATCAAAGAAACAGAATGTGTTTAACCCATTGGATGTTTGATAATATTCAAGGGGTACAGCTACAGCTAGTTACATGTGTTGTGAAAGCACTGATAATATGCATTAACAGCCGTGGGCGAGGATTATCATGGGCTTGCATACTCTGTACCGGGTAGCAAGTGCATTTAAAACTTCTAGCTCTATTCAGAAATCAGGGGTGAGCTGTCGTGAAGGTTTTGCCAAAATAAAGAGAAAAACTCCCTAATTGATTTCCAATAGCCCAAACCCCATGGAAGAAAAGTGCTAGGTGCTTTCGCCTAAATTCCCAAACCAAATTGAAGGCAAATGCTTTTTGAATTGTATCATGTTTGTCCATGATATTGGGAGGGACCAAATGTAATTGTAAATCCATTGAAATTGAGAGTTCAATGACCCCTATTAGTGGCCTATAAGACTAGAAGCAAATTGACAGCCTAAGCCAATTTAATCTGAATTGTAAGCAGCTTGAACGCCATTGACGCCTGTCCATTTAGCAATTTTTTGGAGGGGCGTATAACTTTGGGACATTTGGTGGGTTTTGATTTTAATTGGTCATGCTGTGGGAAATTACTTTTGTTGTGTTCAAATATGCGCGTAGATTTACTACCGATAGGAGCAATTCCCAGAGGCATAATGTACCAATGTACTGTAAACAATTATTGTGTGGCAAAGTAACATGTTTTTGCAAAGGTCTCAAAGAAAATCAGGTTTTTTGTTGAAAACATTTGTGAAATACGGTAGTTCCCGAAAAGAAAATCTTTCAATTCCTGCATTTTAAGCATTTTACGGTGGTCTGCTCACATGTTTATGGTTTCTGTGGATGGCTGAATGAAGATGTTACATAAATGTCCTTGCTGTGTTAAAAAATCCCATTTAATGGATTTCTCACTCCTGAAATATATGGGGGCAAAACACTACCGGTAGGCCTAGATCTCTTTTGAACAAAAAGGCACTAACCACATTTTGAACTCTATCTGTCCGTTTTCATCCTGCTTTGTGCAAATATTGATATAAATACTCCAAATATTACACAGTTTTGTACCTGCATTATAAACAGGGTTTTGGGGTGTGTTTGTATTGGCTGATTAGCTCATTCCTAAACCTGAAAAATTAACGACTGAATTTGATAATTTTCCAGGGTGCTGCACCCTTAAACATGGTCATTTGAATATTTAGGAATGCATTTTACTAATGACGTTACACGATAAGGTGGAGTTTATGGATGTTTTGAACAGGTGTACAGAATGCAACCAACTCCAAAATACAGTGTTTGTGTAATGAAGTATATGTACTGAGGTACATGTGTACGTACATGCACATGCACATGTACATTTGTACATGTACTGTTCAAATGAACTACCGGTACATGTACATACACATGTACATTGTGTACATCATGTACAGGTACATACATGTACATGTACATTGTGTACATCATGTACACGTATGTACATGTATGTACCGGTACAGTATGTTCCTGAAAACTGATAATGATTGGAGTGGTGATGTAGGCCCAAAACATAGTACCGCCCGGTAAAGTACATTTGTCTACATGTGCACTGGTTCCACAAACTGTACATGTACATGTACATGTACATGTATACATTTTGCATGTACATGTACATTGTACACTGGTTCCACTACACCATATAATTTCAATATACCGGTATGGGTGCTTCCAAGCCCCGTTTATGCAGTTGCAATGATATGGAAATGTGTGTGGACCGTGTCGGTTGTGTTCTGTGGTAGCCCATTGAGGGGCCCATGCAGTGTTCTTTCAGTCTAATTCCACTCAATCTGAGCTCAAGGTTCCAACAAAGCTTCGCATACCACTCAAGTGGATGTAAAGGGTGGATTTTTGTGTGTGGTGTGTGTGCATCACCTTGTGCACTGTACATGCAAAGTACATGTACATGTACACATAATTTGTGTCACTGCATACGCTGTATACACGTGTACTCACCTGTGTTACAGACTGTGTACAAAATGTATGTGCCGGTATTATCAGTACTACTAGTAGTACTAGTACTACATGTAGCTTGACTCAAGTGTTCTTTGCTAACATAAATTTGCAGCATTGCTAAAAAAAAAGCTTGAACATGTACTATTGCAAACTGTCTAACTCAAATAAGGTATGACTATACGTGCATTGCGTAGCCCAGCATGTTCAATGCATACATTGGCAAAGCCACTGTCAATTTGCATGCGAAGGATATTTCACATGCACATTTGGTGCTTGGGCATTTTCACACGTCTCTGGTTTATCATGTCGATATCCTCATGTCTGTAACATACAACGTACAATGTACATGGTTACAAGCAACGTGTAAAGAGTATTGGGCATCACCCAGACTTCCCAAAAGAATGTTTTCTCAGTCAACAAACATTGAAGGCTAAATATACAATTGGTCTGGACGGCAAATACAGCTGCGCTACCACAGCAGTCAAAATCAATCAAGTGACTGTTTTTAACAGTTAAGAATTCCCCTGTTAATTTGATGTAGCCATACTTTGACTGGAGGTGATTGATATGCCAGCTGTACCTACATGTACAAGTTAACCTCTTTTGTCTGTTGATGGAATTGGATAATAGTCACAGTGTTACACGAATGTGATGTGTCTGTTTTGACTAGTTTGTATACAAATGCATGGCATTGGCAGGGGAAGTGTAACAAATTTTTGACTGTCTGTGACTGATCAAACAATGGGAGGGTCACACTGCATGCCTGAACATGTCATGCTTTCTTCTTAAAAACAATCCTTAAAATTGTGAATTTTTTATTTCTTGGCTGTTTGTTTTTGCACTTTTGAATGCAAATTGAATTCCTGGTCAACTTCTCTGATTTGCCATTCATCGTGTATTTTAATACCCCCGACAGATGACACACGCATGGACTTGTTTGTTGTGTCTGCCAGTTAAAAATCGATATTCATTTACGCATGATTTATTTGTTGTTGTGTTTAATGACCCATCGCTGTATGAACTATGAATGACCCAACTTCATAACCAGTTAGTCTTATTAAATATGGAACAGTGCATGTACATATATGTTCAGTGAATTGGGGAGATTCTGTTTGTGTATACGTATTTGTGCTGATCTTCTATGGAAAAGAAATGGAGGTCTACATTTGCATGTAAAATGCTAGGGTAAAAATATTAGTTTGTCAATGTGAAAAAGCTTTCTGTCCTTTTCTCTAGTCAATTATAAATGTTCAGGCCTGATTCTTTTTTTCCTCCCTTGCCCCCCATACCGGTAACCTTTGTGGTCAAGCACACGTAGTTCAAGACGTCTCTCAGAGCTGTGCCAAATATTCTGAATATTCAATTATTCGATCGTCCACCGAATACTCGAATGACATTTTTTCCATTTGAATATTTGAAAAATGTGAGCGGTCTCAAAAGAGATGATGAAAAATGTTCACGATTTTATTCTTGAATCGCATAAGTTGCACTATTTTTATTGTTTGTCAAATGCTACACTTTTGTCAAAAGCCACTGTCACGCATGATTTTAGAGGTTCCATGAGAAATATTAGCCCCATATTGGTCAAATATCAGCCATTCCACTATATGTTCATATGTTTTTCAGTGATTGAGAATTTTAGCTTTTTGCTCTTTAGGGACTTTTTCTTTACATTAATCAGAAGACAGCCTACATGTATTTCATTATATTATTTTAATACCTTCTCTGTCAATTTTCAACAAGCTTCTAACAGGCACATGCAAATCTTAAATGGTGGCCAGTTTAGGCTGGGGCATGTTAACCTTGAAGTTGATCGGCGCATTTTGAATATTCGATCAAGTCCAACTTAAAATATTCTAGAAAATGCAAAGCCCTTATTTGTAACAACGCTCTTTTATTCGGGATTGCTATTTGTGATACACGTGGTACATGTACCCAACCAACCCATGACTCCATCCAATCTCACCATTGTCATTTTTACTGTCCTTTTATTTTAGGCTGTCATCGATGAGAAGCTTGAGATGGTGGAGTTTCTGGTGGAGAATGGAGCAGACATTGAGGCTCAGGACAATGAAGGCTGGACGCCGCTCCACGCTGCCGCGTCCTGTGGATTCATGGATATTGCACAGTGAGTACGAGTCAGGATATGAGATGATAGACGCTTTGCACAAGAACTCTCCCCCTCCCCCCACTTGTATTCAAAGAGAAAGTTGAGAGGGACTTGAATACATTGTTGCCGTACACCTCGTACTCATGCGAAGACGATATTGGTTTGTACAAATTCAGAATATCTACAATTGATTGCAGGGCCGTAGGCCGGGGGGGGGGGGGGGGGGGGGGGGTTTGAGGGTCCGACAACCCCTCCCTAACCCACCCCCACCCCCCCAAAAAAAACCCAGTTGCAGGTCCACTTTTACCTCGCGATTGACATTTTGAGTTTACTCGAATGTACATGCTCATAATCAACTGTTTATTAGACATGAAAAAGGTGCAATTCCTGGGGGAAAAAAAGATCTTCCCCTATCACCAGGCTGGTTACGGCCCTTTATTGTGTTTACTTTGCGCGATACATACGCAAACCAGTGTGGGCCGGCTGTCACCGCGTTATTGAGAAGATTTTTACTATTATGGAAATTTGGACCGAGTTATGGGGACTTTCTGCTGTCCCCACAGCATCTTCGGTCCTCATAGTACCATGGGACAACTCGTGTGTAGTCCCCACAACTACGGAACAAGTATGTGTGTACACGCTCTTCCACTGATAATCACAGTTTTGAAGATTTAATAAATTTTCATATTTTCCATGGAATTGCCCTAATGTACATGTATTTTGTTACAAAATTTCATTCATTTACTCTGAGTTAATTAATGTGCCAGTATCACAGCCATAGGGCTGAAAGGTAACAATACTAACATATTTGTAGGAATGCAACACAGTGTTATGATAAATATTTGATTAAAAAAGTACATTAATTAATTAATTATGATCTTACATGTAAGTAGCACATGAACATTGTTAAAATCATGCAAAAACTTTTCATCAAATTTTCTTTAGTTTCAGTTGGTAGGATACAGTCAAGACCTTGTGTGTACTTTTCTAATCACTGCTTGCATATTTTTTACAGTGAACAATTTGTTTTTTAAGATTCAATCAAGCCCCCTCCTCTATGGTGAACCATGCTACCGGTAGTCTCTTATACATGTAGTGATGACATTGATGTAGATTGTGGGACATTGATCCCATCTCTGCCTGCCCTGAGATTTATTTGTGACATCTCTGCCTGGTGCCAAGACATCAAGGACTCTTTGGAATCCTGTTTCGTGGAATCTAACAATTGGCGACCTGAGGAAATGACATTGGGTTAACTCCGGATAAGAGTTGCCAACTCATGAGAAATTTCAAAGTACATTTTTTTACCTGTACATCATTTTTTTTCTTGGAAAGTAGACAAACCAAGCTTTCAGAAACAGTTTTTGTTTTTTCTTTTAACTGCACTTGGATTTAATTTTATCAAGGCTTGCAGTTTCGAGAAACAGAAGTAGCGTTTTCTCTGATTTTGTGATGGAAATTTGAGTTCCTCTCTGTTAGTGTTAGGCAAAAAAAAGTCTCCGGTTTCTGGTCTGCGCGCGTTGCCGTAGCCATACCGGTACGTGTCGGCAAAATGAAAAAGGGTTTTTTTCAATGTAAGATGATGTCTCAAAACTTGATGTCTCTCAATAAGCTTTACACATGTATGTGGCGTCTCTGGACTCCCATATATTTTGCACTAAATTTAGTCGGGCACCATTTGTAGTCATCAGCCGACATTTGAAGAAGAAAAAATTAAAAAAAAAAAAAAAAAAGCCGCGTCGCTGCACCACTTTTGGGTCAAGCTCCATACCAGAAACCGGAGACTTTTTTGGGGGGCCTTACAGTTCTTATGCTTCAAAGATTTTATTATTGGTGTACTATGAAGTCTGATAACGTCCCTATCCACCACTATAGAATTTTAAACCAAAATCTGTCTCATCTGACACGCCGGAATTAGTCCTTGGTCAAATTTTGAACTTCCTCACTTCTAGGAACAACCCTCATTTATAAACATCTATCGCTGTTTGTTGTTGTGTAGATTTGTTGTCAGTCTTCCGGGTAGATTGTGACTTAGGAGTTATTTGGCACCGCATAAGTACTTTGTGGTCTGCGGTTGTTTTCAAATTAAGCGAGACCTGGGTAATGACTACAAAGTGCATAGGTCTTCTACCGTGGAAAAGGCAGAAATTGATTACAATTACAGATGAAGTAACTGCACTTTGACGTATTTGTTTGCTGCAGTGTGCGTGACCCGAGTGGCCTTTAGGCAAAAATGTTTAGGAAGTTACTCAATGTTTACATGTAGGAAGTTTCACAATATTTGTCGAGGGGTAAGTTTCTCAAATTCCTAAAATCCCTTCTGCAGCTCTTAATTGATAATACAAGTGGCAACCTCTTTACATGAACTCTTGGCTGATGTTATATTTCTATTTTGAAAGACAATTATAAGCTAGAAATTTGTTTTCTTTCTGTTTGAGACTACATGTAAATACCCTTCCTAAAATGGTAACAATGCTGGAGTCAACAAGATCCACAGAAAACTAATTTCTAATGGATTCTGATGGACCTTGTTGGAGTTTGCAGGGTCCTTGGTTTAAAATGAAAAAAAAAATTCACAGGTACATGTACGGTACATTGTACTTTTTTCCCATACACTGTACATATACATGTACGAATTTAGAACGTGAAGCTTACCGGTTCATAAATGAAAATACCGGTATGTGTACATATTCAGTGTATTATTTAAGGGGAAAGGATACAATGCATGTATCAGAAAAACAAACCTACATGTACAGGTATGTATTTGAATTTGTCCATGTTTAAAATTCTCGAAAAAACCAAAATGTACATGTATTGCTAGCCATTCTTAAAAAGGAAAGAGACAGTTAGTTAAAATGTTGAGTACAGTGTTCTGTGTACATGTACCTTGTCCTTAAACATTTGTGTAAAAATACACAAATACATTTATGTACTGTATGCAAAAGTGATATACATACATGTGTATGTATCTGGACTGTTTCGAGTCCACGTGACCTTTCGTACCATATGAACAAACCAGACAAAAATGTCTGTGACATTCATTTTTTTTTTTAAATTTAGACAGAGTGGGGAGATTTGGAAACAGGATACGAATGTTCCACTTACTTGTACATGTAGGTCATAGAGCCAGTACACGTTGAAAATGTGATGGTTTATGAAAGCAAAACAAATTCATGCAACTGGTTCATTTTCTTTGGCTGGTCTTTCTTGTGTCTTTGCCCTTTCAGAAAGCTTTGATAAGATCCACTGCCTCAACCCTCTCTGTGGGTAGCCTCATCAACACCAGATTCCCCACCCCATGGGGGGACCTCACACCTCTCTGCAATTCCTAAAAGCTTTGCTTTTTTTTGTGGAAGAAATAATGAATGCTATTTGCCATCTGAAATCCAAACGTCAGTCTATCAGTTTGGGATCGTCAGTCTATCAGTTTGGGATCGTCTACTTTAGGTGGGAGTGCAGCGACCCTGAAACTTGATCCTCCGATTTGGGATGCTTTCTGGAACCGTGAACATGATGTACATGTACAGAATGTACCTGTAGTGCAATTTGTAAATGATCTCTGCACTGTTTTGCATGGGTTTTGGTATGATAGACATTTTGGGTAAACTGATCAACTGCAAATCAACTTGTGCATTGTATCAATATTAGGTTTTGTCCTTGTGCATTGTACTAGAACATGTACACAGATTGATGGAGATTTTGAGACGTCCAGGTACATGTAGTTCGAAACAAATTGAAATAAGACAATTGGACTTACTAGATAGTGAGCAGTTTCATGACCTACCGGTACATGTACAGTATGTATCTAGGTTGCTTCCTCAGCTCAAAATGGCCGGCGGGAACGGACCGGTGCGTGAAGAGCATTTGTGATCGTATGCATGCAGTGTTTCTTGTTTGCCTTTTCATTTATTTAAATTGTTGCCGGTTATTCAGTAAAGTATGAGTAATGGTCCGGAAGTAATAACTAATAGCCTGACCTACAAATACAGTACTCTGTGCACTTACAGAACTTTACATGTATAGGTACACCTGAAGTTTTAGCAGATACACACGCAGGATGCCTTTTTTCTCCTGATGGCTGAAACCACTCGGGCCTGAAAAAAAAAGCTGTATTGCATTTTATTAGCCAACTTCAAGCCTTTTTTATTGCTCTCAAAAAAAGACCAGCCTTACATGTGCATTTTCCATACAAGTGTAGATCTCTAAGGAGGCTGTGGTGCAGTGACCTTGAATGTGACCTTACCATGACCTAGTAACCTCATTGGGTTCAATGTCACAGGGTGCAGGCAATATTCTGCCAAACTTATGGTATTTTAATGCGTGACCGCAGGCCTCCCACGGTGGGAATGTACAATGTACATGTACTGGGCCTAAGAAAATGTATGGTGTATTCAGATAGATTCAAATACACACGTATGTATACAGTACAGCAACTTCCCACAATACATGAATTTAAAATCCTGAGATGTGTAACCGCCAAATTCTGCATGTTTAGTTTCAAGGCCAGGTTCCCCCAGACATACCATGCCATAGCGTTTGGCATTTTTCGTCTTGGAACTAATGACATACCGGTAACTTCATGTACCGGTACAGTGTTCATGTTCATGTATTTTTTTTTTTTTCATTTGACTTTTTTTTCCTTCTGTATCCCATGGATTTATGAACTGTATACATAGCGAGTGGTGACTCATTGGGTTGGAGGGAATGTTTTGCATGCCTCGGATTCCAGTTACCCAACTACTGGTGCATTCCTGGCACAAGGGGGCGCTCTCTGGGTGTATAATTACGTGAATGTTCTTGTGGGTGGGCATCTGCAATGTCGTGACATTCCAACTTTTTTTATGAGCTCTGATGTAAATGTATTATGCGTTTATTTGTACTACTAATTGCAACATAATGAATTTGAAATAACTATGTTAAACTTCATATGCATACCAATGCTGTTTTTTTTTGTAAAGTACTGCAACTACTGTAGGCTAATCAATTTATTTTTCTGTTTATAAGAAAACCAGGAACTACTTATAATGCATATTTGCTTGTTTAACGCATACCGGTACCTTCCCAAATCCTCCAAAATCCTCTTTGCAAAATGGAGGATTTTGCGGGATTGAGGCTACATGTATGTGGCAAAAATGTGCAGCTGATTTTGGAGGATGCACTGTGTCAAGGTCTTGGGTGGGACCTTGTGTTGTTTATGCTCGATGAGGCTTGATGTCATAAATTTCAGTACAGAAATTATAATGCAATTTAATTGTGCAACATTGCATTGTCATTGTGAAGGATCCAGGAAACTTCCCACCAAAATAAGCAGAGAGTTATAAGGTTAATTATTTTCCCAACATGACAATGACAGAATGTGACTCAACCATACCATGTGTGATTTACATGTACCATTTAAAGTGTGAAGTGCATACCTGGTACGTGTATCTTATTCTCAGAATAACATATTTCATGAATGACATGACCATTGTAATCAGCCTGTCACCACAAGTACTGGTATCTTCCCAGAAGTATGACGACAGATATTTATTGCCCTCCTGTCAAAGTTGTGAAGGTTGCCCATATGCCTCCAGACACATCGCCCATTTTAGTTTGTTGACTAATACCACAAAAATAACCAACCCAACCCCTCAAGCCAGAGTAAATTGATATTCAAAATGTAACTGTAACACGAGTCAGTATTTTTCACTATTTGCGTCCCTTTCCGGTATCCATTACACACTGCATTGTAGATTCAGCAAAGATACATTTGAAATCCTTAACTGGCAAAACCACACTTTGTTCCTTTTTGCTTTCAAGTTGCGGTCAATCGGATTATCACTATTTAATATTGTTACAGTGTCAAGCTCCATACAGAAAACAGCACAGAGTTTGACCCTGTTGATAATGCTTCTCATTCTTGCCCGGGAAATAATTTGTACCTTGCCCCACCTGCGCTTTGTCCTGTTGAATCGCGAGTAAACAACGTAAAAATGATGGATTGTAATTGTGGGACGTGTGAATATGTATCTTTGTCTGGATCAGAAATAGAGATTGTAAGATTGTAAACAATTGAGCTGGGTGGGTTTTTTTTGGGGGGGGGGAGCCATTTTATCACTGGGGTTATGTTAGCATTATCCAAAATTTTGTAGCAAAGTCCAGATTATGAAGAAAAACGTTCAGCTGTTATCCTGTACAATTTGAAATGAAATTCGTTTTAAAAGATGGCCTGTATTGAAATGGCAGCCATTGTATGAAGTAGTGAACTCTCAGTGAGATATATATTTTGAGTTCATATTGTGTTCAGCATTCAGAAAATACATAACTCTACAGAAAATTAAAATTACTGTGTTTGAGCTTGCGTCCTGGTTAAAATCAAATCACTAAGTTTCTTTCGAATCCTCAGCCATGGAATGAATTATTCAAATTCATCAGGATTTCACACATTTTGCTAAGGGTGGTGTTACATGTACCTCCTGGACTCCATAAGCCATGTGTGATGCTCAGGTGTTCAGGTGTTTGAGAGAACTATTGTGGAAGTGAGGTGGGATCGGAAAAGCTTATTACCGGTACATACATTGTACTTGTACATGTACCTCATACAGTACATCTACATGTACGGTACCTCATCAGGAAAGGACACAATCCCCAAGTTTTTTTTCGGGGGGGGGGGGGGGGGTGGTCATTAACCTGTACTCCCATTAACCCTTACCGAGACATGTATTTACTTGAAGAGAAATTTCATAAACATGTAATCATGAAGCTATGGCACAAGGGACATGAAGTCTTATGTAAAGTACGAGTGGATCTATAGATCTTTCTTAACCCATACCCCCTGGGCCATTTTGCTAGGATACAACCTCAGTCTGATTAAATCCTCCAACTGCCTCCTTGTAAAAAAATGTAGATAAAGCCTCAAGTCCGCATAATGCTCTGTTATTTCTTGAATTTATTCATTGGAGGGTTGCCCACTGCCTTAATCCTTCAGAATCCTCCAGCGGTTACTGTTAATACGTTGAGGCTGTGCCAATGATATCCTGGAGCAATGCGGATGACTTTAAGTGTAATCTACCAGTAGGCCTAAATTTATGCACGGCAAAGCATGAACAACACAAGGTTCAGACTAGGACCTTGGCACAATGCATTCTCCAAAACCAGCTACACAACGTTTTCCATACCGCCTCAATCCTTCGAAATCCTCCACTTAATGCAAGGAGGAATTTTGAGGATTTGGGAAGGTGGAAAATAATCCAAAACATCCTGATGGATTTAGATGGATCTTAGAAGGTTCGATAGACACAGGCTGTACATGTACAGGCTGTACATGTACGTCATAGATCCCATGAAAACATCTGTTCATTTGCACACCAGTTTCCATTGGTTGCTACATGTACATGTATACGTGTGTTAAACATTCAGCACTCCAGACTCAAGAAAAATTGAGTTTCAAGAAATCTGGATGCTAGATTTATAAGTCAGTGTAACAATTCCCAGATGTCTGCGCACACCTAAAGGATTAAAAAAAAATCTCAAATAAACCACATATAGGCAAACGGACTTGGCGCATTATTAATTTAAAGTTGAACAAAGAAATCGACTCAAGCAGGGTTTGAACCTGCGACCTCCAGATAACCGTTCCGGTGCTCTGCCAACTGAGCTATTCAGCCCTATGTTGGCGGTTTGTCATTTTCTCAATGTCTTTGTTCAAGGGGTGCTAGTCAGAAGCCATAAACCTGTATATGCCATACAGCCAGGGATCACGCCCAAAGTCACGATGCTAGCAACATTAGCAATGCTGCAAACCTGGGAAATAGCACACGGGGATCAAAACAGGCAAACTGTAGACAAACGAACGTGGAAAATCACTTCATGTAGCTCAATTAATGTATCTCCCAGCACATGTGTGACTTCTAAATATTTCAAGGACATTTGGAAAGAAGCACATCTGTCACCTGAATTCATCCCAGAAAGCCACAAAGTTCACATGTAGTTTTGTACTTTGCTATGTGAGGTTTTGAAAGTCATTAGTTTACTTCTTTGTCTCGTTTCAGGTTCCTTATAGACAATGGGGCCAACGTTGCAGCTGTTAATAATGAAGGGGAAATCCCCCTGGATCTTGCTGAAGAAGAGGAGATGGAAGAATTCCTACAAAACATCATTGAAAAGCTGGGTAAGGAGAGGTCACAGGGTTCAGGGGTCGTAGGTCATAAGTTGGCTTATGGGGAGGACGGAGAGAGGCTATAAAAGTGCAGAAAGGGGGGTGGGTGGTATTCAGGCCTTCAAGATCATTCGGTACTCATTACATTGAAATGAATCAGTTATTTATGTGATAATGATAATAATGTCTTTTTGATTTGATTGTAGTCTTGCAACCAATTCTTGCTCAAAAGTTGACGGGCATGAAGAAATATTTAGTTAAGACGGTAAAAAAGCTTAATATTAAAAAACCCAAAAAAACCAAGAATCATGCACAAAATCCAATCCACATGTTGAACTGGGTGAGATTCGAACCTGGGCCACTAAGAGAGAAGGCAAGGAAAGTACTTCTACACCAACCTGATTTCCCATTAAACACGATAAATTTGTAAGGTTTTTACATGACTTTGCTATTTTGTTTGCCAGGGCTTGATGTTGAAAATGCGAGGAACGAGGAGGAACAGCGCATGCTGACAGACGCCAACCAGTGGCTCAATACGAAAAACATTAAAGAGAAGCGACATCCAAAGTCTGGCGCCACAGCACTCCACGTTGCCTCTGCCAAAGGTTATATTAAAGTTATGAGGTGAGACTTCCGGGTGCCATACTTGCTCCACAAGTTTTCCTGTTTTTCAGGGTCTGTCATTCAGAAGGGTTCCGATGAAGTGTTTAAAAAAAGTAGTAATCGAACTAGTGGTCTGAGTAGTGCTTACCATGTAGACCATGTACCAGGACAGGTAGAAATTTTGGTCTAGGAATTTGAATGATCATGCTGTTTCCCAAAGTGTGACAGAAATGAGTTTGCGTTTTGCAAAGCCTCGGAGATTTCATATACATGTATGTGAAGCTATTTCATGAGAACCTAAAAAAAAAAGGAACAAACTCTTCTTAAAAATTTCGAAGTTGTCAAATTTGCTGTGATACCATGCAATGGGAGAATTTTTAGACGGTGGTGGCAGCAAACGAACCGGTCCTTTTTGAGTTGTTGACGTCATATTAAAGCCAAAGCATGCTCAATATGACGCAAACAATGAAAAAAGGACCGGTACGTTTGCTGCCCCCAACGTCTCAAAACTCTCCCATTCTTTTTTTGATTGTCGGATTTGTCCATACCAAGACTTACTTTGCTTAATTTAATTTTAAAATAATCGTGTCTTTCCTTTTTCCGTTCAATCCTTTTCACTCTTGCAGTATTCTTATACAAGCCGGTAGTAACGTAGACGAAATAGACAATGACGGATGGACGTCGCTCCACGCCGCATCCCACTGGGGACAAAAGGAGGCCGTGGAGCTGCTAGTGGAAAACATGTGTGAAATGAACCACAAAAACAAACTCGTAGGTGGCCCCATTTATCAGTTTTGTGAGGAAAAATTTGTAACTGCTGCCAACTGTTTACTGACTGGATTAACCTGATGGACATAATTTCAATGGAAAGTGAGATGCCAACAGCAGCACCTAATTCCATAAATTCACGAAGTAGAAAAAACAATATTGCTCAGGAATTACTTGCTTAGCAGATATGAGCTGAGGACCAGTGACAAGCAGTGTAAATCATATGACATTTTGGCTGGTGACCTCTTTTTGCTTTTACGGAAGATTTGATTTCATAAAATATGTGAACACTTACGGACAGTCCATGCAGTCACTGTATGGACCTGTGAACAAAAGATGTCCACACAGTGCAGGTAGTGAAGACGTTGTGTGGACTTGCCCACGTCCACACAAGGTTTCTCCCCTCTCTGCTTTTACCGAATACTTGACCTCGTAAAACATGTGAACACTTACGGACAGTCCATGCAGTCGCTGTGTGGACCTGTGAACAAAAGATGTCCACACAGTGCAGGTAGTGAAGACGTTGTGTGGACTTGCCCACGTCCACACAAGGTTTCTCACCTCTCTGCTTTTACCGAATACTTGACCTCGTAAAACATGTGAACACTTACGGACAGTCCCTGCAGTCACTGTGTGGACCTGTGAACAAAAGATGTCCACACAGTGCAGGTAGCGAAGACGTTGTGTGGACTTGCCTACGTCCACACAAGGTTTCCCCCCTCTCTCTGACAAACAGTTTTAGAGGCATTTTGGGGGTTAGGGTTATCCCTCGCAAAATGACATGGAACACTCAAGGAAATCATGATATAAAAAATTTTGTTTGAAAGAGTGTTCACAAGTGCAAGTAAAATTATTTTTCTTGCCCTATTTTTTTTAACTACACGACATCAAAGGAATGTCCACACTAGGTACGAGCCAGGGCCTCATGCTTCCGATATCTTATTGGTTGCTTTGCGTCTTGGCTGTGATGCCTCCCCCTATAGTTTGATTAGCCTACTTCTCCTGTGCACTCATGCGTCACTCTTCACGCAGCACCCTTTTGGAACTCATGTATTTAAATCAGGTTGATCCCTATGTCATACATGTACCGTAGGTCAATCTGACAATCAACACGCTGGTCTGTATTCAGACTACTTTTTGTTCATCAAATAGTTTCGGTGCTTAGCGTATTTCTGCCATATTCAGTTCCATGCAATCCAACCCAATACCTGATAATTGTTCAGACTCATACATGTAAAAGCATCTGCTGAAGCCTGTCATTCTGCTTGGCATTGAACCAAATAAAGAAGAAAGATCATGAACTCACATGTACCAAAATCTACACCATGGTGTGAAACACTCTGACTTATTTAGGATTGTAGAACCAAGGTACATGGCAGATTTTTTTTTTTTTAGTAGAATGAATGAAGTAATGCGCATCTTTACTTTTTAATGTTTTACTATTTACACAGGTTTATTTGTGGATTTTTTTAAAATAATGATAATGCAGTTTAAATGTAATCAATTATAAATGATTATCGTTCTTTCCTTAGGGTCAGACAGCATTTGATCTGGCTGATGATGAAATGTTGAAGTGGTTAGAAGAGTTGAAAAAGAAACAAGCGTCTGTGAGTAACCAAATATTTCTCTTTGCCTTTGAACGGTTTAGTTTGAAGGAGCTTGGAGGGTTGAGAATGTGAGGCCGCGTCCGTTGTACTTGGCTATGACTAGGAATAACACACTAGTCTATGGGTAGCGGCTTCAGCCGTAGCCAAGTACATGTAATTCGGATGCGGCTTTACAGTGTAAAACAACACCGGGCTAATTTTAGAATACCACCTGATTTCTAAACCAAATCAGGAGCATTCAGAGTTTATACGTGCTCCTGTAAAGTTTTTTGGCCATCTAAGAATGGAATGGTGTCAGAAAAGTGTGTTAATTCTTAATCTCATTTAGGCTTCACTGGTTTTTTCCCAGACAAATTTTTACATTGAAAAAAAAAATGTACATGTACCATTTAAATTACACATTTTTTTAAATTGTGTGCTTTGGAAAGCACTTTTAAAGATGGGTCATTTTATAAATTTGGGGTCTACTTTGTATACTGATGGTATCTCTAACCTTTTCCAAATTTTCAGCTGATTTTCATCACACAGCAGACTTAGTCTGATTTCTTAATGCCTAAACTTGCCGAGGGTGGTATATCTGGTATGAAGATGCTTGTGACCAGACTAGGAATTCCACTTCACTATGATCCTATGAATTTTATTGGGGAGAAAAAAGAAATAAATTGTGAAAATTCCCGTTTTTATGATCAAGTTAAAGAAAGAAGAGAAGCCATCTGCGCCAAGAATCGAAGCAAAGAACCCTCCACCATTTAAAAGAAGGTATGCTTAATAAATGTGTATATTTTCCCAATTCATGCACCAATCTCCCTCTTTTCCGTTTGAGTTTTCTCCCTTTTTGTAGCCAGAAACCTTTCAAATTCTTGTGTGGTTGATCATGCAGAACTTGTTCGATACCTGTTTAGAAGTTCTACAGAAAGCACCACCAAAATGGCTTTTGTCAAACTATAATGAGAGTAAACCTTTTTACCCTCAAAAGTTCATGGTTTGGTACATTTTTAGTTTAGATGACTTTTTGGGTGCAGTTTGTTTGCTTGTTTGTTTCATAAAGCAACTCTTTTTGGCTTTGCGGTTGATTTTTTTTGTTCACCGTTTTGGTGTGTTGCAGCATGCCAAGGCCGTTTGAAGTTCAAAAAGAAAAGCAGATAATCAGTTTCTGAAATTGAATGAAAACACAAACTGAAAAGAAAAGATCTGAGGTCAAATTCTGGCCTTTGTGAATTCTTTCTTCCTTTGTAGTGTAGCGTATTAGTTCTGTAGTTCATAGAACCTCAGCTTAAAAACATCTGCATTGCCCAGGCTTCGAAATACTTTTGACTGTTTCCAAAAAAGATGAAAACTCACAAATGGCATGCTTAAACATTTTGACTTTTGAAATTCTGTTTGATCTTTCATTCTGAAATCCTTGAAATTCCTTTCAGAAAGTAACTCAGGTCATTTAAGTGGATGCAAAAAGGCAAATACATGGACAAACAAACAAAAGCCGGCCATATTCATTACAACGTAGCGTGAGAAATTTGCACATTCCCCTCCCCTCCCCCCCCCCCCAGTTGCTGCACAGTTTGGCTACATACATGTACATAGTTAATGAATCCAACATGGCCGACTTTTGGTTTTCTTTTTTTTTTACCCATTGCATGCTGGGATATATGCAGTTGTTTTTGTTTTTGTTTTCTGTTCACATTCATACATGTACGTCTTAGTCTTAGCTATTTCACTACATTAGCTGCATTGATCATATATTTTTCCTCTCTATTCTTCAAAGTTTGAGAGTTTTGAATGCAAAACCTTACCATCAAAAACTTTTCACTTGATTCATATTGTTCCATCAAACACTTTTCTTCCAGAAAATGTTCATTTTTTTCCAGCCTGATTTATAAACAAAAAAAATCAGCATACTTTCACCATGTAGATATAGATTTTACACTAAGGGATTAAAAAAAAAATGTAGATTCGAAAGCAAGGGGAATTTTCATGGCCAAAACTTTCTCACATTAATTTTGGTTGTCGTGCATAACTTGAAATAAAATCACACGTATATTGGTTTTAAGTATACATAACTTGCATGTTAGTTTAGTCCCATTCAACAGTTCACATAGCTTGATCAGCTTGGCATTGTATATTATAACCATCTGGTCTACTTTAACGTTTCATCTCTCTTTATTATCGCCCTCATGCACACATACCTACATATATTGTAGTTAGTGACAATGATTAATCATTCCCCTATCCTTCATGAAAATTCTACAATTAAATAAAATGCACTAAACATTCCAAGTAACCCCTTTTACTCCCTTTCTCTCCCATCAACGCGTTCTCTTTATTTGGTTCTCAACTATGGTGGTTAAATCGACAAGTAGTCTCAAAAATCATCCCGAGATGAATTGGTATCTATATATTTTTTTTATTGTTCAGCTTTCTTGGTCCTTAAAAAAAGGACAAAAACCAACCCCACTTATGGCGGTCCTCTAGCTTTCCTAAGTAAATGTTAACCCTTGCTTCTGGATACAGTGATCAGTCGGGTCAAGGTACCAACAAAAAAAGCGCTCATGGCTGGGATTTGCAGAAGCTTAAGCTTTTAACCTCCATTGCAAGTTATCCGAAAAGTGTCCGAGGTCCTCTGCTGCGGGCGCTTGCAATATTTAAAGAAACAAACTTTTTACAGTTTATGTGCAGCTTCTTTGCAATGTAGGAGTTTGTGTTGTTTGGCTCTAGCGTTGATAAGCCGCTTCTGAATTACAGGGCTCCGGCTGGCAATGACACATGTGCCAATTAGAAGCGGTTGAAGCCGCTTCTCATAGGCTCATGTGTAATTGCCAGCATTAGCCAAGTAATTAGAACAAGGCCATAGAGGTGTGCCAGATCACAAGAGAGAGGACAGTAACACCAAAACAGCAGGTCCAAAGCAAATGAAAGACATTACAAGTGCTGACAGCTTTTCCTTGATGACATTCCGTTCTTCACAAAAAGGGCGTTCTTGCAACAAAAGATACACGTTCTGTTATGAAGAGCAAAAACATGAAGTACCAAGTGGTGGTGTTCTTTGTGCAAATTATTCTGTTTGAACACTGCAATTTGGCAAGCTCCTGTCGAACAAAAAAGTCGACTGCTTCATTATGAATAGCAATTTAATCAAGCCCTTTTTTGGGGAAAAAAAAAGAGAAAACAAATTTGAGTCCAAGTATAAACAGTACAAAAGAGACTGCTACGCTGCTTTTTTTGGACCTGTGTCTTAAATGAGAACGTCCCAGCGCTTCAGCTAAAGAACACAAGCTGTTTTGCAGAGAGGACCTTGCTGAAGTTTGAAATAATTGCAACTACCACTTAAATTCACTAAATGTCGCACCATCTGTCCAGATGTGTGGCCGCCTTGCTTTGGTGATGGGTGTTGCTCTATTGACTTGCATCGCCTTCATGTACATGTACCTTCAGAAGATGAACGTGTACATTCTGTGGCCATATAAACCCTTGTGTTAGTCTCCTAGCCCCCTCCCCCACTTGGATTGACTCCGCCCCTCCCTTCACGGACAGAATAGTGAACTAGTATTCTAATATTGTACTGGTGAATGACATTCTTGTAGCACATTGTTGTTAGATTAAAATTAAAGGGCTAGATGTTCCCTTCCATGTCTTAGTACCCTAGTGAAAAAAATTCTGTCTAGCAAGAAGCTGCAGCAATTTATCTGTGACAAGGAATACATGCATACATGTAGTTCTTTATGCGTGACAAATCAAATTATAAGCCTCGTTATGGGTGCCCTTATAGAGATACAGGTGAACACGTTCAATTTGAATAACACGTGAATCCAGGTGCACGGATCGTTGATCAGTAAATACATTAGATTTCCTAAAAGGATCATCCAGATTGGTCATTTCCAATGATGATTGGTCACTGCCAGTTATCTAATTCTGCTGATTGGTCCCTGCTCACAGGAAGTTACATACCTCTACATGTATGTGTATATCAGCTGATTTGTCCTTGCCAATTGTCTAAGTGTGCTTGATACATGCAGGTCATTGACAATTACTGGTATTTAAGGCTATCCATTGGTCATTGCCAATTACCTGTGTCAGCTAATTGGTCATTGCCAATTATCCAAGTCTGCTGATTGGTCATTGCACATTTGTGAAGACTGCTGATTGGTCATTTCAATATACACCGTACCTACTTCTGTTGAATTGTCTAAGTGTGCTGTAATTGGTCAAATAGAACGGCATGTTTTCCTGAATAAAGATATTTGGCTGCAGCTATGTACAGTGTACATGTATGCGAATGTATGTCACTGAATGCATCAGTAATGTGGGGCTTAGCGTAGCTTTTAACTCCATGGTTAATATTGTGGTTAGTCTATCCTGTCATTAACCTTTCTTTGTCAAATCCTGACTTCTTTTAACACTTCAGGACATAATGTTTAATGCCAAAATGCAGCAACCCAATTTTTTTGTTGATAATAAAATTTAAATCTTTGATCAGATACTGAAATTAATCCCAAAGTTTTTTTTTTTTTTTCAATTTGTTTTATCAAAAGACGTAAGGATGCACTGGTGTTGTTTGTTTTTCCCAAACATTTTTCCCTTGTGATTTTAAATCATTCGGCTGATTTTTTTCACGTAGTTCATTACGAACTTTCAGAGTTGTTAGAAGCTTCTTTTTTTTTTGCATTTTGCCTACCATACGCTTTGCCTGTAGGGTTAGCCATGATAACTTCCAAAATGGGGAATAACCACCCCAGTTTCAAAATGGAATATCCTGTCTTTTTATATGGGCAGATACATACTTGGGACTATTGGACTTAATTCTAAGGGGATTAGGAACTCGAGAGGGGAATTTCGACTTTCCTTGATCACTCTGTTTCCTCAGCAACATGGAAAATTTCTTAAATTAATTAAAAGGATTCATTCATATATATTTTTGGTTTAAAAAAAATTCTGTTTCTCACTCCCTTCAAAGCACCAACTAAAACTCAACCTTGAAAATCACACTATTTATTCTAATTAACCCTCATGAATATTCATGACTAATCCATTTCCTATGCATGAACAACTCAATTCTGTTTCACTCATTAATGTTACTTTCAGCTTATTTGTAACCTGAGATTTTTGTTCTTGTGAAAATTGCGATACCAAAATGTGGCTTTTGTGTGATTTTTTTATTTGAGGCAAACTTGTATTAAGTGTAAAGTGAATGTCTTTATCGAAGTGTCTATTTGTATAATAAACATTATTTAAGGAGAGGCAAAGTTTATGCTTCGGAAGAACTCAAATGAAGAAGAATGAAGAATTTTGGAGATGAAAAAAACCCCAATCATTAAAGCTTTGAATAAACACATCATGAATATTGAAGTTCACACTGAGATGAATTGCAAATCAAACAGTTGATAGTTTGGGCTTTCATGTTTTCTTCGTTACGTCTCCTTAAATAATAGAAATCTTAATTTGAAGGACCTATGAAGTTGTCCCTGTGTCAGTTTTGTGAATAGTCATGAATTTGTGGTATGTTTATTTCTAAGTAAGGAAATCTTCCATGTTGTGTAGAAGAGACAGTATGGCATGAATTTGCTCAACGAGAATTAGCATGAAAAGTGATAGATTGAAAAAAAAAAGAGGGAGGAAGTGGTTGAAAAATGGGTGAATCAAAGATGGAAGAACCCATGCATGGCTAACCTTTTCGGCACTTTTTTGCATAAATTTTTTGGCTTCTTTTATTCCCCTCCTTCTTCTTGTTTGTGTGTCCCGTATTGTGCATTTGTCTCTTCTCTCTTCTATGTCACTATCTTTCCCCCCACACGCCCTCATGATACCCCCACCCCCTCCGACCTCCCTTGTATCCCCCCTTGTGTCCCCCCTTGTGTTTCCCCCATCCTTTGGCGCTGACTCGCAGGTCTTCCGTTACACGCATTAGTGTTCCCGACCGTAACATGTTGCTGCATCAAGACATGGCCAAGGAACGTCGGGAGCTGGAGTTGAAGATTCACGGCAAGGACAGCGAGAAGGAAAAGGTAAAAAAACCTCTTTTTTTTTTAGGATTTTGTCTTTGTTCTTGCATTTTCTTATTCTCGAGCTTTGATTTCTGTTTGCATTTTTTTGTTCCGTAACCACTAAAGAATTTGTACATTGTCTGCTTACAGGAAATACTTGGGTCCACTGGTCCCCAGATAGTGGGACGTCCTCGCTTAGCATTTTTGTGTTGTCAAGTTTCCATTTTTGTAAAATTATTACTATAATACTCATCAAGCTTTGATTATTGTCTGCGATTTTTTTTTATTAATCGCTTAAAAGCCTGTGCACTGCCAGCTTTCAGGAAAATATTTCGGGCAACCAGTTTAATAGATATTGGAATGAATGAATTGAGACTAGATGTGAAGTTTGCCTGACTTCTTATTGTTTTTTCCCCTCCCTTTTGATTTTCTTTTTGTTTGGCTTATTTCATAAAATACAGAGGGATTCAGACAGTTTTCCAATTGCCTGTGTTTGGAATGTTTCTAAGCACAGTCCCCTGCTCAATCTTTCCTTTGCCTCCTTTTTTTAAAGTACATGTACGTCTCCCCCTTTCGCCATACTGTATTTCCCTCTAACCATGTTTTCTTTGGCTTCCTTGACTATCCTCTCTCACCTTTTATAAACAAAATTATACGCTGAAAAAAATATCATCCCTATCTGTAGTGGAAACACAACTCCTGTACCACATGTATGCCCACCCTTCTCTTACACGTACCAGTACATTCCCTTTGCCCCTTTATTGTACCATTTTGGGTCATTTTTCAAAATCATAATGTGTGATATTCATAGAGTTTAATTGAATACCTTGCCTGACACCTGGCTTTGAAGTTCTGTCAAGTCAAGAAACAGAAAATAAATCGATTAAAAAAATTAAAATAACAAAACAGAACAATTTTGGACAGTTGATGCTCTGTGGATGTTTTCAGGGTGAGAGAGGTGATTTTCTTTTTATGTTCACATACACGGGTACTTTCCCCCAATATACTCCTTTAGTGTTTCAATGAGTTCCACTTAAACATGTTTTTCTCTTACATTTTCAAGTCATTTTAAGACGTCACGAGGAGGGAAAAATGCAGAAAGAGGACAGGAAAGCTATGGAAAATGCTAAACCAAGATTTCAACATAATACAAATTTCTGTGTAATGATACATGTATAAAGCTTGAAAAAAAATAACCACCTGCTCTCCCTTGTGAGATTTGGCAATATCTACCAACTGTGCTTGTAGCTGTACAAGGTGTCCTGAAAATAATGCTGCATGTAAACCCCGCCATTTTCGCCAATTTACAACCAGAATTTACTGCAAATGTTTACACGATCTTTAAGGTTTAGATTTAGCTTGAGAATACCGTTTGTTTAATTAAGATTGCTTTTGTAAATCCAGAGATATGTTTGAATAACCACAAAGCCAAAAAAAAAACCATTCTGTGCCACTTTTAGGAAGCGAGTGCTTCAAAGATCAGACAATGCCACTTATCGCTCTTTTGATAAGATTATCCCTATGGGTGTAAGACAAACATTCCATTCACACAACAATATAGGGTTTTGTTCTTATGTTGAAACAATTTAATAGTACAGACAGGTTCACTTCTTTAAAACTTCAATGAAAGAGTTCAATTAAATATAAATAAATATTGCACACTCTGCTGAAAAATGTTAAAATCACTAACAGTAAAGTGATTTGGTTTTAGACTAGGACTATACCGATTTTAACTGCTTCACAGAAAGTGGCACAAAATGGGTTTCTTGGCTTTGCCGTTATTCAAACATATCTGTGGATTTACAAAAGCAATCTCAATGAAACAAACGGTATTCTCAAGCTAAATCTATTACCTTGAAGATGGTATAAACATCCGCAGAAAATTTTGGTTGTAAATTAGCAAAAATGGAGGGGTTTACATGCACCATGTTTTTTTCAGGACGCCCTGTATAGTATTTCAAACTCTTACACCCAAACCATATGCATCCTCAATCCATTTCAACCTTCTTATTAACACATTTCTCTCTCCCATGCTAACGGACTCCGTCAATGTTTTATTTTCTTCCCTGCTTTCTGATCTTCCCTTCACTTGGATATGACTAACATTTTCAGCCGGCCAGTAATGTGAGACCGAAGGTAGCGTCGGGCCCTCTTAGGGCACACGGGGTAGGTGGCAGTACGTCTTGTGGTTACCCAAAGTGTGGTCTTTTCCTTAGCTTTATGTTACTTATTCAGTTCTTGTCAACCCTCCACCTAAGAAATCAATATTCGGTGCAATATCTAAAACCCTTTAAAGTTAGGGTCATGGGCGTTGCGAGGGGGGCACTTGACACCCCCCCCCCCCCCCCCCCCCGGAAAACAAAAAAAAAAGGAAAAAGGAAGGGAAAAAGAGGTGCGAAGCCATATTGCTGTTAATTTGATTGGGGGAGGGGGTAGGGCAAATGCTTCCCTGCTTACGCTTGGAAAAATGATAAATTGAGAATATATTGAAAAAGTTAAAGAATTTTGGAGAAAAATTTGCTTTGCCCCCCCCCCCTGGAAAAAATCCTGGCGACGCCCATGGTTAGGGTAGATCAGTTGTCATTTGTACATTTTTTTCGTTTGAAGCAACAAAAGTGCTCAAAAATCTAAAGAAGGGTGCTTAACACTAACCTGATGAAGTTCTAGCTCAGTGAATGCTGTATATTCCAAGAAAAAAATATTCTAGGGATCACGATTTTAATTCAAAAGTTGCCGAGTCATGTTTTGAATTGTTCCCGAAATCAGCATCCAGGACACGTCCTCATTAAGCCGATTGCAGCTACACGATGTCACTCTCTGAAACGACGAATAATAGCAACCGCGTGTGCGTAGTCGTGTCAACGCTTGCGCGCACCCATTCATGAATTCGCCTAATTACAAACCAACTACTAACGGAAATTGCCAAAAAAATGCATCACTTGACGCATCTTTGGTAATGGCCTTCTTTTATTGTTTTCTTCAAAGTGACAGCATGCCAGAAAGAATAATTTCAGAGGTAGTTTAGTGTGATAAGACCAGGAGGGTTGACAGATGCACATGATGAAACAAAATGAGTTTTCCGCAACCACATGAGTTACTGTGTTGTCAACAGTTGGTAGCACCAGAAAGTTGTGGATTTTGTGTTTTTGAACTTGCACTTTTGTGTACTTATTCTGCAACTGCAAATTGTTTTTGTCATAAAGTTTTAATGTATTTTGTTCAATCGGTTTGCATTGCTTGCATTGATCTGATGAAATATAGGGTTTTCCCCGGTGCAGTTCTTTTCTCCATCATTCCAAAAACAAGGATCTTAACAAGATATCTCTCAAAGTTTGTGATGTTGCACTGTTTGTGATGTTGCACAATTTAATCCAAAAGTGAGAATAAGTAATTTCCATTGAAATCATGGTTTTTTTCAAGTGACAAATCACAACTCTTCATTCTTCTCTTTTCCCCCTTATTCACGCATCTGAATCCCATTGCATTTTTAGCAGACTGTTGTTGCAAAACGGAAGATTACCCCTTGGGTCGCACAAGTGCCCATTTTCCCCGATCTCGAAGATCGAGAACGGAAATGGGAACGGGTAGGTTGTTAAAATAAAAACCTCTTGCCAGCAGCACAAAATTGGGGGTTTGCGGGCTGCGTGTGTGGTAAATGGTGTCAGGATTTTAACGTGTGCTTTTGTTTTTTTGTTTGATCACCACAATCCATTATCATTTCAGTTATCAAGAGCAATCGATGTAGCATAATTCAATGGTTTTTTTTAATTGATTATTTAAAACTGGAGAGTGATTGTTGTTTGTTTCTGTCCTGTCCTGTTTGGTTTTTTTTTTTTTTTTTTGCTTTGCAAATCAGTGCTCCGGGATGAAATGTGTGCAATTCTTGTTTTGGGGTTTGACAAATTTTCAATATTGGGTTTTGCCGATCTTTAAAAATGCCAATTGTTTTTGTTTTTTGGGGTGTTTTTTTTTTGGGGGGGGGGTAATTTATGTTTATACAATACAGCTTTTGTCAAACTATTGTTTTATTTGACATGCGAGACCGCACATTGTGGCACATTTTCTTTTCTTTTTTGAGGTTGAAGTTTTATGCACATGGAGAAGTTTCACATTTAATATGTGTGTAGCACATACCTCTCTTAAGGAAATGCTGTTACACATTTGAATACATGTACACACTGGTTTGACCTTAGAGTTGCATACTGTCAGAAAGCAGATAAAGGAATCACACAACAATCAGCTGTTCCAACTTGCTCTTAGAAGGAATCATTTGGTTGGGGTTTTGCAGGAAACATCCGTAGATTCATTGTAAGCTATCAACAGACATGCGGTCAAGTTCTTAGTAAGTTTTGTTCCATAAAGTTGTAAAAAATGACTTAGGCATCTGTTCAGGAAATTCAGAAATTGTAATGGACATGGTTCGGTGTGCGTTATAGCAATGGATTGTGTCCTCAAATACAGTGTCTGGCATAACTGTTAAAAGACAATGAAGGCACACGGACTGAATAAACCTAATCATACATGAAGTGAGGCGCATCCTGATGTCAGTTCTGCACAGACGTTCTTTCTCTCTTGCTCATTCATGTACTGCAATCCACAGTTCTGGACCTTTATGGAAACAAAATCTTACATTGAACTCGTCGTCAAATGACATCCGTAGAGCCATGGAGGATCCCTCATTTACAAAACATAGCATGTAGTTCCACAAGGTGTGAAAGATTTGGATTTGCTCCTAGAACACATCAGCCTAGTATAGACATATTATCATCAGGGCAACCAAGACCATGGTGCCCAAAGCGCTAGGATCATGTAACTACGTAATCAGAGGGTGTAATTGGACAAAGTGAATTAGATCTGTTTTGAGCTGTTGAAGTACAAATTGTCAAATTATTTTCCCACTAGAAAATGCATTAATGGTACAAATGTTGACTGTGAACACTGTTTTTGTTCAGACAAACATGGTAAACAATGAGGAAAATGTTGGATGCCGGACCAAAATGTCACCCTCTGGTAATGGATGAGCAAGGCTGTTCCATGCAAATAGACTTCATGTAGACGGTAGAATAGCTGTTCAAAAACCAGGAGGACTGTTTGAGTCTTTGTTATTATTATGTTTATATTTTTTTTACCTTTTTCTTAATCCGAAAGGGGGGGGGCGTATTTTTAAATGGGATGGGGTATCATTGTGTGTATGTGTCTGATGGTGGATGGAACATTGTGCGTTTGGAGTACTGTGCAAGTACAACATGGGGTTGGCAGGATATTGTTTCCTGCGGTGTTGCAGCGTTTGACGGTACATGTGTATGTGTACACTGTATCTCGCTAATAAGCTGGTAATTAAAATAATGGATAATTTGGTGAATATGGTACAACGCATGGAAGTGGTAAGCCGTATTGCCGGTGGTACACATTTTTCATAGGTGGAGGTTCATGCCTTGTTACAATGCGCCCATTTGGTTTCAGGTGCCCATTTGAACCCTGCCCTTTTTTCCCATATTTCAAGGTAAGTTGCAGTTTAGCTAAAGTTTAGGCCATGTCTGTGAACTTGATGAAGGAACAGGCAAAGCTTTAGGCTTTTGATTTTAACAGTGTTTTGGTGGGTAAATCTGACGAGGCTGATGATGATAAAAACAACGGTGTTGGATTGAGACCTGAAAAGTATTCAAATACACCAGAGTGATTGAGTGCCCTGTTTGGAAGCATCAGATAAGCAGACGGAAGAGCCTAGTGGATAGGAAGACGAGATGTGAAGATTAAATTGATGGCTTTCAATTTAGTGAAACGTGACCTGCTGGTGACAATTGTTGAATAGTCAAACTGTGGAAGTACAACCTGAATTTCATGTTCTTGCCATTTTAACAAAGTTCGAAAAAGAGAGATTATGCAAAGTCCTGTGTTGACATTTATCCACAGGGTAGAACAGTTACAGGCAGCAGCAAGGATGGGCCCAGGCATTCTGACCGTTTCACCAAAATTGGCACATTGGTAATCTTTAACGGTTCCCTTGGCTTGTATGAAAGTAGTTAGATAGTCTGTGCATATTTCTGAAGTCATAACAGCTGTCTTCTCCTGAGTGATGGTGGTGGGTTTGCTTGCAGTTCGGCAAGGCTGTGCCCAATTGGGGGTTTTTTTCTGCCCAATTGCAGATTGTAGAGGTTTTTCCTTCAAATTCTCGTCTAGAAGGAGCTGTCAGCTTTTTTGAAGTTGCTCATACTTTAGGTTTTTGAGTTCCTGTTTTGTTTCCTCTTGGTTTCAAGTATTCCTTACACATTTTGAAGAGAACTCCCAGGAGTAAAGCGTTCTCTCATCTATGAATTGTGATATTAAGAATGGGAAGAACTGCTACAATAACAAAACTCAATTTTCAACTTAAAGCATTCCTACAAGAAAATTAGACCGTTTAGCGTACCATTGGTAGAAAAAAAGTTTTTAAGGGCTTTGCAAAATCAGTTTTTTGCATGTCCCAAAATATGTGTGCTAATGCAAGTTGTTTTTGTTTTCAAAATAACAAAACGATAGTCGGGAAACAATATAGGGGTGGAGGCTGTTCTGCTAAGTGGCTGTTTTTGGCGGTGGTGGCGGTAGCCAGGGCTTGATTGTGATTGGTCAGTGTGGCTTCCAGCATTATGCTCGGTTCGTTGAATGAATGTAGAGGAGACAATCGGACAGCAACTTGTAATTTCTCCACAGGAGTACACTGTAACTAACGCGGACTCGCACATGTACCTTCACAATCTCGGGGAGTTCGACACTCTGGTAAACACACAAGCTCTCTGGAAATTGTCTTTACGTTTTTTTTAAGTTTTAGCCTACCTGGGTCAGAAGCTTTGCTTGGAGCGCATAGGGTGTCTGGAAATTGTCTGCAGCTGTTAAGTAGTCCGTTTTGTGTCAATGCTGGAACTTTTTGTGATTGACCAAATGAGAATTGGTGGAGGTGGGCCAGTGCCCAATTGATTGGCTGTGCCCAATTGAGGTATGTGCTTGTTTGCAAATTGTCTGTTGTAAGGTAAGTGTAAGTTAAGGTAGTAACGGGACGGTTTGCTCTTGTAGATATAACTTAATGTAATTGAATTTACTTGACTAGAATTACAAAGCTGATAGATGGCGTGAGAGCATCATACAATCAAAATTAACGCTTGTGAGGAAATTTCTTGACGAAATACTAACGAGAGATTTTTTATCAGGAGAAGTTGCACTCCTCACCGTGCGAATCCTGAAATTTCATTTTTACTTTTGTGCAGTCTTTAAAAACTTCACTCTTTTTCCTGAAAAAAGGACTAGTAATGTTGATATGAGGTTTTCTCAGTGTAGGGTATTCCTCAGCTGTAAGTTCCATGCAGAAATTCAACTTTTTGTTTGTTTGTTTTTTTCAAAAAGAGATTTCCACAATCTGGTTTTGTTTGTTGTGTTTTGCTAGGTACATGTAATGTGAGATTCATTGCAGAAACCAAAGAAAAGCAGAAACAAAGCATCTTTAATGAATCAGCTGTGACTGTGATTGCCGCGGTGGTGGTGCTACCATCTTGCTTTGCAAAGATGTGTCTTAAATGTTCACAGGAACAGAAAAATGATAGTGTGTGTGATCTAGGATCCGTCATTGACCACTTGCTTCTGCTGTGCAGCAGAATCTCAACTTGCACTCATTATTAGCGGTCATCAACTTATATTTGTAGTGCTGCCAATCTACATAAGCCAGATGCCAAAAATGTACACTTTACTTGCTGTGTTTCATATGTTTTGTTTTTGTTTTTTTAATGATCGGGGTAAGTGTGATTGTATTCTCTTAAGGCTGAGTGCTATTCTGTGCAGCTTTTAACACAACTGTTAACAACAGGCTTCAGGCAGTGTGCTCATTAAGACCTTGAATTTGTCTCTTTCAATTAAGTTTGGATTGGGGAAAATGGAATTTGTTTTTGTTTTATATTTAAAAAAAAAAAAGACGTTGCAGCTCAATCATCCTGCAAGTTGTTTCAATCAATTAATTAATCTGCGCTGTAGTTAATAGAGCAAATTTCCAAAATTTAGAAAGATGCTGATGAACTGCAAAAAAGTAGTTTTTGTCTAAATCCAGCATTTTTGGAAAGAGATAAATTCAAGCCGCTGAAGTTTTCAAGTCTTAATCCAAGGGTTTTTTTTTTCCTTGTCCAAATTTTCCTCCCATCCTGTCACTTCCCATCACCATGGCAACAGGAGAAGAAGACAATGGAGTCGTCCAGCTCCAGCGAGAGTGAGAGCGAGAGCTCGGAAGACGACAGCAAGAACCGGCCCACCAAGAACCGCGGCAGCCTCAACCACAACAAACCGGGCGAGGTCAACACGAGGCAGGCCAACAGGACCCCCAACCTACCCCAAGCGCCTGCCACCCCGACAACGCCCCCAAAGAAAGAGGTAAGGGTACACTCAGGTATTACTTCTTAAATATAAAAATGGGATTAGCGAGTTCACTACAGGATTCATTTCAACATGAAGTCAATGGACTATGGGTACAAGTACCCTCTCAACGGTTACAAAGGGAGAGTTGGGGAAGCCAGTGGGAGTGAGACATTCAAATGCATTGTGGACGATGCCTGTCGCTCTTACAAAGACGATGCCTGACGCTCTTGCGAAGACGATATGGCTTTGTGCTCGTTCATAATCAAATTAGTCGTGTATACTTCGCGACATACGAGCGCAAACCAGTGCGCGCACGCGGCGGTGTGACCCATCCACTGAGCTCTCTCAAAAGTGGTAAAAAAATGCCATCGACTGTTCCTGGGCTGGGCGTCTTCACTGGGCACAATTGTGAGCCAGTAAGAACTCTGCACGAACAATAGGTGGCAATTTGTGAGCACTTGTGAACGCTCTGTGTGCTGGACAGACTACATGCAGGCACACATCTGCCCACATGGCCTGAACTATGCACAACTAATTTGTTTTGTTGAATATGATTGAACCTATGGCATCTACACATAAGCGCCAGAGATACAGCAGCAAGGGCATTCAAGAGCTGCCAAAATCTGTCTTTGTCAGTGTTGAGGTACCTTGTGCAGGGAGTCCATACCAGCTCACGTTAAAATATCAAAAACTAGTCACCTTAAAATACCAATATTAACAATTGAACATAGACATAAAAAATGAGGGAGGTTACCATTAAAGGGCTATTTGAAGGTAAGAGAATCTGAAAAGCATCAATATGTTGTTTTACAAGTCATGGGTTTGAATCCTGCTGTATGCATTTATTTTATATGGAAAAGAGCAATCTATGTGGGAAATAAAACTTGTTATTAAAAGATCGACAATAGTAAGGGATCATCCACGCGAAGCACGCTGCAGTTTGAGAGATTTCAACAAATCGATGAACCATGTTGCAAAGATGTGATATCTGGTGTTCGAGGTGCATTCTATCACAAGTCCATCACAAGTCTATGCACAAGTCTGGTCAGAAGTACATGTACCACAGGATGAACTCTTGGTTTATTTTTTTTTTTTGGTGTTTCCCCTTCAGGTTCCCAGCTTCTCCCCCAAACCCTTACAGCCTCCACGGCAAGACTCCAAGGAGGAGGCCGCCCCGGCCTGGCGCCAGGGTCTACGGAAGTCTGGCAGCGCTAGCGTTGTGCCCGAGTCCGTCCAGAAACCGGACAAGGAGCCGGAGAAGCTGCCCCGGTCATCCTCCAGCCCCAAGCTGACCACTACGGAAGAGAGAGCCAAGGTAAGGACGGTACAAACAAACAGTCTCACACCCGTTTTGAGTCTCGCATTCCAGAATCAGGCCGAACCAACAAGTATTAGAAGCAACTAAAGTTGACCCAAATAGATTTTGGATTCAGACTTTTCCGTTGACAGGCCTCTGCAGTCATTTTGAATGTAGTCACCTCATTGTGTCAAATGTTGAACTTCATTCTAATTCAGAATAATTTAGCTCTTTGGGTCTCCGGAAGGCCAGTCTGAAACACGTCTAAACTATCTCTCACTGAAAGCAGCCTGTGTGTCACTGTCCTTTGACTGCTGATGATGAAGTGTCGACTGAACTTTGAAAGAGATTGCAGATACCCCGGAAGAACCAGGGGTGTTTAACAACTCTGATGGTCAGACCTCTTGGACTTCTCAGAAGCACCTATTTGTAACAGATAGTCTCTCAAATGGTGCATCTGCAAAGTTCTCTAAAGTTGTTCCATGCAATGCCTCAAAATACATTTAGGGTCGGCCAAGTTAACAGTTTACTCCAGGACCAATGGACTCCTTGTACGAACAGCAGATGACTCTTTTTTGACCACTTTCAGGAGTCCAGTGGACAGGACACACCACATGTGGTTTGCGTGTATGGCGCAAATTTTGAAGATTTATTTTATTCTGAATGTGCACAAAGCCATAGCATCTTCACATGAGTTTCAAGCGCCATTGGCAATGCGTTTGAATGCCCCTCCCACTGGTCTTCCCAAACTCTCCCTTTGTAACAGTTGGGAAAGTACTTGTGCACGAAGCCCATAGGCACCTTGTGTCACATGCACACAGACTTAAGAACTAGGCAGAATCACTACAGCACATAGCAATAAGGACAATTTCAGAAGTCTAAGGTAAGGAATGGATCAGTGTAGGGCTGGTTCAAGGCTCACCATGCAAAAGTGGCAACCAGCAACAGTGTGGTATGACGTACTGACTTGTGGTTGGTTCTTAGTTTACTTGTACTAAGCCTGTCAATAGATCATTATCATGGTGCGGCCATCTTTATTTTTCCCATTCCAATCAACATAACCAAAGCGAGGCTGGAAGGGAAAAAAGTCTGGTTCCTTTTTGCACAAAAAACATTACCATTCAATACTGTTATTGGATACAGGGAACATGACTGAAATGGTGGCAGCATGATAAAGGTCTATATCATTGTTGTAGTCGAGTCCATCACAAGTCCCCACAAGTTCCTGCAACTTCATCAAAAGTCAAGTCAAGTCACTAGCTATTCAAATGAACTATTACAAAAGCATTCCTTTGTCATTGTTCATCCTGTTACTTGTGACTGGACTTACGAAAGGACTTATGATAGACTCGACTGCAACACTGGTCAGTATTCTCTTTGTTGCTGGGCTTTGCAGGGACTTTTGAAAGTTCCCATGAAGAATGTCAAAAGTTATTAGAGTTTATGTTTATTTATATTTCCAGCAATCAGCCAATGAGAGGCAGGACCGGCTAGGGCGGCTAACGGAAGGCAAGCAGGTCGAAACGAAACCAGCGGAACCTAAGACCGAGGATAAAACTGGCAGGTAAGTCATCGTCAGCGCAGTGCTGATTGAGTCATGTTGGTGTGGTGTAACATTTTGGGGGATTTCCATTGGCTCTCATAGGTTTCAGTAGCACTTTTGAAGCCTTACAAGTTGCAGATGATATGATAAATGTGCACTGCTTATCGCAATCCGGGTTCGGTGGTATTTTAGGCGAAAACAAAATCTGAAATAGAAGAGCATTGGGAAAGGTCGAATGGGTGGTCTGTTAGTGTAAAGAGCTGGAATGATAATGTAGATGAGAAATTTGGGTCTTTCTGTACTTGAAGTTGCACACAAAATCTAGTGGTCTGCATATCCTGGTTTTGATGAATGTGAGGTAGAAGAGGGAAACGAGATGATTGACGTTAACATCGATAGGAAAGAGAAGGATTGTCTTGGAGAAAGAAAGGATTTGTTGCATCTTTTCTGACTCATGGCACTCATGTGCATGACAGAATACAAGTAGTCTTTCTGAATCACTTATTGATGTTGATATTGATATTGTTTTAGCCACACTACACCTAGCTTGACGTAGATTGCAGGCACTATTTGCAGAATCGCACATTGAAAATTGACAAAAAAGAGTTTAAAAAAGTCACTGAATGTTTAGGTAATAGTGCCTTTCTCAGAAAAGAGTAAAGGGGGTTTCTTGAGGAAGTTAGTATTTTCAGAAATTTTCAAATGGTTTGGAGTCGGACCCATTGCCAGCTCCGGGTATTAGGGGGACTACTACAGTACCAGCTAGTGGGCACTCCACAAGAAAAAAAAAACAAATACATATAATTTTTATGCTTATGGTTTTTTGCCGAGGGGTGGGCCAATTCCTTTGGGGGGGGGGGGGGTAAGCGACGGGCCTTGCTTGGAGGCTTCACTGGGTTTCCAAAAGTTATGGAAGGGTTTTTGAAGAATTCTAAACCGTTTTGAGAAAATTGTGTTAAGGGGGTTTAAGTGTGGCATTGAGAATGCTAAAAGATATTTAACTAAGTAAAAAATGGGAGGCCCTTTTGGGTTTGGAAGATGAACCAGGGCCCAATTTCACGGCGCTGCTCAGCACAAAAATTTGCTGAGCACAAAAATAGTCAGGCTTATAAAAGCAGGTTACCAGCCAAAACTCCACGTGATGTATATTGCTCGTGATTAGTATTCAGCTGTTGTTTGCTAAGCATGAAAATCACATGGAGTTTTAGCTGGTAACCTGTTTTATAATCCAGATTTTTTTTTGTGCTAAGCATATTTTTGTGCTTAGCAATAAAAGAGCATTATCTTAGTATTTGATACATGTAGTTGGTAGTGAATCTGATTGCACATGTCCTGTGCCTTGTGATGCTGTCTCTCACTGTGCACAATGAAGGGGCTTTGTCACTGAGCTGACAAATGTTGTCAACTGTCATGGAAAGCAGAAATTATTTCATGAATTGAAAATTACTTTAAAAAACAAAATTTTAACCAGTGATGAGAAACAATGAAATTCCCCAATCAGCCTCACCACAAAGCCTCCATTGTCACCATCTAAACACATTGCATGTTCTTCCTTTGTCGGTTTCAAACTCAAGTTTTCCCTCTTTCTAATGTCTTTGTTAAATTAAATGCATGCCGCTTTTATCCTTCATTACAACTTTGGATTTAATAGTGCATGTACATCAGAACTTCTGGTCGGCCAAGTTAGCGCACTTTTAACTCGAAAGCAAATTCCAACCAAAAGAAGTTTCAGAGGAGTTTGTGTTGGAATGTGATGTTTTTGCATCATTTTGCCAAATTTGAAAGAAGAAAAAAAAGAAGAAAGCTTATTTCTGAATGCACCTTGGCTAACTGGAAGTTTGGTGCGTAACAAAGTTTTTTCTCTGTGTGACATCCTCCTTCCTCCGTTTTTTTCCCCCTCCTCGTTTCCCCCTCCTTACTCGTTTTAACACCCTCGCAGGGAGTTCGGACTTTCCTCGCGAGGCGGCTCGTTCACGAGACGTCCCCGCATCATTGCCGACGTAACCACGGACCAGGACAAAGGCCCGGATACCGATCGGAACACCACCATAACCGCAACCATAACCACCACCACTACCCCTCCTGTAACCACGGCAACCACCACGGTTCCTACAACGGGGAGAAGGTAAAACCAAGAGGGGAGGAGTCAGGGTCAAAAAAGTGGGCGGGGTCAGGTCAGGTCACTCATTCGGGGTCCCCCACTTTGTCTAAATATGGTTTCAAACTTCTTGTCTGTCTGTCTTGGTGTTTGGCTGTCTATGTCTCCTTGGCAATTAGTGTTGCTATGACCACAACTTGGTTTGTTGGTTTTGTAACTGTGTGTATGTGTAACTTTATACACTGGTTGAACTATTTTGGGGAACTTTTTTATTTTCCAACTGTTTTTTCTAAAGTTCTACTGTTGTCTGCTACTTCCCCTCAGAATGTGTGATGTAATGTCTCGTTTCTTTACAATGTTGCTTTTTCTTTTGATGTTATGTACATTTATAAAGTCATTCAGAAGAAATATCTAATGACAATAATGTCATTGATAGGTTCATTGACCTTTTCTCAGGGTTTGGACAACTGTGATAGTTATCAAGGGTTATGTTATTTTTCTATTCGTTATTCGTTGTTATTTGTCGACGGGTAAATCTTGGACTCTTGAAATAATTGTTATGAATCCAGTTCTGGAATTTGTTGAGAGTTGTCATGATTAACAGATTGACCCCTTTCAACCAAAAATATTTCTCTCTTTCATTTCTCCAAATTTGTCAGTCTTTTAATAACTTTTGACATAACCATGCGTGATGTGACTTTTGTACGAGTTATTGACGATTGAATGTTCGCCAAGTTTCTTCTTGTTCCTCCATTCTTCACAGTAACAATTCCCAAAACTCATAACACCCATAATACCCTCGTTCATATGTCTGTTTTCCTCCTCCCTTATTTTACCCTGTGGTGTTCAGTAAGTAAATGTTTGGCTGCACTTTTGTTTAGGTCGTACATGACACCGGCCAAGGACGAGGAGTCTGAAACGCAACGGAGACTCCGAGCCAAGAGGGAAAGATCATCACGAAGATCAACTCAGGTAAGGGTGGACAACCTAGGTCTTTCTCAGCGATCCAAGAACCCTAACCCCTAGGCCCTCTGGCTAGGATGCCTAAATCCTGCAAAATTCTCCAATTACCACCCTGAAAAAAATTGGATTCGGCCTCAATCCTCCGAAATCATCTATTATTTCCATGAAGTTAGTCTGTACAGGGGTGACCACTGTCTCAATCCTTCAAAATCCTCTGCCAAGTCCTGCTGATGGTTTTAGGCAGTGACAATGGCGTTCAGAAGCAGCGACAATGGCGTTCAGAAGCAGTGCGGATGATATATGAGAAAATTGCAGGCACTGATTTATACACGGCTGAACATAAACAATGCTGGATACCCCCTGCTGGCTTTACACAATGCATCCTCCGCAGTCAACCAATACAGTTTTGCCATTCAGCCTCAAATTTCTCAAAACTCTCTGAAAACCGCCCGAAGGATTTTAGAGGATTGAGGAAGGTTAGGGTTAAAGTGTCCCTTAGCAAGTCATTTTGCTGCAATCAGTGTTGTAGTCAAGCCCATCACAAGTCCTAACAAGTCAATCACAAGTCCCTCCAAGACATAACAGGTCCATCACAAGTCCCTCCAAGTTTTAACAAGTCCATCACAAATCCATCACAAATCCATCACCAGTCCATCACCAGTCCATCACCAGTCCATCACAAGTCCCTCACAAGTCCCTCACAAGTCCCTCACAAGTCCCTCACAAGTCCCTCACAAGTCCCTCACAAGTCCCTCACAAGTCCCTCACAAGTCCCTCACAAGTCCCTCACAAGTCCATCAAAGTCCATCACAAGTCCCTCCAAGTCCATCCAAGGGCGGATCCAGGGGGGGGGGGCCAAAGGGGGCCATGGCCCCCCCCAAAACGAAACCATTTTTTTTTTTTTTTTATGTGACATCGCAATAAAGGCAGGCAATGAGTACACCACCATCTTTTCCTCAAAAAACATTGGTTAAAGTGGTCAGAAATTGCCTCAGATCGCACCACAGAGCATCTAGAATCCAAAAAATTTTCACGCCGAAATTTTTTTGACCCACTTTTTGGGGGGACCAAATTTTTTTTGGCCCCCCCCAAAAATTGTGTTCTGGATCCGCCCTTGAGTCCCTCACAAGTCCCTCACAAGTCCCTCACAAGTCCCTCACAAGTCCCTCACAAGTCCCTCCAAGTCCATCACAAGTCCCTCCAAGTCCATCACAAGTCCCTCCAAGTCCATCACAAGTCCCCCCAAGTCCTAACAAGTCCCTCCAAGTCCATCACAAGTCCATCACAAGTCACCCAGTCTCAAGTCAGGTCACAAGCTATTCCGATGAACATTGACAAGGGCATTCTGTTGTCATTGTTCATCTCCTGTTGCCTGTGACTGGACTTGTAAATTATGGGCTTTGGATTTACTTGTGCATGGACTTGTTAGCATGGACTTGTGATAGACTCGACTACAACACTGGCCGCAATTGCAAGGATTCAAAAGACAGTGTACTATTGAGTGTATTTCTTAAAAAGTCCACTTCTCAGCTTTACAGTTAACTTGATGCTATGTATTAATCTTGATCATTATCTGCAAGTTCATTGTTTACCTGCGGTACCCCTCAAACACAAGTGCGTTCAGAAGTCTTGGTCATTCCAAGAATGGCAATGCATTGAAAACAATTGTCATCTCCGATTTTGTGCAAAACATGAAAAAAACTATGGAGTCCTCATCGTTGATTTTAAATTGATTACCTGTGGCATTGTCTACAAAGGAATCTCAACTTTTTCTCATCATGTACTGCCGGTAAAGCAGGATTTTTGTCGTATGTCACAACTTTTCTGTTGTGATTCGCTGAAATTGTCTGGATCTGGATCGTTATACTCCGACAAAACAGCTACCTGCATCACATCTCTATCAATCCAGTTGTCTTTTTGTTTTTCTAGTAGAGCCATAGTAAATTTAAAGAAAAAATAACATTTCATTAAGGCTTTATACAGATTAAGGCAAAAGTTGTGTATACAGGTTAATGCCCACATTTCTGCAGTGTGTTAATCAGTAACCCACTTTTATTTATTTTTTCATGAAAATTGCAGGGAGTGACGGCGGAAGATTTAGAAGGTGCTAAGACTGCAATCCAGAAGAAAACAGAGAAAGAAGACAAAGAGAAAGACAATAAGAACGAACCCCAAAAGGTAAGAGATTGTCATTTTGGGCTCAAGGTTGAAGCTTGCTGAGTTGCCTAACTCAAGGTGTTTGGGTGTTGCTGGTGAAGGGGAACACCGCTTGAAAAGAGGCTACTATGCTGCGGGTGTTGCCGGTAAAAGGAAACACTGCTTAAAAAGGGGCTTCTATGCTGCATTGGTGTTGTTTGTAAAAGTGCACCCCTGTTAAATTGTAATTCTGCTAAATGTTCAACACCCACAAAAATTTGAGCACGTTCCCCTGTTAGGTTAAAAGTACAAATTTTGCAAGGTTGTTTAAAGAAGCCGCTGTTGGATTACTGCACAGTGAGGGTTTTTGGAAAATGTTGAAAAGTTCCTCACAAAAATGCGTAGGGAGTTGACAGCATCACTGATCAGAATTTGTTAATAAAAACCTATTGGTTGTCAAAATCTTGAAGTTTCGAATTGCACCTGATCCATTCAAATTGAGCACACGATCTACCTTTTGCAAGTTTCACAGATCTGCATTCCAAACACAATTGCTGTTTTCTGACTTTACATCGTAAGATGTAGTAGCAGTCCCACACCCTGTGAAAAACAAGTACCTAATTATCTTCTCAAGTATAAAATTAATGTTTGTCTTGTACAAAATGTACCCCTGCAACATGAAAGAAAGTGAAAAACAAAACAATGGACTAGAATAAATACAAACTGGTCTTTTAAAAACAAATGAGGCCCATATTTGTGAGCGGTATTTTGTGGTCTGCCTTCGATAGGACAATAAGAAAGAAGAGGAACCAGCAAGGCCAACACGAAGAGTCGGGAGGGTATCACTTACAAGTAACAAGGAGGTATGTCATTGGCCAATTACAGACCACACCCCTTTTCCAAGTGTTTCAGACCACGCCCCTTTCCCATTTTTTCCAGACCATGTTCCCATTGTTTCCAGGCCACGCCCATTTTCTGGCAAAAGTCCCTTTCTCGTTTTTTTAGGTCGCACCGCTGCCGCCTGTTTTGACCCCACCCCATTTTCCATTGTTTCAGACCCCACCCTTTCCCATTGCTTCAGACCACACCCCTTTCCCATTGTTTCACTCCTTTTTTCTTGCTTGCTGTGCTAATTAGCTAATAAGCTATGCTTGGCTTGTTTTAACACACTATATGAACTTTGAGTGTTCATTGAAAAAAAAACAGGTATTCAAATACACCTGTTTTGGAAGTGGTATTAGGCTCTTTGAAGGCGAAAGATCACTGTAATGTAGAAAATAAATTCCAGCAATTTTAAAAGTTAACACATTTCATTGAACAAGATATCAACAGTTTGGAAATATGGTTACCGTCATATAATTCCCGTGTGTGTGTTTCCTGCAAGTCCACGTTAATTTGGCCTAGTTGACTGCTCTACCTTGACGTTGAATGCATTTAGTGTCAGGAAACAGAGCACTTGTGAACTTTTATCATGTTTTAAAACTCTACTGATTAATTATTTTGCGTTACTTTTGTGTGGTGTGATTTTCTCATAGCGTACCTCATTTGCCCAAGAAATTACACAGTAAATCCTCACAGATCCTTCAGAATCTACCCAGATTCAGTAGGATTCAGTACGAAACCGCATGTGTACATTGATATGTCTAGTCTGACTAGTCAGACTAGACTTGTCTGTATTGTAAAGCATCTGAAGTTGTGCAACTCATTGCTTGATATGCGTGCAGCTAGCCGCAATACAGTAAATTTCCTTCAAATAGAATAGGGGGAAAAACACAACGATTTTGACCCTTTCACTCAGCTAGCCAAACCACATTCTAACCATTCTGTCCAGACATACAGCACATGTAGAGTAGATTACATTACATTACATAGCATATTGACTCCCTCATTAGCAAAGGCGGCTTGTTTGACGTTCATTCTACTAACACCGTACCACCTTCTCATTTTAAACAGCTGTGATTCTTTGAATGCTGATGCATTCAAAAGCTGTAGATTGTCATTGAAGCAATTAAAAATTGGAAGTCCACATTTCAAGTTATTAAATTAGTTTAACCTACAGATACCTTTTCCCACGACATTGTGAGGCGTCAAAATATGAATTGCACAGATGGTCATTGACGAAACATTCCTCTTCACCTTCTCAGTAAATAACAAAACCTTACATAGTAGATGTTTATGGAAATTTCATGTGTGTACTAATTGTTTTCATTTGTATTCATATTTTCTTTTCATTTGTGCCACATTAATAAAAGAACACACATCAAGCTCTCTTTCACCTAGAATTGTTTGGTAATCTACCTACAGAAATTTAATTCCAAAGAAACAAAAAAAAGAAATTAGTAATAAAATCGAAATTGTTGTGGAGAATTAAAAGGGAAGGGGAAGCTCACTGGTTTTTAGTAGCAAACCTAAGAAGTAGTTTTGTGAACCCGTTCTCACTTCACTACGCTCTCACAATTGATGCACTCTGCGGTGTTATTCAACCCATGTCTTGACATTGATGATGACATACTGCACACAAATGCCTCATCCTCGGCACTTTTAATGTCTGCCGACAAAAAGAAAGACCCTTTCACTCAGCCTAATCCCTTACGATGCCAGACCACTCTACCTCTCCGCCCCCCCCCCCCAATCTTCAAAGAAAAGATAAATGCACTTCGCAGTTCAACCTCCTCAGGACGTTGAACTCTTGAATTCTGGATACACCAGCAGGATGATTCTGATAACGCGGCCACTTAAATCTGTTTACTTCGCAAACGTCCCATTCCCAATTACTGTGGCATATCTGAATGTTATTTGCCTTTCCGTGAATGGTGCAGAAAGCCTGGCATTTGTCTGTGGCGCAGATGGAGAAATCACGTTGGATAATTAGTAGACACCTCTGGGTTTTTCCCTTCCAGGGAAAACAACTCGCCTCACTGCATGCGTCATTCTACTTGAATGCGAGGTCCCTGGAATTTTTCATATAATCTGATCTGTGGAAATCGGTTGAAGTTTATCACAGTGCATCCCTGTGGCCTGTTCATGGTTAAGAATTATGTTTATTGTGAATTTCGCCCTACAATTAAAGCACTGTTTTGGTTGACCTTGAAGAACTGTCTTCTTTGCCCCTTGATCATGTGTCTGTTAAAAAAACAAATGCTGTGGACTGTTCAATATCACTTTTTGCGTAGGTAATTTTAAAAAAAAAAGTTTCAACAGCCAAAGGCGGTGTTCTTCTTTGGAAGCATCGTTTTTAACCTTGTAGTGTCTTGCCTTGGTTTGCAGTTTATCAACCATTTCTCTTGCCTCCTTACCACAATTTAGTCTCAACATTTTTGCAAACTTGAGAGAAACAGTTTGATCTTGATTCAGATTCATACATCTTTTGATGTTTTTTCTTGCCCATTGGAGTATTCCTTTCCATGTCTTTTATTCTCTTCTCCAATGTTGAGCAGGGCCCAATTTTCCTTGAACTGTTAAGCAGAAAATATTGATTAAGATGTGCTTAGCAAACATCAGCTGGTAACCAGTCACAATCGTTAGACATTGCTAGATGGTCTGGCTGGTAACCCATTTTTGCTTGGAAAATATTTTCTGCTGTTTATTTTGTTTGTTTTTTGGGCCAATTTTTGTCCTTTAGCAGCTGCTAAAATCATTACAACTATAAATCGAGGCTGGTAACCCATTTTTGCTTGGAAAATATTTTCTGCCGTTTATTTTGTTTGTTTTTTGGGCCAATTTTTGTCCTTTAGCAGCTGCTAAAATCATTACAACTATAAATCGAGGCCCCAGTAAGAGCTCACCGATTTAGCTAATGCAGGATTGCCTTTTTATGACCAGATGGGACTGCCCCTTTAAGGTGTCCCTGTCTCATTGTCTTTGTCGTCAGTCCCTGTTTAATTAGCCAGTAGACATCTCTTGGCTCTTTGCCCTGCGGTGTGATGTACCAGCTGCCTGGCATGCCAGGCATGCCCAAGATGCCTCTCAGGGCATTTTCCCACGGTGCTGCCGTCTGTCCCGATTGGCCAAATAATTGATGACATGCTAATGATATGCTAATGAGGCACTTTGGCGCTGATGCGTCATTACTCTTTTTATTATGTCGGAAATCACTTGAAGAATCGTCATTCTGGCACAGTTATCTCTTATGAGATTTGGGAGTTCATGGAAAAGCACCCGGAGATAGTAATTGTTTTCTTAGCCTTTGACTAAAACCTCATCGTTGTGCAACGGAGATTTTATGAGCAGAGAAATTTGAAATATGTTAAAGGGACTAACTCACAAACATGGTGGCTAACATAACAATTAAAAATCACAGTGCTCGGCAGAGGAAGATTTTATTCACAATTGTGTTGTTCGTTTTAATTTCAAGTATTTACCCCTTACACCACTAATTCCCTTGCATTCTGTCTAGTTCTCTTCCCATTTAATAAATTAATTTCCTCACTTCTCTATCACCCTGTCTGCTTTTTTCCTCATCCTTTTCCCTCGATTTTAGTATTACAATTTTTTGTCTCGAAAAGTTGATTTGCTTAACCAATGGAGCTTCTCAAGGAAAAAGTCAAGTAGTCCAAATAGTTCAATGAAAAAAAAAAATTAATCTACATCCCATTCTTGTACCATTGCTATGTAAACATTTTGCATAGTTTAAGAAAAGATTTAAGAAAATAAAAACGACCTCCGTATTTAGCCTCCTTACCACATTTTCCAAATTCTCTACCTGCAAGGCCATCCCACCTTTTTTTTTCATCAGGGAATTGCTAATGATTAAAATATTGCTCAGCAAAATATAAGACACCCGTATTTTCAGCTGAGCAGAACTTTCTGTGTTCGGCAGGTTTTTCCAACGTGTGCTCAGCAATGTGATGAAATTCGGCCCCTGGATTGCTCTCACTCCTCATGCCATCTCCATCACCATCTCGTCTCTCAAGGCATCCCTCGTTTTCTCCTCATTATCCTCCTCATACTTGTCACCGTCATCTTCTTTGCCTTAATTGCCACTCGTCTAGTCTCCCACTTTTCCCCCCAGCATGCCAAATTCCCGGCATTCTGCCGACAGACGGAGGTTTCTTCACTTCAAAGTCAAATTCTCTTGTAAAATCCCAAAGAATGTGGTCTCGTCTCGTCCCCTGACATAATGCGTGTCGGTTCCTTGAAACAAAATTAACACTAGAAGCAGTGTTACGTACTTTATCATCTGGTATGGCTTGTGATTGAAGAAGTGTGTGAAATTATTACCTTTTTTTGTAATTTGTGTTGGGACCTCAGTATTCTGATCAGATCAATTCAACTTCCATTTCAAATTTAGATGTTGGAGAAACCCAGGGATACTTATACACTTGTGTGTTTTTTGGAAACCACACATAAGTGAAAGCCCAGTAAAATTGTCTACCAAGTGGGATCTGAACCTCGGTCACCAGATATTGAGTGTAATGAACATGACAAGGAAAAAAGAATCAATATGTACAATGTATGGGGCATCCAACTAATTGAACATGAAATGCCTAAAATAGTCCAACATTTTTTTTTTTACAATAATGCTGGGAAAGGTATCAACCCTTGTCTACCATCTAGCGCCAAAACCCACCCTCCCTGAATGTATTGCAGGGGTGATGTTAGTCAAGATTTTTCCAGATTTCATGATTTTTAAAGAAACCCTTTTTAAGGGGTTTATCTTATAAAGGGATATACAACATTTGCAAACATCAAAGAACAAAACTACCAAATTTTTATGAAATACCTTACTTGACTGTAAGTGAATAATAGTCTCAAGCATCCTGTGAAATCATGACACCCGGTGTGCTGTCATTTTCAAGAAAAGAGAAATTGGCGTTGTATACTACGTTTAAAAGTGATTTTTATCTATAAAAAAGTTTTTCTTGTACCAAAAAAAATGGCTGTTTTAAGGGGTGCCTTTAGGCAAATACAAACATATCATAGAACCTACATTGCTCTGGGCCCTTCGGCAATCCTCAAACCCTCTGCTGATTATTTTTGGATTTTTCACTTCCCCCAGTCGCAACCCTGGTATTGGTAGGATTTCCTTTCCCATTCCATCTGTAAGAATGTATGATGCTCGTGCCTCAGTGAGACTAATCTACCGACAGTTTTCGGTACCAATCACTAAGCGTTGAAAAAGCCAGCTCGATTTCAAAGTGATGATGTTGACATACCGTAGTCATCAGATGGAAAAAAAAAAATTTGAAGGTGCAGTTGTCTACTGGTGAAATACTTTATGTTGTGTTTTCTTGACATTTTTTTTTTTTCTCATCTGGCAAATTTTTTTCATTTATGGAGATGCAGGAGATTTTTTTCATTTATGGAGGTGAAAGTCATCCTTGTCCAATATCTCAAGGCTGATGTCATTGTTTGCTTATATTTTGGTTTCACGTCTAAGTCTTTAGATATTTCAGTATAAAATAAGCTCCGTATGCTTCATTTCAACTTCAGCAAGTGGACAGGTTTTATAAGCGAACACGGCCTTGTTACCAGAGCAGAGACATCAGTCCAGCATTTTCAACAAAGTTGAAGTGTGGCTAACTTGGGGTCAAAACGGATTGTAGACTGATTATACTACGTTGTATGGTTACAATATTGAATGCTTTCTTGGATGGCTCTTGTCTGAACAGTGACATGCACGAAAAAGTAGGATTTTCTTGAAAGTCGTGTAGGCAGACACAGTTTCTCTTGCATTAAAATAAAAACCAAAGCGCTTCGGCTATGGCAAGATAGAAGTGGCTACTAACACCACTCCGCTTGGAAGCGGTGCCTGCTATGACACTAGGTCAGTACACACTAAATTCACATTTGTATTAATTTTACTTTTACATTGTAATTTTTTAATTCTCAAGGGTTGTGAATGATAGAACCCTCAAAATTGTGTAGAATTTTGTGTATTAAGTAGAAAGTATTCAAATTTTATGGTGAAAGAGTCGTAAGCATTGCAGAAAGAAATTAGTTCACGATATCACCACTAGCTTTTTCTTCTCTGTAACTGAAATTTTTGCTACCTTGTGGATTGGGAAACAACACCAAAAATGGCCTTGTACATGTAATTAATTCTTCATTAACTCTCTTGGTAGCTGTGCTAATAACTTTGCATATGAAAACGAATAGCTTGTTAGGTAATACATGTGCATGACTAACACGTTGACTATTCATTTCTTTCTCTTCGTTTAATCCATTCATTGCTAATTAATCAGAGGAAGGGTTAAAACAAAGAAAAGAAAACACATCCAACAACCTCGATTACTAATTTCTGCAGTGAAGCTTTTCGCTGGACTCCTCTTTCTAAAAATCATTTCGTTTTTCTTGTAAGATTATCATCTTTTTTTCTTTCTTCGCAAACAAAAATAGATAGCTTAAAGTATGGATTGACTTTTGTTTTGTTGTAGGAGTCGGAACCAGCTCAGCAGTTTTCCGGCCGCAGGGGTCAGGATAACCAGTCTAATACCACGGCAACCTTCACGGCTCGGCCAGGCCGTACTGGCTCCGCATCAACCGATACCTCCAGTACCTCAGTACGCACAGCCAGGCTCCCGTCCTCACAAGGTGCAATTTTTTTAAAAATAGAAAATCGCTTTTTCTAGCTAAGTAATTTCATCAAGAAAATTATGTTGAACTGCCGACTCCACCAGTACCACAGATTGACATATTCATCTTTAGAAGTTTGTGATAATTGGAAGTTCAAAAAGTTGAATATTTTAAAGAATGCTCATCTAATTGAAAATACAGACTTCTTGGTTGAGATTACAGGGCACATAGGTAATCCATATTCATGGCTCTCATTGGCTGAAGTAAAGGACAACATACTTGTGATTCCACGTCCGTTAGATACAAGCATTGAGAACAGGAAGTAGGGTGCCAGTTTTTTTAACCGGCTCCCATTTTGATCTCTTCTCTCGCTCTCAGACACCGACGAGGCCAAGGAAAAAGAGCGAAGAGAGAACGCCCGGAAAGAGCGCATGCAGCAAGAGCAGGAACGCCAGAAGAAAGAACGGGAGAAGGAGAGGGAACGCGAGAAGGAAAAAGAGAAAGACGACGACGACAAGTCGCCCAAGAAGCACAGCACCATCTCGCGACGCCGTCCGCGAGAACGGCGACGCGCCACGGGCGTCATTTACATTGATGAAGAGGTATGTGGTTCTTATGGTCTTCTTGCAGCTCAGGTACTAACCGTCTACGATGGATGTGGTATGATGGAAGTTTTATGCCAGGAAGATGTGAATAAAACAAAACTGTTCTGTCCCTTCTGTTCTAATGTTATATGCGCTGGATACTCAGGGGCTGTCCCAGTCTTGTGAGAAAAAGAAAATCCACAAGCTTGCTTACTAGAACTCGAACCCGTAACCTTCCGCTTACCACTCGGACACAGAGCTTGCTAGGCTTGACTGGCCTCTCTAAAGGTCATATTGTACTGCAGTCAGTATTTGGTATGATAAACTGTCATCCTCCCAAACGGTGAATTTGTTCCTGCAAGTACCTAGATAGCACTAAGACTGCAGCTCTTATAAAAAAATATATATCAGGAAGGGCAAAACCCAATCATTTTAAAATCGGGATTTGGTTGTCAAAAGACACTATTTGCAAACTGGATTTTTAATCTGAAAGTCCATTCACTTGGTGATAACACAAATCATCGTTCCCTTTTCAGTTTTCAAGTGGGGAATTTAAAGTTATGGTAGTACATGTAAAATTAGGCCCTATCTGAATTATGAAAATGAATGAAACTGCTGCAAACTGCTGACTGACGAGATTGACCTGAAATGTCCAAAACAACAAAATTAGCTGGCCTGACGATTCGGTCTTTAACAAGACCTGCTTCCGAATTACTCAGCTATTGCCATCAATGACACACACGGCTATGGGTACCGTAGTAGCTGAATTTCTCTTCCCACAGATGTGTGTGTTCTGTCAACTGTAGCCAAGTAGTTTGGATGCAAACTTGCTTCAATGACAACCCACTTTCTTGAAGCGGTTACAGTTTGAGGGATATATTAATAACTTCAGAAACTCACGAGAAAGTTTTCTTAAAAAGTGCAAGGCAAAGATATACCCTGACAAAGATATACAAAATGACATGTATAAGATATTTTAGCTTCAGGTTATTCAAATCAAGTATTGCTGAAAATTGCCTTATTTGTAAGACACTGTGTCACTACAGTATCACATGGTTTGAAGAGGGGACCATGGCTAGGCAAACAGTGTCAGACAAAACTTGGAAGTATAAAGAGAATCTTTATTCTCATCGTTGATGGACCAGAGAAATTGGTAAAAGTCTTAGAAAAGACCATAGCCCTTGAGCTTGAGTTATTTATTCATGAACTTGAATGGTGTAGTGAACCAAATTGTGCATTAGTTATTGGAGCTTAGCTCTACTGCTTTCTACTAACCTAGAACCAGTAGCAATAAGCTAGTAAGCAACTGTAACATGCTTAGCATTTTGTTTTCCGTTAGTGCTCTAGTGGCATGAAAATCAGCTAAGCATTTATAAGTTGTGATTGGAAACATTGCCTTGTAATCTGATACAAAGTCCCCCCCCCCAAAAAAAAAGTTTGGATACATGTAGTTAAATATTTACATGTTATTCCGGAGTCCATTTGGAAAATAGTCTGACACCTTTTATACATCAAGAGGTAGCAATTTGAGCATACTGTGCAGCATAGGTTATCTGACCAAGATGGCCACTTATTGCTGGACAGTCTTTTGGACATGAGCACATCCGAAGGGAACACTACTAAATTTTAGTCAATGATAAAGTTTAGTAACAATTCAGGGAAAAACTCTCTATCAAGGAGTTTGGTGATGAAATTCTTGTTTGTAGTTTGATCAATAAAATGGCTTTGGAAATATGAGGAAATAAAAAAAAAAAATGTTTTTGTGTGTTAAGCTTGTGCTTCTTTTATAACACATCTCTGTAATATTTCTAGCTGCTTTGAAATAAACACTTCAACATGAGGAAAGCTTTTCCGTGTCTTGGCTCTTTCTTAACTTTTTTGGCAATTAACATTTATTCTTTTCTTTTTCAACAAAACCTGTTTTGCAGAAGAAAAAAGTGTAGGTTGTCTTAATTTATTAGATTTATTGCACTTTCACTTCCTGTGCTACCTGCTGTAGTTGTAGACAATTTTGCATGCAAATCATTTACTGCTAAATAGTAGACCACATGTTATCACAGTTTTCATTGTTGGACGAATTGCATAATCCCTCAGCACAGTAAATTTGTGTTGTGTTAAAAGAGTGATGATGGATTTTGTCGGTCGCAATGCAAAGTGACGTATCGTTTGCACAAAGTCAATAGACGATCCCTCACTTCCTGGTGCACCCGACGATTTCTTTCATGAATATCCCTACAAATAGATACATTTTGCATTTGTTGATCAGCTTTAACGTTGAATCGTTCTGAAGTATCATCTTTATCAGAAAAGATCAGCTGTTCTTTTGTGAGTCCAATCCCCTCTGATGTACATGTTGTTTCCCCAAAGACAAATGTCCCAAATTTGTCTATCTGGTTTGACGAAAGTAGTGCCTTGATTTGAATCAATCGGTCCCTGTTGACCCTTGATTTGACCTTATTCAGCCAATTGCTCTACAGAAATTATATTCATATATAAAAACTGCTGTTGTGCCTTCAAATATATAATTCATTTGAAGGAAGCACTCCTTCAAATCGTTAATCGTGTTTAAGGTTTTTAACTTTTTGTCCAAAAAAACCCAGTTTTCTCCCACAAATTTAGGAGCTGCTGCACAAGATTAAACCTTCCACAATGGTCTTTCATGGTCAAGACCAATTGTGACAAGATTTTCCATCTATCTGGGATATCCTTTAATTAGATTATATTTAGTGGATTTGAAATCAGAGATTTGGCTCAAAATGTTACTTTTTTTTTTTTTTTTTTTTTTTTTTCTAGTTTGTTTTATTTCTAATTTTGAGGAATTTGTTTCCGCTCAGAATGAAGATGAATCTGAGGACTCGCAAGTCGAAGATAAAGACAAACTTTCTGAAAGGGTAAGTCAGTGTTTTTTCAATTTCAGGTTATGGGTTCCGTGCCCAAAGTACCCCCCTCAACGGTAAGAAAGGGAGAGTTGGGGGAGACCACTGGGAGGTACTTCTCATAGTGACTGTTTTAGCCGATTTTCGGCTAACTTTGACAGATTTTTTGTTAAAAAAACGAGTTTGACAGAAAATTTGACAGAATTGATTTTTTTGGCAGATTTCTGACAGAATTCTGCAAAAATGGTTATTTGACACAAAACATAGCAAATTTGAAGAACAAAAATGACATTTGTTTAAAAAAGCTTCAATCTTTTCAAACAAACCCTTGCAAAATTGGACAGGTTGACTGGTCTAGGTGCTGAGGTTCACATGGAACCAGACTTCGTCGTGACGCAACCGCGTTTTGCCCATTGCCTGAAATTTTATAACATCTTTATGTAACTATAGATTGTTTATGATGTAATTTGAACCTTAGTTAAGGCAATATTACAACATCTGCATGTGATTTTAAGTCTTTATAGTGTATTTCGAGTAATTCTGGGGAATTTGGCAGATTTTTGATAAATCTGACAGATTTTTGATAAATCTGACAGATTTTTGAAGTGCATTTAGCAGAATTTGAACATGACCTTACGGTCACCCTGATACTTCTGAATGGATTGCCGGTGACGCCTGATGCTCTCGCGAAAACGCTTTGGCTTTTTTCACATTCAGAAAAAAATAACTAAAGTATGCTTTGCAAACCAGTACGCGCATGCGGTGTGTCCTGTCCACCGTGCTGTTGAAAGTGGTCAAAAGCGCCCTCTCTTGTTAGCTCAGGGAGCCCATAACCATAGAAGTAAAGTTTTTGATGCAAACTTTCAACTAAGTGAAAACTAACAAGATAAAATGTGAAGCAAATTGTATCCAATATTATTGTTAGACTGGAGACATATCTTCATATCTTTCTGTTTATGAGGACAGGTAATTCCCTCAAAGCTTCTGAAATTGTATTTGTTACTATGCATCTTGACGATGCTGCTTTTCTCTGAGTGATAGGCCTAGCTCTTGACCCTTTAGTCACTGTAGTGGGCGAAACCACCTTGCCTATTACTCATTGTAGCGTCCAAAACGGCCCGACCACTACATGGTTTTAGTGATTCTTTAGTGAGTAAACACAATGTGATGTAATTTACTACAAGCGCTAATAGGTTAAGTATGCACCCATCCTATGAATGCACTGCCTATTCATGAGCGTGTTGATATATTTATGAGTTGGTCCCACATCAGAGGTCACGATGACAGGAATATGTTTGCCGTTCTCAGACTCTATATCTAAGCTGACTTCTCCACTGCCTGCTCTATTATTTAGTGCTGGCGCCCTCTGTTGACAATGATATCAAAAATGAAGCCAACTAAAATTTAAGAAGCAATTTCTCTTTGGAATTTTTCTTTAACTGCTTGGGGTCAGAAAGTTGTCCTTAGTTTGGTTCATTTAAGCTTAACTTCGGATTTGGTTAATTTGTTTAACTAGTTATATTTCTAAATGATGAATGTCATTTATCATACAATTATCTAGAACGAATTTAACAAAACTGTAGGACAATTTGCTGCATTTGGAGAGATTGTGTAATGATTTCCCTCCCCCACTCCCCCCCCAAAAAAAAAACCACCTGGTTTTAGACATCACTTCATGTAACGGCAGCTGGGAAAGCCTGGCTTCCAGTTTCCATAGCAACTATGATGTCAGTTCCTCCTGGTATTTTGAGTATGTGAGCTCATGTTGCTTAGCAACTCGTCTTTGCAAGGTGTCATTAAATAAGACGAAATGGGTATCTGCAGGAAACAAGGAGTTACACATTCAATGAAAAGGTTCTGCAGAAGTGTTCAATTGCATTTTGCAATTTTTCCCCCATAGCTTTTAGGTTTAATCCACTTGAAGGCCATTTTCTTTTGCAGTGAAAAAGCAACACAGATTCTCTTTTACTTGAAAATGTTTTCACTTGTCAAGTCTAACACTGGCGGACCGATCAAATTGAGTTTGCTTAAGTTGTTCGTCAAAGAAATGTTGAAATGTGCCATCATCTAGCCTCAACTAAAATTTAGTTTTAATGATAGTGTGATTGTAACCCCTGAACCAAGGAAACAAACTACAGTTTGTCATTTTGTAATAAATTTATTAATTTCAAAGATTTTCTGTGAAAGTCACTCTGCAGGATGTAAGGTGCTATTTTTCGACCAAGAATTAGGAGCCAATTTTAGAGGGGGGGGGGGGGACGCTACCTCATTTTTTTCTGTTATGTTCAAGTTTAAAATAGTTGAAAGTGCCTTTTTAGTTTTAAGTAAATATGGGAGAATTTCATCAAGTAAAACAGAAAGCCCATTTTGTGGGGCTAGACTTTATAGAAACAATTGCATTGTCCCCCTTCTCATGAATCCATGCCCGCAAGTTATATTTTATTGATATATCTTTGTTTGGAGTATTTTCATTCACATGCTGCTTTTGGAATTCAATTGAACCGATCAACAATTTATCAAACACACCTGGCCTTTTCCCAGTCTGTGATTTTTCCTGATGACTGAATACACACAATACTGCAATACAAGACATTGTTCTCACATAACACACACATGACCCCCCTGGATAACTCTGACAGTGTATGGGAATTCATATGCTAATGCATACTTCACTGCCGGCCAGGTGTTTAGAGACCCGAGGGTTATAGACATCGGTATAATGACGTCAGAGCACGAATTTAACCTGCCGTTGCTGTGAACTGTGCTGGGACATTGTATGGCTGTGGGGGTTCAAGAAAGCATAGCAACATTGAACGAGATGAGGCTATATCTGCATTCATGTGTACTTGTACATGTACATGGATGTTACGTGTACACTGTTCGCGTTGCTTAGGAAGATATGCGTTGGCATGCTTGTGTGTTCCAAGCTTGTGTCTCACGTCTGTGTCATGGGACAATAACACCAACAGCTGTCAGCTACCGTGTTACTCATAATAGATCTCTTGTCGATACTCATTAACCCAATTATTGGACCTGGTTTTCTGTTCCTAAGTGGATGTCGGCTCGGCTGTATTTGATGTTTATTCCCGGGCACAGAAAAGCACCCCATCTCTTGTGGTGTGTGTGTTTGTTCACGGACGTTTTTTAGAGTGGTGTTGATATGTAGCTTTATATCTGTCTCCCACAACCAATAACAACTCGGGCAGTTTGTCACCGGTATTTTGTGAAATCATGCCCTACAAAAATCTTTTGTGAACTTTTTTTTTTTTTTTTTGAGTTTAGAAGAAATTGCACGCAGTTAATAATTTATTGGTGGAACTCCGTCCAAGTATAAAATCTTGTCAAGAAAAAAAAAGTATTGGGAGATTTTGAGTACATGTCAGAATTGAGCAACTGTGCTGTGCATGGGCTGTTCTTGTTATCTTCTGTGTTGAGGATTACACGATATCTGTTGTGATAGAGGAACGAGGAACGAGAGTGCAAGCATCACAGGAATGCGTGGAATGCCGGCTGCTTAGCTGCTGCATCACAGCGACAGTAGAGATTGACAAGACTAGGCGAAGGGATGAGAAGTTCAAAATATAAGAAGACTCCTTGATGAAGCTCCTTGACATTAAGACGTAAATGAAGGAACCGTCTAAGAAAAAAACAATGACCTATAACCCGGATTGGATAACTGCTTGATCTGGATCGCTACATCTACTGTACACTAAACTTGGATTAATAACTTGGGATAATCCAGTTTAAACCGGCTCAACTCAGCCATCCTCCTCCAGCTTGCCAAGCAAGTGCTGAAGATATTTCTCTTCTGTGAAGAGGGAAAAAACTTGAAGGACTCTAAAAAATGTCTTACGGCTCTTACGGACGCTACGGAAGCGGCAGTGGAAGTCCATACTCCTCGTCGTCTTCGTCGAGTCCCTATTCGAGTTCTCGGTATGGGGGTTCAGGAAGCTCACGATTAGGATCAACAGGATCAGGAACAGGGGGCTACAGCAGTGTAAGGGAGAACAGCACATGTGCTTGTTCTTTTTTTCTTTCTTTTGTTACATTTATCCTCAGTGTCAGCATCAGTGCATGATAAATGAGACGAAGATAGGATCCATTTGATTTTTATCAATCTGAGTAAATTTTTTATGTTTAAGATGAATTGGATTTGTGGTTTTTTTACTTGGCAGCATTTACATGTAATATGTAGAATTTTTTTTTTGGGGGGGGGGTGTGTTTGAGGAGGGAATACTATCTGAATTAGATATTTTGTGTAGGTTGCCAGCACCTTGGTAAGCTACAAATATAAGTGCAGACAAAAGTTAAAAATAGATTTTTGGAGTTCAAAACGTCTTACATTAAGCATTACAAGCAAAATCTTACATTGTGAGAATTAGACTTTCATCATTTAGACTTTGAGAGTTCTCAAAGTTTTTATTTTTTTCAGCGTTGTTTATTTATCACAACCACGTGGCTGGAGATGATACACCTTCCAATGTGACACTGCTGATGAAGAATCAAATCATCGATGATGATTTATTTATTGATTGATCATTTTTTGTCAGCCGAATTCCATCAGACCGATTTTGGGAACAGCCTGTCCTTTGAAATGCATGGTTGCCACAGCAACACTCAATTGCAGTCAGCCATCTTTGTTAACCTTTGGAGAAAAAATGTTTTGCCTCCATAATGACCCCGGCACTTCAAACCGGGTCGTTAGGGATCAGATAGTATTGATCAGGAGAAGCGTATCGCGGAACCAGATCTATTCATTGGGTGCACAAACGACGGAGATAAGAGCCATTTATATTTACTCAGCCATTGGTCCTTGTGTTCAGGATTTCAGAATTTTAATGGATGCGATCATTTTTTTTTCATATGGCCCCTGTGACATTCAAAATATTTGGATTTTTTATGTCCTCGCATATTTTTGAATTCCATAAATGTGTCATTTGTACTTCAGACCCTGCCAAAACTGTCATTGCTTCTTTGTGCTTTCATCACATTTTTTTTTGGCCAAGATTTGATAA